ATAATAATAATAATAATAATAATAATAATAATAATAATAATAATAATAATAATAATAATAATAATAAAAACGAACACAGAGTGGCCTGGTGAGATGGCTCAGAGTTAAGAACACTGGCTGCTCTTCCAGAGGTCCAGAGTTCAGTTCCCAGCAACTACATGGTGGCTCATCTATAATGATAGCTGGTGCCCTCTTCTGGTGTGGAGGTGTACATGCAGGCAGAACACTGTATACATAATAAATAAATTAATCTTTAAAAAAAAACAACACAGAAATGTTACATGAATATGCTTTTTTGTTTTAATCCCAGATGTGGGGTAGGAGGATGCTTCAGATTGTCCATAGCAGCTATGACTTGTCTCATGTTCTGGCAGGGGTGTGGTTTTGCCAGATGCAGATAGTTTACAGTTACAGAATTCTGGGGACTCTTCAAAGGGTATATAAGTGACAGAGCCCCAAGAGAGGCAGTGGCTGCTGCTCCAGCTGCTGTTGCCTGTTGCTGTTTGTTGGATTGCTGATTGGAGATATCCTGACGACAAAGATTAAACTTGACCCCAGGAACTTCACACCCCTAATCAGCAGGAAGTGGTCTAATGATTTAGATGCCCTCTTTCCCCTCTAACCTTCTTTCTCTCCTACCTAGTGTTGGGGGCTTGGAAGGGATAGGGGTAGTGTAGGGGAGTAGATAAAAGAACCCAATAAAATAGCCAAAAGTCCAGCGACAGATATCACTAAGACAGAAAGGAAGGTACAGTTTCAAACAAGCTGAATCTGTCTGGACAAGTTCAGTTTTTTGTGGAACAGCTAAGTCCATGGAGTTGATGTGAAGCAGAGATAAACAGAATTCAGAAGGAAAAAAAATGTTTGAGCTAGAGATATTAGTTGATGACATCACAGAATTAAGGGTGGAGGCAAGACTAGGTAAAACCAGGGAAGAGCCAAGGCTGGGGAAAGGATGGATTGCTGGCTGGAGAGTGAGGCAGCCAAACCAGGTACTTGGCAGTGACTTCAGCAGGCAGTGACCTGCTGGCTAAGTGTCCTCCCAAGGAGCAAAAAAATAACTGAAAGAGGAAAAGGCAAACACTCCTTCAAGTCTGCTCTGAGGCTGGGGTTACTGCAAGGTTTTATGTTTTTGTGTTCACAGGATGGGGAAAGATGTCTTTTAAAATGTTAATAGGAAGACACCCCACTCTAACCCCCCAAGAAGAGGAAAACACAAAGACAGGGAAACACACTCCCGGAGTAAAGCCTGTTCTTTGTGACTTTCTTTCTGGGTGGCAAAGGAATGACAGCTTCTGTTTCCCTGATGCTTTCTTGGGTTTGTCATACTATCTATGATGAATGTATTAAATACTGCCTTTATAAAGCAGAAGAGAAGTAACATTAAGGACTTCCAAGTGGCTTTGAGGAAAGCAGCTGCTTTACATTCTGTATTTTAAGTGTAGATGATTTGAGTCTTGCTGACAAATGCAGGCAAAACAGGCTGGGAGATCAGGAGCAGCCTGTAGATACTGACAGCCATGGGAATGACACGTGGCTGCAAAGGCCACAGAAAAAAAAAAACATAAAACATGGGAAGAAGGATGAAAGCACAGCAAGGCAGACTCTGTGGAGATAAAGGGACCCCGTACTTCAAGAGGACTAGAGAGCACTGCAGAGTTCCCACAAGAAGGACATCCAGAGTGGCAGAGCGACATAGCCTCGTAACAGAGAAAGATTAGAACAGCCACACAAACTGGGGGCAGGCAGCAGCTAGATGACTTGGCCTACCATCCATCAAACTACTGAGGCAGTGTGTGGTACACGCCCAGAATGACCAGAGAGTGCGGGAAAAGGCAGAAAGTTGCAGCTGTGGCAAAAAGTCTCCAGAAGCGCACAGGTGGCATGGGCCCCTGGCCTCGGATTCGAAGCCAGGGGCTCCGTTCTACCGGTAAGCACGAAGGCTGTCAGGCCCCAGTGACACTGCTAAGTGTAGTGTGGTTCTGTGAGCAGTCTCTCACTGCTCAACTCTGGGGCTCACGGAACATACTGAAGGCCCTTCTCCAGCTGCTGACTCACGCCACTGCCAGAGCCATGCTCTACCAACAACTCCGTCCTTAGCCTATGTTCAAACGCCTAGACTTTGGTCATCCTTCCCTTTGGTGTGACTGCATGACTCATCTGGAATGAGGTTATAATCACCTGGTTCTGCTCATGACTAATCTCTGAGCACAGGGATTAAATGTATGTGTCTCCACACCCAGCTAAATGAGTATCCTGGGCTGTCCTTGAACTTCTGATCTTCCTGTCTCTGCCTCTTGAGCATGTTACCTGAGTGAGAGCCTAAAATACCATAAGCTTCTCTTCAACCACAGTACACACCACACTGAAAGACACCCAGTGCCCAAAGCTGAAACAGCTGGGCAACAAAATATGTATTAAATTATAACCCTAGTACGCATGAGTCTGCACTGACAGGTAATTAAATAAGTCTGTAACACAGACTTTAAAAATTAAATAACCACATAGATACTATATCAAGGAGAGAGAACTTAATTCACTAGTCTTTAAATGTGCACAGTGATCTCCCTTCAAAGAACTATGGAAAGGAGGAAACAACTTTTAAGACAGACTCTAGACTAGTGACCTGTGGGCAGTCTTTGCCCACAGGCAGGCTACACACATCTTTTCTTACTATTTGTGTGCTTTTTATTTCTGTGGGGAGGAGGGCCATCTAAACCCCTGATCCCCTAGACTAGATTTATAGGTCTAGTATAAAGATCCTATTTTTTTCAAAACTTTTTCCAAGCTACTATGTAATTGTTCAAAGGTCATCTATTAAAAATCCATTTGAAATCCTCCAATTCGAAGAGAGTTAACAGGAAAGAGCTGGTCTTCCAACAGTCTTGCTTCTTCTCTGTCCTTGTCTGCAATTTACTATATAAAGCACAGAAATGTTCTGTACTAAATCAACACAACCAGCTCCTTTTCGAAAGAAGACTTTACACTTACTTTTAAAACCGGAAGTTCTATTTCACTTCTATCACCTGACTCATTTTCCAGGTAGGCACAAGCGTGTGCAACAGCTTCTAATTCCTTGTTTTATATTTTATAAGACGGGGATTCTCTGTGTAGCCCTGGCTGGCCTGGAACTCAGAGAGCCACCTGCCTCTGCCTCCTGAGTGCTGGGATAAAAGGCATGCGCCACCACAGCCTTTCATGAGAGCCCCTAATTCTTGATCTACATACATATTGTGTAAACTGTCTGACCAAAGTACATTGTCATCAACAGCATTCTTTGACCCAATAAAATACCTGTCAGCAGAGGCTTCAGGCATTACTTATTATCATTCTTTGGGTCCTAAATGTATTCATCTGAAGGGCGGTCACCATTACTAAATATGATAAATCTACAGTTTATAGCATCATGAGGTAAACAATAGCACAACATTAAAGAAAAACATGCTTCATGGAACTATAAAAATGAACAAAATATTCAACATCTACAAAAATGTCAACTTGGTTTAAAGTAGCCCCCAAATGGGTTCATTTTCTACCTTCCACTCCACCAAGCCTTAGGTAAACCCATCAAATCTGGCCAGTCAAAAACTGGAGCTGATTAACACGATCTCACACAGAGGGGGCCACCAAGGCGTGGACAAGCTGGAATGATGCCGTGTGATCAGGAACGGGAGCTGCACTGCCCGTCCCAGCATCCTTCACTAGGGAGGCAGGTGACACACCTGCTGTACAGGCCTGCACAGGCTCTCTACCCCGCCCATCACGGGGGTCACGCACACCGCGCTTCACGCCTGTCACTAACGCACCGCCGCTGTCCCGCTGTGCTAAGGGAGGGAGCTTCCCCCCAGCGTTCTCCCTAGGTTTCACGTGTGCCTTATGGTCACGCTTCTGAGTTCTTACCTTTTTGTGACACTCCTTAAGCAAGTCAATCAAGACGTTGCATTCTTTGGTGTGCAAGTGTGGAGACAGGTCCGGGTGCATCTTTAGGAGGACGAATAGATGCAGGGCAGCCTGTGAACACAAGAATGCCTTGAGTATGCAAGAGCGCACCTGTAATTTCACGAGAGCCAGCGATGACCTTTAGCGGAAGAAAGCGTCAGCTGTGAACCGGCTGCGATGGAAACCGCCAGCGAGTTGCCCAGATGTAGAGAGTCTGCAGGCCCAGGAGGGAGGGCACTCATCCCCAAAGATAAGCCTCAAAGCTTACCCTGCTTGATAAGTGCTCAGCAGGAGCCCCTGCCCACATCATCAGCCAGACTAGAAACACGTCCCCCAGACTCCCGAAACTGGTTACTGCTCATTAAATTCAGGTGAAAGTCTACCAAGTATGAGAACTGGCTTATTCTTTTAAATTGTATATTCCTCTGAGAGAGTTTTAAATGACCATAAGTCGGTTTCACATTAGTGTGAATTAATGCAGACTGCTTTTTTAACATCTGGCTGAAAAAACTTAGCTAAATGATGAAGTGAAAGGATTAGCAGTTTTCAAATTTAACAGATCTGTGCGCAAAGGTAATTACTGCACTGAAAACAGAAACCCAAGATCCCAGAATTAGTTTAAAGGGTCAACCACAAAATAGAAAATTAGCAACCAAGATTAAGGAAATACATTATTTTAAAGTGTCTGTTATAGTGTTACTCTTTTCTAATTTGTATTTTCTAACTCATAAACATGACCAAAAGCACTTAATTGCTTTAATCTGAAAAGCTCCCCCCTGCCTGCAAAAAAAAAAAATAACATAAGAACTACTCCAAACCTATTAAGAAAGCTACTATTGCCAAGCATAGTGGTGCACTCATTTAATCCCAGTACTTGGGAGGCAGAGGCAGGTGGATCTGTGAGACCAGCTTAGTCTACAGTACAAATTCCAGAGCAGTCGAGGCTACACAGAGAAATCCAGTCTTTCTCAAACGAATAAAAACAAACAAACAAAAAGAAAGCAGGAAGGGAGGAAGAGAGGGGTGCTTAGAGATGGCTCACTAGGTAAGAGGTTAAGAGCTCACTGTCCTTATGGAAGTGAGAATTACAGCTCCAGGAAATCCAATGCCTCTTCTGTCCTCCAAGGGCACTTGCAAGCACATAAGCACACACACTCTCTCTCTCACTCACTCACTCACTCACTCACTCACAAATAATGGTCTTTTTAGCCCTGGCTGTCCTGGAATTTGCTCTGCAGACCAGGCTGGCCTCAAACTCAGAGATCCACCTGCCTCGGCCTCCCTATTAAAGGCATTGTCACCACCACTTGGCTAAACAGTCTTTTAAAAGTAAAACAAAGTAACAAGTGTTGGAGAGGCTGCAAAGAAACTGGAGCTGTTGTGCACTGCTGGCATGATGTAAAAACGCGGCCGCCACTTCTAGAGACAGTATTGTACTGTGAGCCATCTAACTATTCAATATATGCCACTGGGACCTGGGCCTGCAACCTCAGCGCTCCAGAAAAACAGGCAGGAGAGACAGGCTCAAGGCCAAGCTGACACAGCTGCAGAGAAAACCTCAGGAGAGCCAGGGGTCACACAGCAAGACTGTCTCCAAAAGGGGGCAGAGTTTGCTCATCAGTGATGGGTGCTTCCTGCTCTTACAGAGGACCCAGGTTCTGTTCCCAGAAACCACAGGGCAGCTCACAAGTGTCTAACACTAGTTCTGGGGAATCCCAATGCCCTCTTCTGGCCTCCGTCAGCACTGCACCTGCATTACCCAGGGAAATCCCTCATACATAAAAAAATTTTTTAAAACATTTTTTTAGGGAAAAATGAAAATAATTACTATATGACCTATCAATTCCACTCGTAGAAATACCCTCAAAGAACTGCAGGCAGGGTCTTGAAGAGATACCAAGACAGCCACGCACTGCAGCTTACTCCCAACAGCAAAACGGAAACAGAAACCCCAATGTCCACACACAAACATGTGAGCTCTACCTCGGCCATACACACTGGGCTATCATTAAGCCTGAAGTGGAAAGGAACCACCTGTGGATATTATGCTGAAGAAAATATTCTCAAAAACAAAACCAAAAACAAACCCACAATGACAATGGTATTGTCTGAAATACCTAGTCCACATGGCTGTAGCAGAGCAGCAGCTGTTAGGCGCTGAGAGAACATGAGAGCTAGGTAAGGGACAATTCCTTTTCATACACACGTTAAAAAAAAAAAAAAGGTACCGTGGCTGGGCATGGTGGCGCACACCTTTAGTCCCAGCACTCCAGGAGGCAGAGGCAGGCAGATCTCTGTGAGTTTGAGGCCAGCCTGGTCTTCAAAGTGAGTCCAGGACAGTCAGGGCTACACAGAAAAGCCCCATATAAAAAAACAAACAAACAAAAAAAGGTGCAATGAAGGATGGTAGTGGCTGCCAATGTTACATTACCTTTACAACATTAACCTGTAAATGATGATAACGGCACATTTTACATTAAGCACATTTCACTATAACGAGGGGAGGGAAAGAAAAAACAAAAAGCATGACATTACACTGGACAAAGACTTCTTAGGCAAATCAAAGGATCACCCATAAAATAATATTTTTATTATCTCAGCGAAATTAAAATCTTTTGCACTATAGAGAACACAGTTAAGAAAATGAAACCACCCCGGCTGGTAAGATGGCTCAGCAGATAAAGGCTGTCAAGCCTACTTTGGGTTTCAATCTCCAGGCTCCATATGGTGAGGAGACTAACTCTCAGAAGCTGTCCTGCCTGCCACACGTGCACCAGAGCATACATGTATACATGCACATGCTATAGGGAGCAGAGGAAGCTCTGAGTGGCTGTGTTTGGTTGGCATAGTCACCGCCATGTCAAGGGGTCCATACCCGCAGACCCATGGAGAAAAATGGTGAAGCTTTCTTCCTGACGGTTAGGCTCAAAGGGAAATGGCAGAGCCTTCCCCTCTAGTCTGTGCATGGATATTGGCAGTGTGTACAGAAATGTCCACCATAGTTGTCCTCCCATCCCAGGCACCCCCAGATACTCATGACCTGAAGCCTGCTCCCCTACACAGACTGCTCCTACAGAGGCTGGCTAAACTATCTCCTCAATCCAGCTGTGCACCATAAGCCTGCCTCTTTCCTCTGCATGGAGCGACCCATTGCCCTCCTTGATTCGGCTGTATTCGACAGCCCCACCTCCCCGCTCAACTTCATATAACACACATGCTCCATTGGGGGAGGGGTTCTGTATCTCCAGCCAAGAGCCCAGACCACCCGATCCCAGCTTTTCCATCTCTGTGTCTGCATTTTCTTCATTCCCTGGCTTCCCGGTCAGGTCTGTTCCTGAAGCTGTGCTGGTTGTGACAACATTCAAAAATAAAGAAGTGTAATTTTAGAAAATTAAATCTTGAGTTTGAACAAAGAGAAAATGAGAAGTCCCACTGAGTGATGATGGTGTGACAATGTCATTACTTACAGCACACATGCAACTCCCGTTTCAGGATTCTGACAGCTCTGCTCAGGCTGAGGAAAGGGGCAGGCGGGTGGGATCCCTGTGATTTCAGATCACCTTCACCTTGAACTAAACTACTCTAAAACCGACAACCTATTAAAACAAAGCAAAGAAAGATTTGTAGACTGCTATCTAAGAATATAAAAGAAGGCCAATAGTTCAGTAAAACAAACCAATTTCTAAGAGCCACAAGATGGACAAAAGATCTGAAGATATATTTTTACGATATAATGAAGTTATGAAGTACACAAAAGATACTCAATGCCATTAGTTCATAGGGAAATCCAAATAAAAATCAGGAGATACGACACCTACCAACGCAGTTAGGCAGGTGCCCCTCAGCAGTGGAGTACACCCAGACACACCCACCACATGCTAAAAATACTGCAGTTGGGCTGGAGAGATGGCTCAGCAGGTAAGAGCACCTACTCCTCCAAAGGACTCAGGTTCAGTTCCCAGAACCCACACCACGTGGCTCACAACCTCCTGGAAACTCCAGCTCCAGGGGATCTGATGTCTTCCTTGCACTCCACAGGCCTTACATCCAAACATACCCACACTAACACACAAACAGACACATTTCCATAAAATTAGCAACTTTAAGAAACTATATTTGGTATGTCTAACACAAAGTCCATTTTATAATGCAGTATGGGTTACCTCAAATGCTGTTGAATGTTGCACTGAGAGTGAAAACAGGAAGGCTGTGTGGGTGCTCACCATTAGCCTACACACTCGGAAGCACACTGAGCCACAGGAGTCTTTTGCCCAGAATTTTTTTCTAGTCTTTTGCCTAGAATTACTGCTGAATGACTGGTGCAGACGCTATCGCAATGAGACCATTGGTGACATCTTCTGATGAGGCTCAAGAAAAGCTTATGGAAGGCAGGGGTGATGACACTTGCTGGTTTAGTAAACATCTTATTTTCCAGGAAAAGGACAAGTTTTGACCTCACACTTTCTGGTTTGGGGGTGGGGGGGTGGGATGTATTCCTCCATAGGAAGCAAGAGCATCCTGTATCAGCCTGTTGGCACCCACAAACCTCTCACAACTGTCCATCTTCTAGCGTCCGCATGCTCTAGCTATTAGTAGCAAATGCTTCTGCCAGCTTCTCGGCTGTGAAGTTTTTGGTGCCTTGGGCATAATTTCTTCCTCCTCTTCACCTGCTTCCCTTCTTTCTTCCTGCAGTTTCCTCAGCTTCAGCCTTGATGCTGATGACCCCACGAATGCCTTCCGCATGGATGCTGAATCCCAGGCATTTCCCTAGAGCTAACATCTTGTGACTGACTACATCAATAGCATCTCCGTCAAAGCCCTTGCTTGAGTGGACTCACATACATCTTCAGAACGTTGCTTCAGAGGCAGTTCGTTCGCTGCCAGGTGACTTCTCCCTACGCAGCAGCAAAGTTCTGGATGGCACCTAGGACCGTAATACCTTCCCCAACCCCTAGGAGTGTTTGGAAAGGCTCTGGCTTCCTCAGCCTTGGCAAACGCCTGGCATGAATGGCGTGCTTTGAAAGCAGCTATGGCGCCTGGGCCACTGGTGGGAAAAGCAGGGTGGTGTTCAGAAGCAGGCATTCCGCTTTCACATCAGGATGCATCAGGATGTAAGTCAGCCACGTGACCCGGATGTCTGGAGCATTGTCTGGGATCAGAAGGATCATGAATGAGATGCTGCTTTGCCTACAATATCTCTGGCTTATGAATATAACAGTTCAGAAACCAATCTTCAGAAAAGTCAGCCAGACTTTCTTGTTATGGTAACGGTAAACAGGAAGTGTGTGCTTGCTTACATTCTTAAGTGTTCTGGCATTCTCCAAACAGTAGATTAGGAAAGGCTTTAATGTGAACCCTGTAGCATTTCCTCCCCAAAGCAGAGTTACATGGTCCCTGAATCCCAGCATTCTCTTGGGCTCTGGATGAGAATGTGCAGGCTGTGGTATGTGCTTCCCGAACAAGCTGGCCTCATCAACATTAAATATCTGTTCTGGTGAGCCTTTCTGATCCACAATTACCCTACGCAACTCTTCCTTAAAATCTTCAGCACCGTCAACACCAGCAGCCCTGGCCCACCATTGAGCACAACACTATGAAAATTATGACACTTTTTGAAGCACCGGAAACCCACCCATGGCGTGCCGTAAACATCTGTGGATGCATAGGTTCATCGTGCTCACTGAGCATGTTGAAAGACTTCTTGCCTTAGCCTGGATCCAAGGGCTGCGTGGCATGTGCCTCTGCACCTGCTCTTCTATCCACCCCACAAGTAATTTTTCTATATCGTTGATCAGCCCAGGGCTCTTAGAGTTGACAGTGGACTTAACAAACACTGATGATTTCGCTGCCTCACGGATCCCCTTATCCTTCAAGATGACTTGAGACTGTGGACTGGCAAAGTCCTAACTCCCATGAGATGACCATCATGGGCTGGACAATTATCGTGAGTTTCATCTCCAGAGTAACCACCTTCCTCCTGTTTCTTTACACCAGAAGCAGGATACACAGAAGGGCGTCTTGTAGACGTGGTGGGATGCAACACCATGATACCCAAAAGCACAGGCAACACAGACACGGTCAAGTTTTCCCTCGTGACCCTGAGTTGCCTGTCATGGCCAGGTGCTGTGACATGCTATCAAGACATCACATTATCAGCCAGGGAAAAGACCATCATTAGACAGCAAGTTTCTACCGAGTGTGCATGGCTTTTGGAGCACTCTAAGTTGAATCACCTTTCTATCAGGGCCATCTGTAATCAGTCAGACAATACAAAGCAAGCTTAGGGTGAGGAGACGTGAACCCTCACAGCACTGCAGATGAAGTATGCTGAAACCCAGAGAGAGAAAGTAAAACACACACGCTTATGCCACTCAGCAGCTGCAAACCGAGGTACCTATCTAAGAAAGGAAAACCTAAGCTCACACTATGACATGAACATACTCATGTTATTACATTTTCTTTTTAAATAGGGTCTCACCAGGTAGTCCTCACTGGTCTGGAACTCACAGCGTAGAACAGACTGGCCTTGATCTCAGAGATCTGCATGCTTCAGCCCCCAAAAGACTGGAGTGAGAGGTGTGCACCTTCACACCTGACTAGGAGCACTGTTCTTAAGAGTTAAGCCTGGGAATGTAAAGCCACCCAATGTCCAACAACCAGGTAAACAGAGAAACAAATGTGCCTTAACTATATAATACAATACCCATTGGCTACATGCTTTAATCCTGATGAAAAGCCTCACTCGAGGTGAAAGGTGAAATGGTCCCAAAGACTTCCTACTGAATGGCTCTGTTTTCAGACAGTGTTTACAAAAGGTTACAGTCATGTTCACAGACACAAAAAACCAAGCCACTGGTTGATTAGGACTAAAGGGAAAAGTGAGGATTAATTTTTAAGTGGACATAAACAAACTTCTTACAGTGATTAAAATGTTCTAAAACTGGGTCCTAGTAATGTCTGCACAGTTCTACAAACGTGCTAAAGTCGCTAAATTCACTTACAATGGGCAATTTTGGTATGGACATTATACCTCAAGATTTTTATTTAAAAGAATCAGAGAAATGTGTATAGGTTTCCAAAATTCTCAAACTGCCCACCTCATTCCCAAAAAACACCAAAGAGAACCTAAATAAATAATTCCCAAGGACTAGCCCAAAGCCACTATCTTAAATTGCAATGTTTTCTGCTAACTGTTCAATTCCATAACTTGTAAACACACCTACACCACAGCTGAAGACCACAAATCAGCCTGTCTGCCCAGCCAAGTGTCTGAAATGGAAAATGGAAACACAGCCAAGTTCAGACTTTGTACTGACTACAGGTCATTTTAGTGACACAAATCATGTGCCTGGGAAGCATGAAGTATCGGTCAGCAATGTAAGCCATGGGCTACTGTTATAGCTGTAAGCAGTAACATCTATGATGTATAATAATATAATTGGATGTAGTTAATCTTGTTTTCATCTCACTTGTTTTTTTTTCTGAAAGTATACTGATTTGCCACCTAGAAAATGACTTGAATGCTTCCTTTCAAAAATGGTGCTTGTCAAAATATTTTTGTACATTTTGATCAAGCAGCCCTCAAATGTGTTACTTTATAGTTCAAACACAAACTTAAGATGTTCTGAAACAGCTTCTTTAATTAGCAAAGCAGACATATGGTCTCCGACTTTTGATGGCCCACCTTACAATTTCTCGACTTCGTCACCATAGAAAGGTGGCGGGCATTTAGAGCCTGTTGTTCAGATCTTAGGCTTTTCGTAAACTAGCAATACAAGCCAATGCTATCTCTTGGTGCTGAGCAATAACCCATGCGCTTCAGGATACTGGGTGGCTACTGCTTTTTGAAGTAGTTTTCTGTTTTCACATTCTTTCCATGGCTGGAAAAAATACGTATCTGTGTGTCATGAGACATGCCATTATTTATTTCAAAAGAGGGTTTATATTAGAAGATTCTGCTCAGCTGGGCATGCTGACAGACCACTCTAAGCTATGGTGTTCAGTCCATTAGGTAGACCCAATGCCTTATTTTTTTCAAAGCTGAGGGTCAAACCAAGGGCCATGTGTTATGTAACCAAGCACCCCCCATTGCACCTCCTCGCCCTTTAAAGGAATTTTTGAACTTACAGGGCCACATCTAGGAACAATCCTACCAGAAGTCAAGAAGCACCTTGAAAAAGCGCTTGGCTTCTAATCTACATATTCATACCACATACAAACACAAACACACATAATTATATGTGTTTTCTTCACACCATAACAAAGGTTTACTTAAACTATGTATGCTACTACAGTGCCAGCCACAAAAAAATTGTTTTCACTTTATTTTTAACAGAGAAATAAAAATGGGCTCTTCTCATTGCTTAACCTAGGTGGCTATTTCAAAGAATAAAATATTAATTTTGTTTTCTCCTACTCCTGGCAAGGGGAATGCTATTTAACCTAAGCCCTAAACACTCAACCTTATCTGAAAAACTCCTTGCTTTAGCACCAGGTGGCACATTTTCAAAATAAAGGGACTCTAGTAACAGGAGATGCATGCTAATAACACAGGGCATTATTATAGAGGATGTCCCTATATTTCCACGGCATCTGTGTTTCTTTTAGAAAGATTTTGCTACTGTGTGACACTACACTACAGTTGCCATTTTTAATAGTTTAAAATAAGCAAGGGGCTGGGGAGTGCCTGGGGCTAAAGCTCTTGCTGTGGCTTGTGTGTCTGTAATCCTTGATGAGGACACAGAGGCAGGAACTTACCTAGTGGCAAGTTACACAGTTCAGTGAGACAGTGAGTCTCAAATGAGCAAGGCAGAGAGGGACAGAGCATCAGACTCGACTGCACTGAGGTCAGCCTCCACCCCAAAACACACACACACACACACACACAACACACAAAAGCCAAGGAGAGAAAAGTATCTTTAGTCTGAAGATTTACTTTTTAAAATGCTTTTTTTTTTTTTTTTTTTTAAGACAAAGTTTGGGGTAGACCTTGAACTCCTCATGCCCCTGCCTCTACCTCCTGAATGCTGGAATTACTGGTGTGTGCTTGCCAGCTGGCCTAGTTTTAAGTGATGTCAGGAATCAAACCAAGGGCTACCTGCATTGCATACGAGGCAAAGCGCTCTACCAACTAAGCTACATCTCCAGCCATTTAAAATAGATCCTTTAAAGGCCTAGTTGTTTGGCTCAGTGAGGTGGCTCAGCAGAAAAAGGCCCTTACTGCTGAGCCTGAGGACCCGAGTTTGATCCCTGGAATCTACATGGGTAGAACAGACTCCTACAAATTGTTGACCTCCGCGCGCGCGCGCACGCACACGCGCACACACACACACACACACACACACACACACACACACATGATCATGCCTCAACTATCACCGTTAGAAAAGATAGCAGCCACACTGCATGTAGTACTTTTAGATTCCACTAAACTGCTTCTCAAGAAATAGGTTTCCTCTGCCTTATTCTGGAACAATCTCTTACCAGAACCAGGTAGGCAAGTGAGCACCCTGATTGGGGACTTTGAGAGAGAGAGAGAGGATCTGCGCACACAGTGGTAGAACAGAAGCTTGTGAGCGGAGTCGTCTCGAAGTGCATGTAGCAAGTGCCCAATAAAAGTTAGCAGAAGGCTGAAATTCAGCACTGAAGGAGATGACAAGAGGGGCATTTTTACTTCGATCAAGCAGACACCAAGGCCTGCAAGTACAAGACAGAAAGGATGTCAAGAGAACGCCTTTGCCAACGCAAAGTCGTTTACATGGAAAGTGGGTTTTGTTACTGACACGGGGTCTCGAGTATTCCAGCCTGGCTTGGAACTCCCCTATGTAGCAGAGGATGACCTTGAACTCCTGATTCCTGCCTCTCTCTCCCCAGAGCTGGGATTAAGGCACGAACCACCATACCCTTGCTTGTTTGAGGTTTTGTTTGATTTTGCAGTATTTTAACAGAGGCTTCTAATAGTTCGACCCTACCTACATCTACCGTGAAAACACAATCACAGTGGTCCTCGAAGCCTATAAAACGGACACGAAGCGTTCCTCTCTTTGCCAAGCGTACCGTGGGGGTCTTGGTGGAGAGCCACATCACCAGCCAGGCAAGGGACTTTTCAGTACAGGAACTTTCACTAGTGGCAGCTAAAACGCACTCTACCGGAAGCCCGTCTGTACAGGCAGATCCCTAGATTAGCAACGACAGCCCACTGGGCCCAGGGTGTCCACGCACCTCCAAGGCGCTGCGACAGGGTACGCGCACTCGACGAGGCGCGCGCCCAAGGTCGCCAGGCCCGCGAGCGGCGGGCAGATGTCGGCAGAGTGTGCCACCTCCTGCCCGCGGCTCACCAAGGGCAGGGGCATGGGTACACCTCAGCACGCCGCCCGGCGCGGCGCGGGGAGCAGAAGAGCTGCGTCCTCTCGCCGCAGGCTCGCGGGGGCCCGGAGGCTGAGGGACACCCGACACTCACCGCCGCTCAGCCCCCACGGAGAGCACCGGGGGAGAAGTCACGGACACAGAGCCCGCAGCTCTGCGAGAGCAGTCCCGCTCCGCCTCTCCGCGCATGCGCCACCCCCGCGGGCACCGCCCCGCCCGGACGGGTCCACTGTCCGAAGCCGAGGGGGGACGGAGGTCCAGCCCACCGAGGTTCTGCGGGGACGCACACACGGTGACTGGAAGACGGAGTTCGATGCAGATAAGACAGTTATATGAATGATCCTGTCCCGGAGAATAGCTACTCCGGGGTCCCGGGGTGTTTTCCACCGGGCGCGTCCGCAGCAGCTTCCCCCTGTGCAGCCGAGGCAGTGCGGGCACTTGCCCGGCGGGCGGGGTCCGAGCGGCCGTTGGCGGCTTTGAAAGCGCAGCGGCGGGAATGTTTGCAGGTGCGAACCGGCGAGGTAGGCCTCCGCGACGGCACGTCGGACCCGGGGGGCGGTGGGAGAGGACTAACGGAGCCAGCCCCCAGACCTCTGCGGGGAACCCGGGATCTCGAGGTGGGGGGGGTGACACTAGTGGAACCCGGGTCCCGCGGCCTGAGGGCGGTGCCCGCGTCCGTGGCGTCTTCTCCGCCCGGAGTGGGGCGGGGCCTTGCCGGGGAGTCTGCGCTGTGGCAGCTCGGTCTGCACTGCTTTGAGCCCTGGGGTCCGACTGGATTTCAGGTCTCCAGTTCCTGACCTCGAGTCTTTTTTTTTTTGTCTGTGCATCCTGTTGCTCTACTCCTATGCTCCCTGCGCGAACACGAGATCGTTACTTACGAGGGAACTTTTTTTTTTTTATCACGTGTTCATTCAACAACTGTTGTCTCAGCCACTGCTACAGAAAAGCGCTAGAAAGTAGAAATTGAAATAGTTACAGGGAAAAAGATCATGCTGCTTTTGTTGACATGTTACGTCCTTTCTGTCATTTCTTCTAGGAATGGCATTCTGCGGGCCACTCAGAATTAAGACTCTTGGGAAGTGCTGAGGAATGTAACGTCTTGTCCTTGGGCACCTCTGATCTCCGAAGCTTAGCAGCGTTTAGCCTGGTTAGTACGGGGATGGGAGAAATGCCTGCTTTGCATACACGCCCTTCCCCACCCCAGTTTATCTCATCCATGCCCAAGAAAGACCTCCCAGGTGTTCTCATGGACGAAGTGTTAGTTTGATAGTTGGCAGGCTGTTGGACCCAAATCCTTCCCATGTGCACACTGCTTAGGGAAAGCAACCAGTCCTTCATTCTTCAGGCATTTGTCAAGTGCAAATGAGAAGGTTCTTGGGTGACTGGACTCACTTGAGTGACTTGACTTGACAGTCACTGAAATTGTTAGAATCAGAGCCTGGGCTCTGGCAGTCCTAACAAGCTGGGCTCAGGCTGTGATCCTCAGTAGGCCAATTAAATGGACAAGTGATAGAGAAAAGAGATGTATCCAGGGTGATCACACTGAGAAGAAGGAATCGGTCTAGCGACCCACACCCACCAAGCCCATCTTTGGTGTTCAGACCTGAGGCAGAAGATTAAACAGAAAACGGAAGGTGTGCACAACTTAGCAGTCCTACCTACAGCATAGTCCTTCCTGTCCCCAAGCCACTGTTGTCCTGGTTTCATTCTCTTCTTCAGGAGGATCTGACACATAGACAGAAAAGCTCCTCTGGCTGGCACCAGGTGTCAGCCTTTCCTTCTCCATTAGATTCTTGGGCAGGTTTCCATTTCTTGGTGTTTGTTGTCTCAAACAGAAAGCACCCGAGTGACTCTCCTTAGAATGACTTTGCTCCTGCCAGGACAGTTATAACACGGCTATACATTTTAGAGACATAGCAGTGAATAAGACGAACGTAGTCCCTGTCTTGAGCACATGCGAAAAAATATTATTATAGCTATGATAAAATAATAAAGCTGATGCAGGTGGATCTGTAAAAACAATAATCCTTGGAAGATTAAAAAGTAATTTTTTATTGGATGGTTTCAGTAAGTTTCCTGGGGAAAAGAAAAGCTGAGAACTGAATTGCCACAAAAAATTATAAGAACTTTCTAGTCGAGCCCTTTTATCTTACAGGAATTAAGACACGGTGTAGCTGAAGAGGTGGGACTGGGGATGTAGCTGAGGTGGAGAGTGTTTGCCTCAAGGAAGGCCCCGAGTTCTGTGTTCAAACAGACGTGCACACACAAAAAGAAAAGGAAGAGGAGGTATTCAACAAGAAGGAAGCAAAGGCTAGGTGATACAGAGTCTTGTAGACCATGCAGAAGGTTTTGGTTTTGACTTTTAAGAATGGTCTCAAAACTGAACAGTATAGTAAATGATATTCTATTTGCACAACCTTAATTCAGTTCATTTTTATCCTAAACCATGCTGTGGGTTTCAGTGCCTTTTTAAAAATGGAGTCAGCTGGAACTGGGGAGGCAGCTCAATTGATGGGGTGCTGGCCTGCCATACAGTATGGCCAGGGTTCATCTCCCAAACCACATGACACTGGACATGGATGCTCACACCTGTAATACCAGTGCCTGGGAGATAGAGGCAAGAAGATGAGAAGTTCAAAGCCAGCCTGAGATATCTGAGACCCTGTCTCAAAAAGATAAAAATAAGGAGCTAAAGAGTAGCTCCTTGCTGCTCTTTCAGAGGACCTGAGCAGAGTGCCCAGCAGCCACATCAAGGGCTCACAACTGCCTGTAACTCCAGCTCCAGGGGACACGACACACTTGTCCAAATGGGAGTATACAAGCACACCCATGGTGTAATGTTCACACAGTCACACACTCGTACATAAGTTAAAAAGTAAATAAAGTACAGTCAGTTATATATCTTACAGCCAACAGTCAGTGGCAGTAAATTACATGCACTGTCTAAGAAGTTCTGATAATGCTAATGTCAGTTACAGCCAGGACTCTTGTGAGGAGTAGCCACCCATCTATCTTAGTAGTCCTAGGGTTGTGAGGGGGTGATGAGAATGCCAGACCCGTCCTTCCTCTTAACCATGGGTACCAAAGCCCATGCTGTTCACGGAAATTGAAGTCCACAGGGAAGACTTGTTTAGTCTTCACTTACAAGTCATGCTTGTTAGCTAGGCACAGTGACGAGCGCCTTTAATCCCAGCTCTTGGGAGACAGACAAGTGGATCTCTGTAAATTGGAGGCCAGCCTGGTCTACATAGTGAGTTCCAGGACAGCTACATAGTCAGACCTCATCTCAAAAAAAAAAAAAAGAAAGAAAGAAGTTATGCTTGTTTGAGTTTTACCTCCCACATCAGTATTCCAACTGAGGTAACAGTAGGATTAGCTGTGCCCTCTAAAGGCTCTGAAGAAAGTAATAAAAGGCTTGGGATCTCCTTCCCCTTTACCACAGCTTTAATACTCCTGAGAGTGGCCTGTTGTTGAGGGAGCTGTTCCACATCGTTGCTCAAGAGTAGGTGGGCGCTGGAAGGTTTCACCTGCGGACACAGAGCAGGACAGTATGGTACCATTAGCAATTCGTTAAAGCAAGGAAACGGACACTGCAGGTATCCACACTTGTAGTGTACATAGCATAGGGAATCGCTCCCGACTGAAATGTTACATGGGAACTTTCAGAAGTAAGTTTCTGAGTACCTTTCATTGTATCTGCTGCATCACATGGCAGAGCGATTTCCTGCATCTGTGAGTGTGTGTGTGGTTGTGTGGGGCGTGCAAATGTGTGTGAATGCGTGGTTATGTGAGCGTCTGTGTTCCAGAGGTACACAATCAGTGTCTTCCTTAGTCACTTTCCACCTTAGTTTTTGAGACAGGCTCTCACTGAGTCTGCAGCCCACTGCTTCTGCTAGACTGCCTAGCCAGCAAGCCTCTTCACCTGAAGCCTTCTGCTCCCCCCATGCCTCCAAGCACTAGGATTTTTTACAAGGGTGCTAGGGCTCAGACTCAAGTTCGCCTGTATAGCAAGATCTTTACTGACTGCATCATCTCCCCAGCCCTCTTTAAAAAAAGAAATTCTTGAGGAAAGTAATCCAAGTCCACTAGACCTGACCTCCCATGAGAGTGCATAATCCTGTCTCCAGTGACCTACGTAATCACCCCCCATGGGATTCTTAAAGGTCCACCACCTCTCAGTACCAGACAAACTTTTGGAGTACAGCAAACCCTTTCCAAATTATTCTAAAGCATCCTGCGTATAGTAACTCATACTTATAATTTCAGCTCTAAGGAGGCTGAGGCAGGAAGATTGCCACCACTTTGATATAAGTCTTGGCTACACAGTAGATGCCAGGCTAGCCTGGGCCATAAAGTAAGACCCTGTCTCTGGACAAATGAAGGGGGAAAAAAAATTAGAGATTGGGATATAGATATAGCTCAGTTGGTAGAGTATTGCCGTAGCATGCAGAAAGGTTGGGTAGGAGAAATGGCTTAACAGTTAAGAATACTTGATGTTCTTCTGGAAGACCCAAGTTCAATTTCTAGCACCCACAGCAGGTGGGTTATAACCAGCTATAACTTCAGTTCCAGGGAAGCTGACACCTTTAGCCTCCTCAAGCACCTGAATTCATGCGCAAAGACACATACTGCCACACAAAGAAACAAATGAATAAAAATAAAGTATATATATATATATATATTTTTTTTTTTAATGATCCAAGGTCATCCTCAGCCAGGCATTGAGTTTGAGCCCAGCCTAGGCTACATGAGACTATACATATGTAAGTACATACATACATACATACATACATACATACATACCCAGCTTAAAGAGAAAGTAATTACATTCTACGTTCTCAAACAATATAGACAGTTAAGAAAAGGTAAACATAGCAAATCCTGGGTTAAATCAGATACTGAACAATTCACACTAAACTTTCTGTACTTGATTAGTACATTACTGTGCTCTTTTTGTTTTGTCCAAGGACCAAAGAAATGAATGAGAATGTTGCTGAGTTTCTCCGGAGGCTCATCCTGAAAACGCCTCTGTGTGAGATGAAGACCATCCTAAAAGCCTGGGACTTCTTGTCTGATGACCAACTGCAAACCATAAAGTTCAAGCAGAAAAAGGAATCTCTGGCCCAGGAAGTGATTCTTCTGTGTGAGGTAAGAGCGTCCAAAATTGTCAGCCAAATAAATTAATGCAGTAGAATATAGTTAGACCAGTATGTTCTTATGTTAAGGAAGTTTTTCTTTATTTTTTTAAGCAAAGCTACCAGTTCTGAGAAGCAAGAACAATCTTTCCAAAGACGGGCCACCATAGTCAGATGCTGGTGTGCAAAAGCACCTTTGCTGGTTAGGGTGTTCCGTCCCAGGACTGTGGAAACCAAGGCAGGGGTACGGATATATGTTCAGGTAAAGCCTGAGCTACATAGTGAATTCAAGGTCAGCTGTACAGAAAGACTGACTCAGAAACAAATAAGACGAGATCAGTCCATCCTCTCTACTGTTTAAAAAAATTTTTTTTTATTCAGAATAAAAAAAGAGCCAAATGTAATACCTAAAACTATAAAATATATAGGAGAAACAAGAGGAAAATCGTAGCTTATTAAGAGCACCTATGAACAAAAAGGTGGTTCATAAAAGAAAAACCAATTGATAAACTGATGGAATTAATCAGTTTTTTTCTTTGAGAAATACTGTTAAGAAAATCCACAGACTGAAGGAAGCTTTCTAAACCCTGACCTTTAAAGGACATGCAGCTAATGTATGTTAGAAAGTCTCAAGAGTCAGTAGTAAGAAAAAAGAGGATCTCAAAATAACAATGAGAGTGAAAAGAAGGATAATAATGACGTGGGTGGGAGAGATGGTTTAGCGACTAAGAGCACTGGCTGCTTTTCGAGAATAACCCGATTCCATCCCCAGCGCCAACATGGCAGCTCACAACCATCTGTGACTCCAGTTCCAGGGGATCTTACAGCCTCTTCTGGCCTCCAGGGCACCAGGCACACACACACTGCATTGACATATATGCAGGCAAAACACCCATACACATGAAGATAACGTTTTGAGCATATAAACGATTTACAGGTGATAAATAAGCATCCAAAGAAGTGTTCAAAATCACTAGTCATCAGATAAATGCAAATAAATGCCACAGAGTATGGTCGTTAGGATGGCTAGGTTTGGAAAGATGTATCATACCTATGTTGGATAGATGGGCTGTCTGCTGAGCTGTTTGTACCTCAAGCCCAGCATTCGTTTTGTGTTTAAGTGCTTGGGGTCGAAGCCAGGATCTCATACATGCTGAGTTAACTGCTCTGCCCTGAGCTCTATCTTCCAGCCCTTGACAGTTTCTCTAAAAATCTAAATATTTGCCACCATAGATGAGCCATTCCACTGCCAGGCATTCTCTCAAGAGAAATGAACACACATGTATATTAGCACAGCGTTCATCATAGCTAAAACCTCGAAGCACCCCAAGTCCATCCACAGGTGAGCAACAGATTGTGTCGTATTCGCATAACAGAAAACTGCCAGCAATAAAGAAAGAATTGAACTATGGATGCAAAAATACGGCTGAGTGTCAAAATAATTATGCTGAGTAAAGGAAGCCAGATCAAAAAAGAATCCAACCTTATGTTAACATTCAGATAAAACTAGAACATGCAAATGTTATGACAGAAGGAGGAGCCGTCGTCGTCGCTGCTTCAGCACCAAGGATTCGGGGGAGGAGAACTGGGGACAGAAAAGGATCTGGGAGTGAGAGACACAAGGCCCCCCGGGCAGAGAGGTTGCTGGCAGTGTTTGCCACACTGACATGACAGCGGTTCATAAGTATATTTATGGCCACATCTCAAAATGTTAAGTATATTATCTTACTTGTGGCTGTGAGAAAATGCCCTTGACAAAAGCAGCTTCAGCAAGAGAGGGTTTGTTTTGGCTCACACTGCTTCATGATTCAGAAAGCATGGCAGCATTGGAAGAGCACCTGGCAACTGGAGCACGCTGGCCAGTCAGGTGCACAGACACCCAGAGAGCAGGAAATATGGCCAGGCTCCAGAGCCTCATGGCCCTGCTCCCAGTGACCCCCTTCCTCCAGTGAAGCTCCACCACCACCCTCAAATAGCACCACCTACTGGTGAGCAGGTACTCACCATGTGAGCCTGTGGGGACATTTCTCATGCAAACCACATCATGTGTGCAGTTGAATGTATGTTCAAGAGTGGGGTGTTTTGTTTTGTTTTGTTTTGTTTTGTTTTGTTTTGTTTTGTTTTGTTTTGTTTTGGAGACAGAGTCCCATTCTATATTCCTGACTGCCCTCAAACTCATTACAGTCCTTCTGCTTTTGCTTCCCAAGTACTAGGAGTACAGCCTGTGAACCACTATCCCTGGCTTTTTAACATTTTAAAATCTAAAAGTTGAGTGATAAATGTGGAGTGAGCTTCAGGAGAATGCGGGCTGTTGGTTAACAAGAAAATGTAGGTTGGAGATAGATTGTCAAATCAGTACTTCAGGCTTACTAATAGAGTGCTCTGGCCAGCCCTAAAATAGGCTTGAGGGGGATAGCACCCCATTTCCTAATCAGTTTACCCTGTCTTTCAGGAGAAGTGTGCAAGTATTGATGATGTGGCTCTTCTAGACATCGCATGTAAGTTTTGGGGACTTTTCCTTACATATTGGAGTTTTGTTTCATCAGAGGGAATTTCCCATGTTAATGCAGATTCTAGGGTCTAGAGGTGGCTCGGCAGTTATGAGCACTGACTAATCTTCAGAGGACCTGAGTGCAGTTCCCAGCGCCCCCATTGTGGCTCAGATCCGCCTGTAACTAATTGCAGTGATGTGATGCCCTCTCCTGGCCTCGGGCACTGCATGCCCATGGTGCATAGACACAGGCAGGCAAAACATACACATGAAAATAAGCAAATCTTTAAGGATGCAGATTCTAGAGTTGAGAGGCCTGGTACCAAGAGGTCAGAGTTCCTGCTCTCTCACTGACCAGTCTAGTGTCCTTTGCTGTGTTGTATCTCCTCTCTGACCCGCAGACCTTCCCTCAGTCAGTGGACATGAAACTGTTTTTAGGACTGTGGAATGAAGAACATTTAGAAACAGGAACTGGTTCATCTGGGGCATAAAACATGATATATTGGCCTTTATTTTGTTACGCATTTGGAAATGCGCCACCAAGAATTTGCCTAAGTGCAGCTTCTTTCCTCTTACTACTCGAAATATTCTTTCTTCAGTATTCACTTATGAACTTTAAGAACACAGACCCTACAACTAGATTGCTTGGGTTGGTTTCACAGATCCATCATTGCTTCCCTGTGGTGCCGGGGGATGGTGGCTCATGTCACTTGTCTTGGTATTTTGATAGCTCTGTGTAATAATGATAATAATCGAGTATGGTTCTGGTAAAGGTCAAGCACTGGGAACAGGTTTCTCTGGGTATGGGTTTGTTTTTATTCTTAACTTTTATTTATTGCGGGGGTGTTGTGCATACAAGTGACACAGCTGTGGACATCAGGACAAGTAGCTGGAGTCAGTTCTGTCCTACCTTGAGGGCCCCAAATTAAACTCAGGCTGCCAGGCTTGGCAGTGGGTACCTTTAACAGCTGAACTGTCTCTGGCCCAGGGCCTGTTTGTTTGTTCACCTTGATGTTCACCTTTTAGGTGAAGGGTAATGGAGTTCTTAAAAGAAGTTCTGACTTTCTGTTGCACCAGTGTTGTTCTTGCCAAACATTCAATTTTACCAGTAAAGACTCAGGAGCCAGATTCTGGAGTAAAAGCCCAGTGACTCAGAAAGGCAGAGAAAGCACCCAGCTGACCCCCCTACTCAGTCGATATCCCAGAAGGAAGAACTTTTTCCTTCTCCCCCGTGTCTTAAACGCCCCCCCCCCAACTGAATGTCCCTCCTTTCTCTTTCCTGTGTGTCTCTCTATCCCATCCTCTGGACTTCCTCTCACTCTCTATGGTTTTTTTCCTGTGTTCCCACCCTGTCGACTGGTTGCTTGCTCTGCTTCTTAACCTATGGTTGACTTTATATAAGCCTATCTACAGAAAGCTGTTGGAATAAAGGTGTGTGCTAGGGCTGAGCCATACCACAACTAGAAATAGGTTTCTCCAGAACATAGTCTCAGAGTTCACAATGTGATCAAATATCCTGCAACACGTCAGCGTTATTCAGAGACCAGTTAGCAAGTCTTACAGAACCAGATAATACAGTGCTAGAAGATAAATATTTTGGGATGGGCTGGCATCACATTTTGCCCTTTGTGACACCTGCTGTAGATGAAAACCTATCAATCAGTTATCTGTTAACAGGCCCTTTGCCATGAAGAGAAATAGGGGCCAGGAACAGGGACAAGCAGACTCAAGAAAGAAAAAGATGCTGAACCTAGAGAAGGACAAGGAGAACATTGATGCCAAAGTTGATGGTACCCTGCGTGAGGAATCTATATTCCCTTCAGAGATTAAACAAGCTGATCTGAGATGAAGACACAGCACAAGAACAGTTTGAATCCAGAGGGTAAAGGGAAAGAGTTGAGCTTGCTGACTTCTGTTTCTCTTCTAGGTACTCTTCTTGCCTTCTGAAGGGCATCTTCTGTGTCACACACTTATTCTTGCCTTCATTTCACATGCATTGAGTATCTTATGCGGGCAGGTTTAGCCTGGGATACACCACTGAACAAATCTCTCCTCTTCACAAGTGCCCTGAAGGGAACCAGGTGGCAGTTTGACTGTAGTCAGGGTAGGCCACTGAGTAGTAGCTAGGCCACTGAGTAGTAGCTATTGAGAAAAAGATGAGGAATGAGGTGTTGAAGGAACAAGGCCTGCTGTGACAGCTTTGTCAGAGTCATTCCATCTCGTGGGTTCCTGCTGTGTTTTGCATAGCAGATGTCTGTAAAAATGACAGACAAAAGGCTGAAGAGATGGCTCGGTCATTAAGAATACTTGCTGTTCTTCCAGAGGACCAGGGTTTGGTTCCCAGCACCCACATGGTACCTCACAACCACCTGTAACACCAATCCAAGGGCTCTAAGGCCCTCCTCTAGCCTCCATAGGCACCAGGCACTCACATGGTACATAGACAGACATAAATTCAGATAAAACACCCACATATAGAAAATGTCCCTATTGTTTAAAATAATAAATAAAAATAAGAAATGACCTAGCAAAAGTGATGAGAAACACTTAAATTGAACTGTGTCATCTATGTTGAGTTGAATTATTGGGGTTTGTTTATCTGTAGCAAATTTACTTCATTTAAAGTTTATGTTTTATGGGTTTTTTTTTTTTTAAGTTTGAACTTTGATTTTAAAGCTGTGTCACTTCATCCATGGGTTACTATTATTTTATAGCATTAAAAAGTGTGTTTATAGGATGATGGAAAGGAGAACCATAAAAACACACTCTGTTCAAAAATGTCAGTGTCCTCTAACACATTATGTTGTGGTTTTAAAAATGAATATATGTTTATCAGCACATACTTCAAAGTCCTCAGACACAATACTAGGCTGTATGCCCTTCTCTTTCAGATACTCAGGTTCTCCGGCACCAGAAGCTTTGGAATGTCTTTCAGATGAGTAAAGAACCAGGTAATGTTTTGCACTTTAAATTAAACATCTGTGCTGGTGTTTTGGCAATTTAAAAACGAGCAGTACATGTGGTCTTTTTGTTGGAGGGTTTTGTTTTGTTTCTAAGACGTCGTATCCCTGTGTAGCATAGACTAGCCTGTAACTCACTGTGTAGACAAAGCTGGCCTTAAACTCACTGTAGACAGGCTGCTCTGGAACTCGTGGCAGTTTTCCTGCCTTTGCCTCCAGAATGATAAGATTACAGGTAAGTGCTGCCACGCCCAGCCTAGCTAGCTGCTCTCTGGCTCCTTTTGCAAAGATGTGACTGTTCCTCATTTATGTCCTTGGCACCCTCGGGAGCACGTGTGTGGTATAGCTGTTACTGCTCTGGGATGCACAGGCCGGGGACATTGTAGCTCCCTTAACTTTTTTCTTTATATCTCTCTGCACTTTGACAGGTGAAGATGTCGATCTTTTCGATATGAGACAGTTCCAAAGTTCCTTTAAGAAAATTCTTCGGAGAGCATTAAAAAATGTACGAATTCATCCTCCTGATTTCTACGAAATTCTGTTTCATGATATCTGAGTAGGGGAGGCGGATAATATGCCATTACCTTAAACTGAAGTATTACTTCCGTCTCTCCTGCCCATCCCACCCAGTGCTTCTTAGGAGCAGTACCACCCAGTGGAACTGTGCCATGGCAGAAGCACCCACCCTTTGCTGACAGTGTCCAGTACATAGCTGGTTGCCTCCTGAGGACTTGAGAGGTGGCTGCTTTGCCCGCATGAATGAGTCTTTAAACTTACTTAAATGAATTCCCATTAGATGGACCACATGGCACTAGTGGCTCTGCTTTTGGTCATCAGTCACTTTTGCTTTTGCAGTGAGAAGTGAAGGCATCTAAGTAAGACCCTCTGAAAGACATTCCAGGCTTCTCGTATGGAGGAACTTGAGTATCTGAGAGAGAAGGTCCTAGAGCCTAGTGTTGTGTCTGAGGTCTTTGAAGTGTGTGCTGATAAACATAATCATTTTAAACCACCACATACTGTGTTAGATGACACTGACATTTTTGAACAAAATGTGTTTTTGTGGTTCCAAGCCAGCAGACAGCATAACCACCTGCTCTTCCTGGAGTAAGATCTCAGAGGGAGGAAACAGTAAATCAGCCATGCCTCTCTTCAGGTTCTCCTTTCCTAGGTCAGAGCCCAAATGGAAGGAGGGCTAGCTGATGACCTAACGGTGGCCATTAAACTCCAGAGCAAGCCCAGTCCTGGTTGCCACTTTAGAAAGACTGAAGGCTGGCTTTGAAAGGGACACCACACAACTTCCTGTGCTGCCACATTCCTAAGAGGCTCTAGCTGCTGAGACACATTCATAAGAGCATCCGGACTGGTGCACTCTGCCCACTGCCACATAGAAATCCTGCTGTAAACTTAAGGAGGCACATTAAGTGTGCTAGCCAGCAGCACTAAAAGGGCTTCCTGGAAAACCATGCCCCTCCCCTTTTGTCTGTTCTGTTTTTGAAATAGGATCTTACTACGTAGCCCTGGCTGGCCAGAACTCACAAAGATTTGCCTGCCTCTGCCTCCCAAAGCTAAGATTAAAGGTGTGCCCAGCCAGATGCTTGATTTTTAAATTTGGTTTCATCACTTTGTGTATTCTTGTTTGTCTGCATGTATGTCTGTGTGCCAAGTACATGTCTGGTACCTGCAGAAGCTAGAAGAGGGCACTAGATCCCCTTCAGCTGTAGTTGCAGATGGCTGTGAGCCGCCCTGTTAGTGCTGGGAGCCAAACTGTAGTCCTCTGCAAAAGCAGCAAATGCTCTTAACTTATGAGCCATCTCTCCTGCCAGGTTATTAAAAAAATAAAAAAAATACTTTTTTATTTATTTTTATATATATAATTTTTTACAATTTATTCACTTTATATTGAAATTGTAGCCCTCTCCCTGTCTCCCAGTACCACCTTCCCTTCCTCTTCTCCCCTGTCCCCCTCCCCTAGTCCACAGAGAAGGGGAGCCAGGAAGAAATCTTTTCTTTATAAGGTTACAGTCAGCTTCAGAGTTGACGAGAAGGCTGCAGTGTGGATTCGGGTTGCCTGGGGGACACAACATTCACAGCCGAACCAGTACAAGCCCACTTTCGTGGTGTATTATCCCCAGACTCCATACGCCTTCATTTCCTCCTGCCGTCTGAAGAGCACTGTGCCCCTTCTCCATCAGGTATGAACAGATTCCAGCAGCTAGAGTACTCAGTACCCTTATTCCAAAGGTGCATGTAGGTATAAGCTGCCCAATAAGTTAGTGTAGAATAACCTCGTTCCTGTACTCCTAAGAAAAGGACCAGAGAGCTTCTTACAGCAGAAATGAGACGGAAGGTATTATCTTGGTCTAGTTTTTATTTTTAATGTAAAAGTAATGCATACTTAATATAAAAATAAATACAGTTTAGAAGTCCCAAAAGGTAAAAAATAAGTCATCAAAACTCTCTACCCTTTCTATTCCGTTCACCCCTAAATAGCTACTGTCATTTCGCTGTCTCATTCCAAAGCTGTTTTGTCAGTGTCAGAAATAGTGATTTTTGTATTTCTGTAATGTGCCTATGGCAATTGGCATTTGTGACCATTTTCCATGCAGAATGTACACGAAAATACCACCTGTGTCAGAGGTAACTTCTCTCTTTTTAGGGGTTTGCCTTTGTGTCTTATTCACTGTTCTATTATTGTAAAGAGACACCATGACCAAGGCAGTTCTTAAAAGAAAGCATTTAATTGGGGGCTGGCTTACAGTTTCATCATGGTGGGGAGCATGGCACTGGACCTAGCTGAGAGCCAGATACATCCTATCCGTAGGGTGGGCTGGACACAGGGACTGGGGCATGAGGTTTTAAAACTTCAAGCCCACTCTCAGTGACAGGCTTCCTACTCCTACTCCAAGGAAGCCACACTTTCTAAGCCTTGTAATTTCAAGCATTTCACTCCCTGGTCTAAGCATTCAAATGAATGAGCCGGTGTGAACCATTCTTATTCAAACTACGCTGTGGTCTTACACCATCTTAGCTTCTTTCCCAAAAATAATCCATCACCGATTTGGCCCCGTCATTACTACTTCCTGTTAGCAACTCCTGTGCTTGAGCTGGCTGCATGGCTTCCCACACAGCTGTCTGGTAAAGCAGCCCATTCTCCACTGTCAGCATAGGCCTCAGGGTCCCAAAAAGTGAGAGCAGAATAGAGTTAAATTTCTTTTCACTGGCGGGGGTTGAGGATGGGGCAACTCGCTGTCCTGAGACAGGGCTCAGCCCTGCCTCAGCCTCCCCAGCTGGGCTCCCAGGCGTGCACCGCACCTCCACACAGGGCTCTTTCCATTCGTAGTTGCAGCTCCTGCATTTCCCTGAGCACTGTGTGTAGGCCCGGTGCAGCCCTAACAGTCTTGCTCCTTTCCCTCCAAGGCACTAAAAGTTGCTAGCAAACACCAGCACATCATGCAGATGGTTCTAAAGAGCCGGCACCTGGACTCACTCAAGGCTATTGCTTTCGGAGAGTATAATCAGGTGAGCCTGTCAGCCACTCCACAGCTGAGTTTTCCTTTCCTCTTACACACACTGAACAGGTGGGGGGCCACTCCCAGCCCGTCCCTCCAGATGAGTGGATGAAGCCTTTAGTCACTTCACTTTGTTCATGCTTGTTTATTCGTTCACAGTTCCATACATACACAGTGTATTTTGATCATATTGGCTCCATTTTTCTCTCTCATCTCCATCCTGCCAAACCCCTTATTCACAACAAGACCCTCCCTACCTTCGTGGGGTGGGGTCCCTTTTGAGCCCATTGCCTTTACTTAGAGCTGCTTGAGTGAGCATGGGTGAGCAGTTAGGTACTAGAACAAGAGTGCCTCACAGGGCTACAGCACTGAAGAATATGGCTCCTTTCCCCCGGCAACCATTAACTGCCCAGAGCCCTCACAAAGGGGTAAGGCCTCCTGTGCCTCCCTCTCCAAGATGGAATGATGAATTGTTTGGATGCAGCATTTCCATTTAATGACAAGGGCAGGTCTGCCTCTATGGTCTTAAGATTTCTTCTGTATATAGCACGTGTTGGCACATGTTCGGACTATTTATGTGGGTGGAATTCCGTAGGGAGGTTATGCTGAATATTCTAGAGAGAAGTGATGGCTTTCTGCAAGTCACTGTTTAAAGAGGAAGGGTGGTACGGTGACGATGTTCTTGCCTCAAGGTCCTGCCTCTTTGACTTCTAGACACCAAAGCAAGAACTTCTAACTGTGAACCAAAGTAAATGCTTCTTCCCTTTAAAAAGGAAAATGTTTACTTTTGTTGTTGTTGGGAGTTTTAAGATGGGATCTTGTATACCCCATGCTGGCCTTAAACTTATTACTTAGCTGAGGCCTCTAACTCCCAAGTGCTGGGATTACAGGCATGCGCTACCATGCTGGCCTTGTAAGGAGTTAGAGGGTGGTTTTCTCCCCAACTGACCCTTCTTCGTCTACCCTCCACCCTCCTGCCAGATAGACATCAACTGCTGTTCTGCAGGCCAACTGCAGCATCATTAGCTGTTGCTCACGTTGTTCTCCAAGCTGGAGAAACTGTCAGGGAGATTCACTAGAAAGGATGCAGAAAATGTGGGCTCTGGCAGCAAAGTTAGTTTTTCTAAAAGGCATGTGAAGGGTTTTTCAGGGTGTGAAGACACCCAGGTGGCAGGGCAGTCTCCCATCCCTCTGGCTTTTGTATGACCCTGCACCTTGAGGTAGTTTTGTTTTGTGTTGTACTAGGGATGAACCCAGGATCTCACAGATGCTAGGAAGATGCTTTGACTCTGAGCTGTATCCTCTGCCCAAGATGCGTTGTTAGGCCAGTTCCCCAAACAGCCCTGCTGCATGGCTGGATGTCCGAGCTGAGCTCAGTTTAGCCCACCTGTAGCACAGCCATCGCTTCTTTCTACTTCATAGGAATTTAAAATAAGATTTAACACATTTTACACCTTAGACGCAATTAGTGTCTACAGCCCAACATGTTCAAATTAGTAACATGTTCACTTTTCCTTTCTCACAGACCTTTGAAAATCAGGACTCTACAATGCTTCTGCAAGAAGGAAGCCTTGGACTGGACATGAATTGTATGTGTGCTCAAGACAGAGTGTCTTTGCTTTTAGATGGCTGCTGTGCAGGAAAGCACCCGGGCTAGGATCTCATTGCAGAGCTGGTTCATACTTTAAGAAAAACCAAGAATTAAGTATTCAGAGGGAGAAAGCATACTATCATAGGTGTCCTTCAGAATTTACTAAAATGTGTGATGTCGTTGAGAGTGCTTTCCTGCCCAGCAGCAAACTGCACTCTTTGCATGTGACTGACAGCCATCCTGTGACTGGGAAATCGGGTCTCAGGAAGGCTTGGTAACTCCAAACAGGGTCATGGAGCTAGGTCTGTCCAAGGTGGGGAGCCTGGGTTTCTGATGACCTGGGATCGCTGGTTCTAGAATAATACGGTGGTTGCATTGCTACTCAGAGAACCCGAGTCCCTAGAAAACCTAATCTCAAATTAGCAGTGGAAGGACGTAGAACTGACATTGGAAACCGAGCCCTGCTGGACTCCAGTGGCATTAGAGCTGCGGTGGGTCCCGTGTTAAGACAAGTGATAGAGATGTACTCAAGGTAACGATACAGGATGTGTATTGGAATCTTGATACTGGTGGCACCATAGGTATTTCTTGCTCCCTTTTGTCAGCCTTTATTTTCCAACCGTTCTGTGTAATAACATTATTTCAATGAAAAGAAGGGACTGGAAACATCTGAGCTCCACAAACCGTCTGCAGTTTGGGAGAGGAAAGAATGCTGTGTGTGGTGACATGTATTCTAACAGCAACTCTTCATCTGCACTCATTCACAGTGGATCCAAATGTCATTCACGAAAACAGAGAAGAAAAGGAGAGAATCCACAGAGTCACTCAGGAGACGTTTGGAGCCTATCCTCAGCCACAGCTAGAGTTTGCACAGTATAAGGTAGGATGGTGCAGTGAACATCACCAGCTAGTTAGCACTGTTTTGTTTTGTTTTGTTTTGTTTTGTTTTGTTTTGTTTTGTTTTGTTTTGTTTTGTTAGCGTGCAGGAACTGTAATTGGAAAACATATCCAAAAGCTATTTGCTTTTCATTGATTACTTCAATTTTATGTAACAAATTTATAAGTTAAATAGATCTTTTATTATATTTGTAAGTTCCCTTGTTAGTAAAGGAGGCATCATGAAATTTTGAATTTGTCTTTGTAATTCAGTTGTATATTGCTGGCTGCAGGGAGTTGGGGGAGCTTTACCCTCCTAGCCTACCCACCCACACCTAGAAGAGTACTTAGCACACAGTAAATGTTCCTCATAAATACTTGAATGATTGAGCTGGGTATGGTGGTACACACCTGTAACCCCAGCACAAAGAAGGCTGAGGCAGGAAGATTTCAAGTTCAAGGTTGCCGGTCTGCTTTGCAAATTGGAGGCAAACCTACCTGACTAACTTAGAAACCCAAATACAAGAAGAGAGAAAGCACATATACTCCCTAGCCCCCTAGCACCAGAGGAAGAAAAATCAGTAGTGTAAATATTCTGTAAATTAAATTTGTTCCTGCTGCTGCACCTCATGTGGCCGCGTCAGATGACTGTGTCGGGATACAGGGGTACAAGTCCGTAGCCACCATTAGAAGAACTTAGGTGTATGTCATAGTCATCCTAACGTGAGCCCATGCTCCTTTGTCTTCCTTCCAAACCCCCAATAAAGTTGTTTCCTTGGAGTCTCCTTATAGCTACAGGACACACTTAAAATCTGCCACTGATCTGCTTACTTGGGCCCGAAGGCTATTTGGTTTTTAAAGGAAGAAGTTGGCACCTTTCAAGCTGGTTTGGAGAGGGCATGTGTTTGTTAATGTGTATGCACACACGGCTTTGCTCACGTAGTTACGGAGGCCAGGGGTCATGGTTGGCTACCCTTTGGCCTTGTGCCTCAACACAGGGGCTGTCACTGAGCCTGGACCTCCATTTCGGTCGAACTGGCTGCATGGAGTCCCAACTTCCTCCTGTCTCTGCCTCCCTCCCATGTGCTGGGGTTACATATATGACACCTCACCTAACTTTCACAGCACTGCTGGAGACCCAGACTCAGGCTCTGATGTTCAAGCCGCAAGCACTTTACCCACTGAGCCATCTTACAGCCTGATTGATTGTTTTTCAGACAAGGTTCTGTAGCGTAGGAAAGCCTCTTTCACTATGTAGCCAAAGCTGGCCTGGATCCTCTGGCCCTCTTGCTTCCTCTCGGTCACAGGTGTGGCCGCCACACTTAGCTGTGCCCTGTTAGCTAAACTCTTTTAAGCTCATCATCTAGGACATTAGCTGTCAGTGTGTGATCTCTGGACTGGCAGAACCAGTCACTTGGGAATGGAGAGAATGCATATCTCTTAGCTCCACCCTGTTCCTCCTGGGTCAGGAGAGGTGTGCCCAGCCCTCTGTTTGTGCATGCTCCTGGCTGCTCTAGGCTGCACACTAAAGCTGGAGAGCCACTGGTTCAGAAAACAGACAGTGCTGCTTGTTGAATGCCTCAGAGTGGCTGTGCTCTGTTAGTCTAGGAGTGCACTCACTCCCTCACACCTGATTTTCTCCAACCTCCAGAAATGGCTAGAATAGTGCCAAAGGCACTTGTCTACTCTAACTCACCAATGGCTACATTTTGCCGTGTCTTTCTCTCTCTTTATTCTAAGTACAATTTGAATTCATTGCAGACATTAATCATCCATAGCGCCTCACTTAACTTAAGAGTCACTTAAGTTTGGGGCTATTTATATAGCATGAACACATAGTACGCATGGGCAGAAGGATCACTTCAAGTTCAACGCAGCTGGTCTACCCATGGGTCCAGGCCAGCCATGCCACAGTGAGCCACTGTTTACAAAAAGAAAAGAAAACCCGAGAGTCACAGACTGTGAGGCTTAGGTATTTGGTGACAGTGAAGAATCATTAGAGTTTTACGGCTGGAGCTATGGCTCATAAGTAACCTGGACACTGTTCGTTTGTTATGAAGAGACACCATGACCAAGGGAATTCTTAGAAGAGAAAAGCATTTAACTGGAGGTGTGCTTACCGTTTCAGAGGTTTAATCCAGTATCCTCATGGTGGGTGCATGATGGGATGCAGGCAGGTGCTGGAGTAGTAGCTGAGAGCTACATCCTGATCCATAAGCAAAGAGAAAGACTCTGGGCTTGGCATGGACTTTGGAAACTTCCAAGTCCACCCCCAGTGACACACTTCCTCCAACAAGGCCACACCTCTTAATCCTTATAACTGTCTCAAATAGTACCACTCCCGGGTGACTCAGCTTTCAAGTATGTGAGCCTGTGGGAGCCATTCCTATCCAAACCACCACGAGTGTTTACATACAGTAGGCCCTGGGTTCAGTCTCCGGCACCTGAAAACTTAAAGTATTCCAAAACACTTGCTGTAATCTGCACACTGGGAGGCGAAGGTTAAAGAGCAAGACCTGTCCTCCGTGGGAAGACCCTGAGTAAAATAAAATGATGTCTGGCAATGGCACAGAGATTCCTTTCGGGTCTCCTCTAGATACATACTGAAATATTTCCAGGTCATACTATGTTGTTTTAGGTTTGCCCCTGTCTTGAGTGGAGGAGCACTAACAGCTGAAACCAGAGCTGTTGGTGACAGGTTCAGCTGGATGATATGCATGAGGGACTCATTCTGTGTGACATGTTGGGTTGGGAGGGGCTCTTCCGGCACTAGGCTGTTGAGATGGTATCTGGCCTCAAAACTTGGAATCGTCCTTGACTCAGCCTCCTGGGAGCTAGGATTACAAGTGTGTGCTACTACATCCATTTTCTAGGTACGCTCTGAGTGTTCTTTTCTATGTGTATAAGTGTTTTACCTGGATATGTGTATATGACCCAGATGTGTGTCCATTTTCTGCAAAGCCAGAAGACAGCGTAGAATCCCCTGGAACTGGAGTTAGAGACAAATGGTTGTATGCCACCGTAAGGACACTAGGAACCTAACTCAGGTTCTCAGGAAGAATAGCAAGTGCTCTTAACTACTGAGCCATCTCTCCAGCCCTGAGAATCATTGCTTTTATTTAAATGCAAAATGTAACAAGTGCCTGAGAGCAGCACAGACTGTTGGCTTCCCCGAAAGGTAGGGCATGCTGAGGGAGGTGTGCACACTCAGCCTGACAGTCAGCCTCTCCTGCAGGTCAGGCACTGTGCTGCCACTTTCTGCTGGATGTCTTTCCTAGACCAGATGCTTTCTCTCTTTACAGTTAGCAAGTTAAATGGGCTCTGCCTGTACTGATCCATGTGAAAGAGTTAATGCAATACACAATTTGTTCCTCATCTCTCATCATCCCAGCTGATCCCAGTATTTAACCATCATTTATAAATACCTGTTTTTTTTTTTTGACAGCTTGAAACCAAGTTCAAGAGCAACAGAAGTGAGGGCATCTTGGCTGACAGGAAAGATCCCCTCCGGTGCCTTATAAAGTTCTCGAGTCCACATCTTTTGGAAGCCTTGAAATCCTTAGCACCAGCCGGTAAGTGGTCAGCTTATCTCATCAGCCAGATAAGTAGCAACAGCTGCTTGCCTCTGAGTGTTCCTACCTCTCAGGCTGCTGCCGATCAAGTCCTGTTTCTTTCTGTGCCTGGTACAGGGTAGGAGAAAGTGCTTCAGACCTTGGCCATTTTAAAACTGATTGTCCCCGCAATGATTCTGATGTTTTTTGTTTTTTGTTTTTCAGGTATAGCAGACGCACCACTTTCCCCGCTGCTCACCTGCATACCAAGAAAGAAAATGAATTATTTTAAAATTACAGATAAATGAGATAGATGTGGCTTTGCTTGTCTTGCACATGCAATTCCAGTTATGGCCGACTGGCTTCTGTGTATAATCTTGTGTTTTAAAAATCAGTCTTTGGCATTGGAAATTCCTTGGGACTGAATCTGTCATCCCTATGTGCTCTCTCTCTTCTACTAAGTACAGCAGTTGTGGGCATTTGAGAAGTGATATAGACACTGGCATGCACACACACACACACATGTACCCACATACGCAAACATGTGGTCGAGAGGCTTTGGGTTTACCTCAGGACTGGGATGCTCAGAAGACAAGCAAATGGCACAGTGGTTGAATCTGTTGGGATCATACCTACTGTCCTCTCTCCCGCTTCTGCTGCTTCTCATCCTCAGAAATCTGATTTCAGTTGCTGGTTTCTGTGGAATTTTGTGTGTAGATAGAAGAATCAAAAAACTACCCAACCCAAAACTTGTCGTAGAATCAGAGGGAAGAGACTGGTGCATTTAGTACTGCACAAGGCTATATTTCCAATGACTTGTTTATATAAAATAACTCTTCTGTTATACATATGCTTTTCATAACCTCTTATCCATACATGGAACATTCAAGCTGAGCATCACTGTTACACTGATTGATGAATAAAGATATTAGCAAACTTGTTTTTAACAAAATCTCGATTGTTTGACTTTACCAATAAAGACCCAGGAGCCAGATACTGGTGTGAAAGCCTGCTAGCTCAGAGAGGCAGGGAAATCACCCAGCTGACCCTCCTCAGCCAGTGTCCCAGAAGCAAAAGGGAGTCTCCTTCTCCATGCCCCTCCAAACCCTTCTACTTCCCATGTATCTCTATCCATCCTCCTGGCTCCCTCTTACTCTACAGTTTTTCTCCTACGTTCACTCCCTGTCAACTGGTTGCGTGCTCTGACTCTTGACTTTATTTAATCCTATTTACAGTATTCAAGTAGAAGGCTCTTGGATTAAAGGTGTGTGCCAGGGCTGAGTCACACCATAACTAGAAACAGGTTTTTCCAGTGAATAACACAATGTTGGTATTCACAGTGTGATCAAATGTCCTGCAACACAAACTGGCAATCAGTTGCCTCGGATGAAAATCAAGCAGGCTAAGTAGAATGTATAAATACAGCCACAGAAGGACTAAGTAATGCCTTGTAGTGTGATGTGTACAGGCTGTGGATCATCCAATATGAAAAACTACGTTTTTAGGTTTAATGTGATCAAATGTGTCAAACACTTCTCTTGTCCCTCGGTGATCTGAGTATTTGGGCTTTGTGCTGGCTAGTTCTGTGTCAGCTTGACAGGAGCTAGAGTTACCTGAAGGGAGGGAGACTCGGTTGAGAAAAAATGTTTTGATAAGATCTGGCTGTAGACATTTTCTTAATTGGTGATTGATAGGTAGGGCCCAGCCCATTGTGGTTGGGGCCACCCCTAGGCTGGTGGTCTTGGGATTTGTAAGAAAGCAGGGAAGCAATACATTAAGCAGCATGCCTCTAAAGCCTCTGCTTCAGCTCCTGTCTTCAGGTTCCTGCCCTGTTTAAGTTTCTGTGCTGACTTCCTTCAGTGATGAATGGTGATATGGAAGTATACACCAAATAAACCCTTTTCTCCTCAACTTGCTTTTTGGTCATGGTGTTTTATCACAACAAGGCATAAAGACACTAACTGCCCCCATACATAACTTTTTTTTTTTTTTTTAAGATTTTAGTACTTTATTTTATGTGTTTGAGTGTTTTACTTGCATCTGTGTATGTGCACTGCCTTCATGCCTGATGCTCTCACAAGTAAAAAGAAAGCATTGGATCCCCTGGAACTGGAGTTATTGCTAGCAGTAAGCCACCATTGGGTGTTGGGAATCAAACCTGTCCTTGTAAGAACAATAAGTGCCCTTAACCACTGAGCTAACCAGCCCCACTAACTCCATTTGACCAGTCCCATACTAGGAAAGCGGTCTGCCCATGAGGTGCTTGAATGGCTGAGTGGAAACTACAGAAGCCCTTGAACTTCCTGGGATATTCTATTACTTCATAGCTCTCCCTGGTATACTTGGCAGGGATGAAGATCTGGAATCTGAACAAGAAAGACCCATCATACATAGGCTGTATCCTGTAGACCTCCCAGAATGAGGCTCCCGCTTAAGAAAATTGAAGATTTAGATGCTTAATGGTTATCTGAGAATGCCTGGGGACAGATAGTGCAGTAAATGCAAAGAAAGACAAAGATCTCTGCATTTAGAAATGACTCAGTATAATCCCTGTCTGTTACTTTCCTATTGTGACAAAACACAGTGGCCTAAGCAACTTAGAAAAGAAAGCACTTAGCTGCGGCTGACAGTTGGCAGAGGATTAAAGCCCAAGACCATTACTAGAAGGAATATGGCAGCTGGCCGGCAGGCACAGTGCTGGAGCAGCATTTGAGGTCTTATCCACAAGCTGGAGGCAGAGAGAGGTAACTGGGAATGGCTTGGAGTTTTGCAACCTCAGAGCCCACCCCCAGTGACAAAGCTCCTCCAACGAGACCACACCTCCTAATCCTTCTAAACAGTTGTACCTTTCTGAGAACCAAGCTCTCAAACAGGAGCCTATGGCAGCCACTCTCATTCAAACCACCAGTTCCCAAAATAACAGCTGTTTACTGAACACTTTACATGTGGCAAGTACTGCAGTACTTAACTCATGCACTAGCTCATTTCCAAGCTCTTACAAGCAGGCAGCATGCCGACCATTGTGGGAGCAGGCAATGCTCAGGGTCTTGAGCCCGTGGCAATCCTGCCTCTGTTTCCTGAGTTCAGTGGCAACGGGTGTGCCCCCATCTCCAGCATTAATAACCTTATTCTACTGACATGAACACCCATCCAGCAATCACTTTGTAGCCTAAAGTCATGCTGAACAGTTCTCAGAAATGTCTGCATCCTAATCCCTGGAGTCTGAGTATGTTCCCAAGGCAAAGGGACCCTGTGGTTGAGCAAATGGCCCCGTGATACCAGGACAGGCCCAGTGTAACAGGAGATGTGATAACTGAAGTTGTCAGTTACGGAACATGACAGACTCAACTGTCATTACTGATTTTGGTACAGAGGAAGGAGACCTCTAGAAGCTGGAAAAAGCAAGGTCCTTGGAGCCTCAAATAAGAACCAGCCCTGCTGACACCTTGGTTTCAGCTGAGTGGATCCATTTCAGACTTTGGACTTCTTCAGAAACAGAAGATAATTAATTAGCCTTTGGGGGCTGGGGATGTAGCTCAGCTGGCAGAGTACTTGTCTATCATGCACAAAGCCCCAGATTCAATCTTCAACACAACAACCCAGGCCTGGTATTATTCCCAGTACTAGGAAGGTGAAGGTAAAAGAATCAAGAGTTCAAGGACTCCTTCACTGTATGGGGCGTTTGAGATCAGATTGGGCTACATGAGACCCTGTCTCAAAAAATAAAATAAATTTTGTTGTGTTTTCTTTTTTTTTTTTTAATGTGCTGTTGATCCAGAGCCTTAAACATGCTTGGCAAATGGTCTACAATATAAAACTAATTCCTAATAATAACAAAGCAACAACCAGAAAAAGTTTAAACTAAACGCATCCCTTTTTCTTCTATCCAGCTGTCGCCTGAGCTCAGTCCTCAGGAAGAAGGAATGGGTGGGTCGGTGGAACCCATCCAGTTCACCTGCTCTCTCCCAGCAAACGGGACTTCAGCCGTCCCAGATGGGTTCGACTCCGATGAGCGCTCGCCGCGGCCGGCTGGGGGCGCTGCGGCAGCCGCGCGGCCGGATGCTAATGAGCCCGGCGGCCCCGCCCCTTGCCGGAAGTGGCTGCGGCGGGGGCGGGCACAGTGAGAGGGGTCTGGCAGCCGTGCGGGAGCCATGGCGGCGACGGAGGCGGCGGCGGCTGAGTCTGCGGCTCCGGCCCCGGGGGTCCCGGTCATGCCGGCGAGCACGCGGGGAGCCGCCGCCGCCTCAAGCCCGTGGGGGCCGTCGGAGTCGCGGCTGCAAGGCAGCCGACCGCGACCGGCTAGGGCTCGGGCCGTGGCCCCGGTGCCACCGGCCCGGGAGCTGATCCAGCCGTCTGTGAGCGAGCTGTCCCGGGCTGTGCGCACTAATATTCTGTGCACTGTGCGCGGCTGCGGCAAGATCCTGCCCAATAGTCCTGCGCTCAACATGCACCTAGTCAAGAGCCACCGACTGCAGGTGAGCGGGCCGCGGCGGGGTGTGCGGGGTGTGCGCGGTGACCGGCCACCTGCACCCGACCGTGCACGGCGGGAGCGCGAGAGCGCGGGGCGCGCACACGCACCGGGCCAGCCGCTTCCCGGTGGCGTGCCCGCAGCACCTCAGCGAGCTGCCTGTTTACCCGGGTTCCTAGGATGAGTGACAGGTGATGCCACCAAGGCACCCAGGTGCAACCCCAAACGCTTTCCACCCCGCCCACGAAGCTGCGGGAGGCTCCTATCTGGTCATTCAGAAGCAACTGCGGGTTGGGCACTTGAGCTACAAGTTTCACACGGTTGCTGAGATCAACTCTGCTCAGGAATGACAGGGGTAGGAGGTTTCTTCCTTGGATCTTTAGGAGGAGGTCCACCGGTCGGTACATAATCTGAGCAAGACCTCCCTGTGTTACATAAAGAGGACGATGACTTTCAAACGTATGGTATACTTGAGAGCTTGGGAAAAAAAAAAAAATCAGATGTTGCCACTCCACACCAGACCTGTTAAGTCACAGCTTCAGCTTTTACACTAGGAAGCTTCCTTCCACCATTAGATTTCTGTGCCAGCAGTTTCGTTTGTGGGAAACGCAAGTCACTGAAGGCAGCTGATTTGAATCATTACCGAGAAGGTTTCGGAATCTGTCTGACCTTCAGGTAAATCCACCTTGGGCACTTCCATGAGGACTGAGCAGCAGCAGCTTTGAGGTTTTACTCTGTAGCAGTGCTGTGTTGCTCTTAAGGGGTGACCTGCGACTTAGCAGCTGCGCACAAGAGGGAACGGTGATCTCATAGAAAGGTCAGTCGGGAAATGTCAGCAGGGTCATGCTGACAAAGTTCTGTGCAAAAGTTTGGGCCTCATTCCAGAACACAAGTGCAACTTGCCCTGGGCTTCAGTCTGCAGTTTTCTCTTCCATCCTAAATGTTAAACCCTCCCTTTTCCTCACCCCAATTTAGGTGGATGAAGAGTGAGTGTGTCTGTGGGAATTCTACAGCCTGATCCCCCAGTTCCTTGTAACTTGCATCCAACAACCATAACTTGCCTTCAGTGTTGTCCCCTTGCTGTATAGTGTAGCCCAGGCTATCCTCAAACTTACTGTGTAGCTGAGGATAACCTTGAACTCTTGATCCACCTGCCTCCACCTCCCAGATGCTGAGACTGTAGAAATGCACCATCATGCACATTTTCAGTCAGTGCTTGGGATCATTCAGGACTTCAGGAATGTTAGGCAAACACTCTCCTACACCCCCAGCCCCAGGTGCTGTGTTTCTGAAAACCAAATGAAGCTGCCATCTGACCAAAGGCTTCCTCAGTGTTGGCTGCAGTGACGACTCTAGCCAGCAATTCTTAGCGAGTTATTTGTTCGTTTCTCTGGAGATGCTGTTAGGAGCACTGTAGCCCCCAAATCTTGATGATGCCCTAGAAGGACAAAGATGCCATTGGCTGTGGACAGCTAGTTTGATGATGTACAGTAGCTTCTTTCTGATTGTTTTTTAAGTGCCCAAATCTCAGAAATACACAAAAGGCCAGACAAAACAGGTGACAAGAGAAATATGTCTGAGCCATTACAGGTTTGGTTTGGTTTGGCTTGGTTTGGCTTGGTTGGCTTGGTTCGGCTTGGTTCAGTTCCGTTCCGTTCTGAAGCAGGGACTAGATAGCCCTGGCTACCCTAAACTCACTATGTAGAGCAGGTTAACTTCCTGGGAATGTTCTGCCTCCTCCTCCCAAGTGCTGGGGCTGCAGCGTGCACCAATGCCCCACTCTAACAAACTGTGACGTCCACAGTCAGATCTTTACTCAGATCTGAGCATGTCAGAGTACCAGTGCCCTCACTTGCTGAGAGTCTGTGTGAAGTCATCCTTTCCAGCCTCGTCATTGGTTTTTCAGATTCTCTCATCTGGAGATAGCAGTAAGCAGGCCAGTCCATTCTGAGCCCACATCCTGAGCAACGGGAAGGTGGACTATTGGGAGAACATTCCTGCCTCGTCTCTGGAAGCTTTGTTTAGCAGTATTTAAACTGCCTCAGATCTTTGGCTACTGGTTCCCTGTCAGGCAGCTCACTTCCTGTAACCTCTGCCTTGGTAACATCAGGGCCCACAGCCCCTGGCACCTGTTGTCTGATGGAAAGGCAGTGGTTTTTGTGTTGTTTTTTTCTAATGAAGGGGCCTTTTCTGGCATAGCCGTATCTTCATGATAAGGCCTCAGCGTAGCAATTATGTGTACCCTCAGGATGGCTACTACTCAGAGGCCCTTCAGTTTGATTCTTGATATGTGTTATTATCAAAATATTATTAGGGAAGAGAAGAGTGTGGCATGGGGACAAATGGTTCCCAGAAGGCCCTCTGTGTTTGGGGGAGCATGATTGATCCGTTAAGCATTTTTAATTTTGTGTGTTCGTGTGTTGAGAGATGCACACATGTGTAGGTGCCCTTGGAGTCCAGAGAGGATGTTAACCTCCTGGAGTTACCTGACCTGACATGAGTGCTGAGAACTGAATTCAGGTCCTCTACAAGAATAGTGCACACTCTTAGCCACTCTTTGTCATTTTTCCAGCCCCATTTTGGCTGACTTTCTTCAACTCAATAGAATTTTTCATTGTCTTGGCTTTCAGCTCCTTGAGTGATCCTAATTTCTTTCCATGTTTTTCTATTTTCCTGGCCATAATAACATTTCATTCCCTCCCACACTATTTGTTCTATAGTTAATTTATTCTAATGTATCCCCCACCCAGCCTAATACCTAAGACCTTCTGAAGGATGGTGAGTAAGGCTGAGTAATTGTGAGCGGGCTTTGGTGTTAATGTGGGTTCTCAAAATAAATGTCAGTGTTCCACGCCCTGAAAGGAAATCTGGACATGTCATCAGCCAGCCAAGCCTGCAGTGGGCTCTCAGAAAGGGAGCAGTGATGCTTCGGAATGAGAGCTAAAATGATCCAGAGGACGAGTGGGAGGAAGCAGGCTCTGCCTGACTGCTGAAGCAGCACTTGAAAGCAGTGAAGGGTGCGGGTGGGCACTTACGGGGCCTCTTATCAAGCAGCAGTCATCCTTTTAAAGCCCAGCCCAGTGGATTCTGGGTTCTGCACCATCCAGGGGGACGTTTTCAGTGGCGTTATTTTAAAGAGGAAAGAAAGGCTGCGGCAAGTTGCTCTGTGAACCACATTATGCAAAGACTACTGACTTTCTGTTTAGAATGGGCTCCTGGGGTGCTTTCTGCAAGGGTGGTGAGGTGCTAGGCAGTTTCTGCCTCCGTCGTCATTGTCCTCTCCTCTTCAGCCACACACACCCTTGCCCTCCTTTTTCTGTTCTTCAAGGTTTTTTATTTTTGTGTGTATGTGTGCCTGGCTAAAGTATGGATGCTCACAAAAGCCAGAAGTCAGCACTGGATCCCCTGGAGCTGGAGTTACAGGTGGTTGTGAGTTGCCATGTGGGTGCTGGGAACTGAACTCTGAAAGAGCAGCAAGTGCTCTTAACCACTGAGCCATCTCTCCAGCCTCTCCTCCTTTTATTTGTGTATTTATTTCCAATCTTGGTTTGTTTGTTTGTTTTGAGGTCTTGGTCTGTGGTGATAAATATGGAGCCTGGGGATCCACTCGTGCTAGCTGCTGTATTTTCACGGAGCTACACGCTCAGCCCCCTCCATTTTGTTTTGGGATTGTTTTCTCTTTTGCAAAACTCTTAAAGTTATTTAAATATTATTTAAATTTAATTGTTATCTATTCAATATTAATAATGATTGATATTAATTAAATAAAATGTTTCCACATTTCCATCTGAGAAAGGAGTGTTTGGCTGGGAGTCAATTATGAGTAAAACATAAAAGGAGCCAACAGGAGTGGGGAAGGAGTAGAACAGGGTAATGATAAAGAGCGCAGACTCTCGATCCAGTCACACACAAGTCATGTCCTCAACCTGGCAAGTATTCCTGACTGTGTTGAGGGCAACAGATAAAACACTACTTTCCTACTGTAACTCCTATTGCGCCAATTCCTGCCGACCTTTGAACTCACTGTCTCAGAACAAGTAGAAAGAAACCCCAAAGCCATGTGGGCCTCTGTAATGAAGGAGCTGGCCCCCAAAAAGAGGGAATGTGTAGAGCGGCGGGTGGTTGCTGTGGCAGAGGAATAACTAGCATCTTCCACAAGTTCCGTGGTCTCACCCCCACGTAAACTGTAGCTCTGGCTCACACGGACCAGGGGAGCATCCAGCACAATACACAAGCTCGCACCGAACATTTACTGGGTTCGGAATACTCCCCGATCCAAGAGGTAACAAACGGAAAGGCGGGGTAATTAAAATTGTGGGCTAAGCATCTGAAATGACTCCAAATCCATAAATCTTTGAGTGCCAATCTGAAGCTCAAAAGCCCTCAGCTTTGGGAGCATTTGGGGATTTTCCAGTTAGGGACACTATAACAGTAAGTCTATGCAAATATTTGACTCTCAGGGTTAGTTCTGTTCCCGAGCAGTTTGTGAAGGACATTTCAGTGTGAGTTCATTCAGTGTGACAGTAGTTCAATAAAGGATGGGGACTTTGAGTGTCCCAGGCTGGTGAAGTCTGGGCACGGGTGGCATCGGGAGGCTGTTGGAAATGGTCTGAACATCTGGCATGATGGAAGGTAAGTTTTCAAGATATTAATTGGGGGGTCTAAAAGCTTAACATTTTTAAAATTAATTTGAAAAGATTAATTAAAGAAATAGCTCGATGGTATAGAGTGAGTGCTGCTCTTACAGTGGACCGGGGTCAGTCCCCAGCACCCACAGCAACACTAGGTCCAGATGGTCTGACACCCTCTCCTGTCCTCCACAGGCTCCTGCATGTTTGTGGTATGCAAACACTCATGCATGAACACACAATACTTCAGAATAAAATTTCAATATTATATATGCATATATGGTGAAAGATGCCAGATGACTTTTTTGGGGGGCACTTTTAGCAGCTTGGGATCTGATGACCGAGACAACTTCTGAGTGTGAACTGAACTGACCAGAAGGAACTCCGTCATGGGCATGTGAATTAGGGGGTTGGGAAGCATGTTTCAACTGAACACACTCCTATCCTTTCCTCTCGTTGATGACACTAGACAAGGAAAGTGTAACTTCCAAAGTTTTCTGTTAAAACATATAATTGGTAAATGAGATGAGGTCGGCGAGGAGGAACACTGTTGGTGTCATTACACAGCAGCTGGCAGCATTCAGCAAAAGCTGAGCTCGGGTAGACCAGTGGTTCTCAACCTGTGTGAGGCCACCAGATATTTACACTACAGTTCATAACAGGAGCAAAATTAGAATTACAAAGCAGCAGCAAAATAATTATGGTTGGGCGTCACTGCAACACAAGGAACTGTATTAAAGGGCCGCAGCTTTTAGGAGGTTGAGCCCCAGACAGTGCTGTGATACGGTCCTGGTGAGTGGAACAGCACTGAAAACTCAGAGGAATGACTACATCCAAAATGAACAAAGGCAAATGATGGAATTCGAACAAAACACTTCTTTCCCTCTCAGTGATTGGGCAGTCAGCAAGGCCACATGTACCTCTAAGAACCAGGGCAAGGCTTGGGCCAGGCAGTTCATAATATCTCACACTCTTAAGTATACAACTGAGAGAAGAGGAGGGCGTGGCCAGGGCCGTGAGCCTCTTAGCAGGATGCTAGAGGAATGGGATTTCCAGGTGTACAGTAGCAGCTGGCAACTGAACCTGCCACCCATTTCTCTCTCTGATGACCGGAAGACAAGCTAGCCACGACCCACTCCCTCTTTTAGAGCCACCTGGGAGGTGTCACACAAGAATTATGTCTGAAGCCACCAGGGCCTAAAGTGTGGATAGCTGTACAGACCACCTGAATTTGATCCCCCATAGAACCCCAGTACAAATGCCTAATGTGGTAAGGTAGCATGTGCCTGTAATCCCAGGGCTAGACAGTTCCAGGCCAGTGAGAGACTGCCTCATTTCTGAGGCCACTAGCCAAGGTTTTCGCTAAACTCCACACATAGGACACACACATGCATTTAAACTTTTTAAAACTCCCAGTTGACATCACTTATAGCCCGGTGTGGTGGTGTGTGTAAGTATGGACCTGTCTACTCCAGAGACTGAAGGAGGTGTCTTACTTGATCCTCGGAGCCATCCTGAGCAACATATTAAAAGCCATGCCTCTCTAAATAAAATACTTTGGTTTTATTTAGTTATTAATAATTATTATTACTAATGAGGAGAAGGTTCACTTATGAATATCAGAGGACAACTTTTAGGAAATGGTTTCGTCCTGTCGTTGGTTCTGGGGATTATACTAGGGTCATCAGGCTTATGCAGCAAGTGTCTTTACCCATGGAACCATCTCACTGGCCTGGACTTTAAAAATCAATCAATTAATTAACATTTTAAAGGCTGGGCATGGTCACACAAACATTCCAGGCTGCTTTTAGGACTAAGGTAGCACCAGGACTACTTAGTGAGGCCTTGTGAAGGGAAGTTTGGGAGGAGGAACTGGAGATGGTAAAATACTGCATTAGGAAAAATTGAATTGCACCTTTTTTAAGCAAAAACTTAGCAGAATTGGGGAGGTGGCTCAATGGTTAAGAGTACTGGCTGTTCCTCCAGAGAACCTGAGTTCAGTTTCCAGCACCCACATGGTAGCTCACAACCATCTGTAACTCCTCTCCGGCCTCATTGAGCACCAGGCACACAGAACACCCATATACAAAAAAGAAAACAACAGAGGGGCTAATAGAAAGTGTGGAGGACAGCACTAGGCATTGTATCGCTCATTCCACCGCAAACAGCCAGTGCCTACACTCAAACTACTACTGTCACTACATTAGGCGACAGGGCGGTAATCAGATCAAAGTCCCAACTGGAGATACAGCTCAGTGGTAGAAAACTTGCCTAGCACCTGTGAGGTCCTGGGTTCAATCCTTGGTACAGCAGGGTTGTGGAGGAGGGTCTTCATGTAGTCTGGGAGGTGGCTCAGTTATAAAGTGTATGTGATGTGAGCAAGTATGAAGGCCATGTCAACATTAACACTGGGAAGGCAGACAGGAAAAACCCTGGAGCTCCTTAGCCACCAGCCTGGTGGAGTTGGTAAGCTCCAGGTTCAGTGAGTGTGGTACTGAGGATTCTCTAATAACCAAACCCAGAGGATGAATCTCTCTTTATATATAAAGGGGATTTGTTGGAATGACTTACAGGCTGCAGTCTGGCTAGTCTAACAGTGGCTGGCTGTGAAGGGAAAGTTCAAGAATCCAGTAGTTTCTCAGTCCACAAGGCTGAAAGTCTCAGCTGGTCTTCAGTATGTGCTGGAGTCCCAAAGAAGTAGGCTCTGATGCCAGTGAAGGATGGATGTGCTAGCAAGGAGAGGGCAAGCAGGCAAAGAGCAAGAGCTTTCTTCTTCCATGTCCTTATCCAGACTTTGGCAGAAGGTGTGGCCCATTTCAAGATCCAGGCTAAACGGGTGTCTTCCCTTCTCACAGGTCCAGACTAGGAGTGGATTTACCCACTTCAAATCAAGCAAAAGATCTCTCGCAGATGTGCCCTCCATTTCTGGAGTGTAGTTCATTCCAGACGTAGTCAACTTGACAACCAAGAATAGCTGTCATAGTGAGGGAACACATCTCCAAAAATTAGGCTACAGGGCCACTGAGACACCCCACCAGGTCAAGGTGCTGGGCTTTTATTTTTAAAAGTAAAAATAAAATGGAGAATGATCTAGGAACGTTTGATGTTGACCTCTGACCTCTATACATCTGCACAGCATGCATGTACACTATGAGGTCCTCATAGGGGGAACTCATACAAGTCTGAGGCGCTCAGACTAAGATGTGGGTAAAGATGACAGACAGGAGCAAGGACAAGCCTGGTAGCTGGGGAGCGGTTCTACTTGCAGACAGGCTGGATGGAAGGATAGATAGGTGTCTATTTCCTTTATTTCTACCTCCAGCCTATTGTGGTGGGTTTTGTAAGACAATTGCTGAGCCAGATATGGTGGTGCATACCTTAATTCCAGGCAGATCTCTGATTTTAAGGCCAGCCTGGTCTACATAGTTTCAGGCTAGCCAGGACTACATCAAGAGATTATGTCTTTATAAAAATGAAAGAGAGAGATGGTAATTGCTGGATATTACTTCCACAGGATGGCATAGTAAATCCAACAATAAGGAAAGATTTGAAAACTGTGCCAAAATTCTACTGTTGTCCAATCAAAGGATGTCCTCGAGGCCCTGACAGACCGTTTTCTCAGTTCTCTCTGGTTAAACAGGTATGCCACTTACTATATTTTTCCCAAGATGAATGTGTTAATTACTTTCCTATTACTGTGATAAAACACTGTGACCAGGCTAGAGAGACAGCTCTATGGTTAAAAGCATTGGTTGCTCTTCCAGAGGACTCTTGGGTCTAGTTCCCAGCCACCCACATGGCAACTTACAAATGTCTGCAGCTGCAGTTCCAGGAAATCCTACACTCTCTTCTGGCCTCTGTAGGAGCTGCAGCCATGTGGTACTTAGATATACACGCATGTGAGATGCCCATACACATAAAATAAAAAATAAATATTTTTTAAGTAAATAAATAAATAACACCATGACTAGGGCAACTTACAGAAGGAAGTGTTTATTTGGCTTACAGCCCCTGAGGGGTGAGAGTCCATCATGGCAGGGAAGCATGGCAGCAGGCAGAGGCCTAGTAGCTGGAGCAAAAGCTGCATGTTCATGTCTTAAGCTGCAAGTAGTAAAACAGAGGGAGCAAACTAGGAATGGCATGTGGCTTTGAAACCTCAGAGTCCGTCCCCTGTGCCATACTTTCACCAACAAGCCCACACCTCCTAAACTTATCCAGTGTCACCAGTCCACGGGGGACCAAGTATTCAAATATCTGAGCCCGTGGAGCCATCAAACTAGCACAAGGGCATACAGATGGCATAATCTCAGTGTGTGCTTTACCTGCTGAACTGGCATAACCAAAGATCCAAATGTGAGCTCTGTGGAGCTGCTGGCCAGGCCTCCCTCCACGGTTCCTCAGTCAGTCTGGGTGTTTGTTGAGGCTTGTTCCAGAGTGAAATGCACAGCCAGACCCAGGTTTGTAGAGGAAGAAAAACAGGCAATATAGCCAGGAATAAGACCATTTGTACTGCAGACCCTTGGTAAATCCGCCTCTAAGGGCAAGGGCAAGGCACAAAGCTAGTGTTCTGGAGGAGGAACATTCGGAATGTCCAGGAGGAGGCTGCTGTCCTGTGAGGAGGGAGAGATCCAGCTACTGAGGAAAGAGAGTTTCCAGACTGAATCAGTTGAGCCTGAGGGCTGGAGAGAAGGCTCCGTGGCCAAAAGCACATACTGCTTGCTCGTGGAGAAGACCTTAAGGTCCATCCCCAGGTTCCCTGTCAGGCGGTAACTCCATGGAAACCTGGCCTCTCCTCTGGCCCCACAGACCCTGTGCCCGTGTCCACATGCATGCACACAGATGAATTTGAGACCGTTCCCGAAGCTCCTCTGGAGGGGTCTGGAGGACACTGCAGAGACTCTATGTGTCAGCGTTACTATTGCTGTCACGAAACGCCATGGCCAAAAAGCAAGTTGGGAAAGAAAGGGTTTACCCAGCTTGCATGCCCACATCATAGTCTGTCATTGAAGGAAGCCAGGTAAGAAACTCAGACAGAGCAGGGCCTGGAAGCAGGAGCTGGTGCAGAGGCCACAGAGGGGTGCTGCTTACTGGCTTGTTCGTCATGGCTTGCCCAGCCTGCTTTCCTGTAGAACCCAAGACCACTGGCAATGGGCTGGGCCCTTCCCCCATCAATCACTAATAAGAAAATGTCCTACAGCCAGAGCTTATGCAGGCATTTTCTCAACTGAGGCTCCCTCCGTTCAGATAACTCCAGTTTGTGTGAAATTGACATAAACCTAGCCAGCACACTGTATATTCTTGCCCACAGCACTTGATGTGTAGTTGAGAGTCTGAATACACGGATTGGTTCCAAGGCAGCCTGCCCACTGTGCATAAGGAGAAGCATATGTTAAGCTGAAGTTTGTCTGCTTGCAAATGCTGTACCTGGTGGTGGCTGGGAACTTGGGGGTGTGGGTGGAGCTCAATGTGATGCTGTCTCTTGTCTTAACCCCAACTGTGTTCCTTGCAAGCACTTCATGAAAATGCATGCAGAGAAGAAGCATAAATGCAGTAAATGCAGTAATTCCTATGGCACCGAGTGGGACCTGAAAAGACACGAGGAGGATTGTGGCAAGACCTTCCAGTGTACATGCGGCTGTCCCTACGCCAGCAGAACCGCACTGCAGTCTCACATCTACCGAACTGGCCACGAGATCCCCGCAGAGCACAGGTAAAGCACAGAGAGGTGGTGCTGAAATGGGACTGCCTGGGGGGGGGGGGGGCGCAGCCAAACAGGGAACAAAAGGAACAGGGGGAACAATCTGTGGCTTTGAAAAGGGTGCTTCTGGAGTAGCAGCAGTGATAGCAGAAGAGCTCCCTGGGCCAGGATCCTTTCTCACTTTTGTGTTTGAGGCTGGGCCTAATGATTACAGATGTAACCATTCTGTAGCTACCCAAGTGCCGGGGTACAGATGTGTCCACCTGCCTCTTAGGTGCTGGGATTATAGGTGTGTCTTTCCCTCTGCCATAACCTTCCAGGTATCGGTGTTAGAGATGTGTGCCCTGTTGTGGCCTCCCAGATGCTGGGTGGAGTTTCAGGTATGTGCTGCAGCCTCCCAGGTACTGGGGTTACAGGTGTGTGCTGCAGTGGCCAGCACAGCCTGAGATGCTGACCCGGGTGCTTAGTGTTTTTTTACTTACATGTATGTAAGTAAGTAAGTATATGTGAATGGCACTTATATGCAGAGGCCAGAAGAGGGCATTGGACCTCCTGGAGCTGGAGTTACAGGCAGTTGTGACGTGTCCAATGTGGGTGCTGGAGACAAATTCAGGTCCTGTGGAAAGCAGCAAGTGCCCTTGACCACCAAGCCCCCTCTCCAGCACACAGTTCCTGGTGCTCCCTTCCTGTTCCCACTTGAAAGTCTCAACTCTCCATCTTCTCTCTAGGGAAACAAATTACTGACAGCTAAAGGTTTTATCATGACTCAGTGTTTCATTATGTCTGCTTACTTACAGTCTATGATGCTGAGGATCGAATTCAGGGCCTCATGCACAAGTCACATCCAGTCCTCATTTCACTTTCTTCATTGTTGACACTGGCCCCGAACTCACTCTGTGGCTTTGGCTGCTCTTAAACTTCTGGCCTCAGCCTCCTGTTACCTAGAGTTATAATTACCAGCTCAGCTTTAAACTTCATTTTAAAAAATCAAATCTCTATTTGGTGTAATAGCCTTCTGTAATGGGTATGATACTTATAGGCTTCTTGGTTTTCAAGTTCCTGATCTTAATCTTAGAGTTTAAATTTTTAAGTTAAGGGGCCAGCCATCGAGCTGGCTCAGTGGGTAAAGGCTCTTGCCTCCAAACCTGATGACCTGAGTTTGAGCCTTAGGACCAACATGGGAGAAGGAGAGAACCGATTCCCGAGGGTTGTTCTGACCTCCACACAACAAATGTGCTATGACACACATGTACACACATACTAAATAAATGTAATAATAAATAGAATGTTTAAGCTTCCAAGTTGAAGGTGGAGTGTATTTCACACATGCCTGAAATCCCTTAGGACACAGAAACAGGAGAGGTCTCAAAAGTTAAAGCCAGAGTGAGGATAAGTCCCTAGCGAGAGGGAGTGGGGATGTGTTTCTGAGTGTGTGTCTGACTCTGAGATGCCAGAGGGGTGCACCGCCACTTTGGATCCCTCCTCTCACGTGGGAAGTGGCGTGATGAGTAGAGAAGGTGCAGTGATGTCAGCAGCAGCAGCTCCATGTTGGGCTGGAGAGATGGCTCAGCGGAGGAGCGCTTTCTGCCCTCACGTAATACTTGAGTCTGGTTCCCAGGACACACGTCAGGCAGCTCAGAACATCTATAAGTCCAGCCCCACAGAATCCATACCCATTTCCAACCTTTGTGACCATGTACATATTACTAACCCAGAGATACATACATGCACGTAAATGTGTTTTTTAAAATGAATTTTTTTCCTTAAGTTTTATTTTAAAATTGGTTTCACTTTTGCTTTGTGACTATTTCCAGAGACCCACCCAGTAAAAAGAGGAAAATGGAAAGCTACATGCAAAGCCAAAAGTTGTCCAGTAAAACCATTGAACCACTGAATGACCAACCAGCCCCTCAGCAGGGCACTCATGAACTAGAAACTTCGGAAGTAAAGCTGGCAGCAGCATTTGAAGACTCTTGTGGCTCCCACACCAAAAAGCAGAGCATCCCAGCGCCTCCCAGGTGCCCCCAGAAGTTGCTTTTACCAAAGCCCAAGGTGGCTCTGGTTAAACTTCCAGTCATGCAGTTTTCCCCCGTACCTGTCTTGGTGCCTGCAGCCGAGTCCTCGGCCCAGCCTGTGGTGTTTGGTGTGGATCATGGTTCCACTGCAGGTGCTGTACACTTTGTACCCTTGTCGGTAGGAACCCTGATCCTCAGCCTGGATCCGGAGGCCTGCTCTCTGAAGGAGAGCCTACCTCTCTCAAAAATTATCAGTCCTATCGTTGAGCCAGTCAGTACCGGTGTTCAAGTGAACGTGGGTAAAGATCCGTGTAGTCCTTTACAAGAACTAGGGAGCGCATGTCCGAAGAACAGCATCTCCTCAATCAATGTGCAGACGGATCTGTCCTACGCCTCACCCAACTTTATACCTTCTGCTCAGTGGCTTGGCCCTGATTCCTCCGTGTCATCCTGTTCTCAAACTGACCTGTCATTTGATTCTCAAGTGTCCCTTCCTGTTAGTGTTCACACCCAGACGTTGGTGCCCAGCTCGAAAGTCACTTCATCCATAGCTGCTCAGACAGATGCGTTTATAGACACCTGTTTCCAGCCAGGTGGGATCTCACGGGAAACCCAAACCAGCAGGATGCAAACCCCCACAGATGACCCGGTGCAGGTGGGCCACACTGGCCTCTGCGGGGACATTTTTGGAAGTGTCCATCCATCATATAGTGTCCCCACCGACAACATCATGAGTAGCAGTTTAGTTGCAGAGACAGTGACTCATGGCCTATTACCTCAGAATGACCCTAAGATATTAAGCCAAGTCATTGAAAAGTCTGCTCCCATGTTAAACTTCAGTTCCCAGAACAGCATGATTCCTTCACAGAACATGACAGATAATCAGACCCAAACCATAGATCTGTTGAGTGACTTAGAAAACATCTTGTCAAGTAATCTACCTGGTCAGGCGCTGGATAACCGGAGTCTTTTGTCAGACACGAACCCCGGGCCTGATGCCCAGCTACCATCAAGCTCAGCCCAAAATTCTGGGATCGATTTTGATATTGAAGAGTTCCTCTCGGCCTCAAATATCCAGACTCAGACTGAAGAGAGTGACCTCAGCACCGTGAGCACTGAACCGGTCTTAGAGTCCCTGGACATCGAGACGCAGACTGACTTCTTCCTCACAGACCCCTCCACACAGCCCTACGGGTTCAGGGGAGGCTCAAGCTTCTTAGGCTTGGAGATGTTTGACACACAGACCCAGACAGACTTGAACTTCTTCTTAGATAGTAGCCCTCACCTGCCCCTAGGCAGCATCCTGAAACACTCGAGCTTCTCCATGAGCACTGACTCTTCTGACACAGAGACCCAAACAGAAGGAGCCTCCCCAGCTCGACACACGCCTGCCCTGGAGGGCAAGGTCCAGTTGAGCAGCACAGAGACACAGACCATGAGCTCTGGCCTGGAGCCCCTGGGGAACTTGTTCCTCACCAGCAATGAAACTCAGACAGCAATGGACGACTTCCTTCTGGCCGACCTGGCCTGGAATACGATGGAATCCCAGTTCAGCTCTGTGGAAACCCAGACGTGCGCAGAGCTACATGCTGTCTCCAGCTTCTGAAGGTGCAGCCAGGCACCCGCCCTGTTCCTTGTGGGTTTAGAACATGAGGACAGGGGATGTGGTCTGTGGGGCAGCTGTTTAGATTCTCTATGGTCCTTGGCGTTTTGTACTCGTGAACACAAGATTGGTGTACAAATGTGAGTGTATTATAAAGTAAGGTGTTGATCTAAAAAGTTTCAATGTCGCCTGCGTTTGCTCCTGTTTAGGTTTTCTATCTTTAAAACAAAGCATTTCACACTGTAAAACTTGGAACCATTTAGCTGAAGCCAAGCTTACCAGGTAGTAGGGCACAAGCTTCACAATTGCTTTAACTGAGGGTAGCATATTTAAAGGGCACCTCCAACGCTCAGACAGCGCTTGTGAGCTGACTCCTGAGCTGACTCCTGAGCTGCCACCCCCATGCCTTGTCACATCCCTTCCGACTTGGAAACACCAAGGGAAGCCACAGCTGTCATTAGCTTTTATGACCATTTTTTTACGCAGTGTCTGCTGTCCTGAACCGTGACTGCTGCCAGCATCGTGTGCCATCCTTTTCCTGCTGTGGGGTTACTGGCCAGTGCGAGCATGGCGAGTACTTAGTGTAAATCGTAGTTTTAGTAGGAGCAAGGCATCCAAACTGGAGATGTGCATAGTGGAGTCCTGCCATTTTGCTCAGCTCGGGCTCATCCTGCTTCGTGGAAAAGCTCTCCTCTGCTCTCTTGATAGTGTTGGTCAAGAAGACCTCAGTGACCAAACGTGGGATTGCCACATGCCAGCAGGCAGCCAGCTGTGAGCACATAGTAGCTAGATGTTAAGTCACTTCTATCTGGAGCCCAGGACCCCAGAGCTTCTAACTTTCTATAAATTGGGGTTCCTGTGACTCTGCACTCTTTGGGCTCAGTTAACTTAGTAGAGAGCTTGCAGAACTCAGGGATACCGTTATTGCAAAGGGTACAGTGGGTGGGAAAGGGGCACAGGACTGTAATGCCCTCTGTAGGCACAGCACCTACCACAAATCTGTATGTTTAGCTTTGTAAAACCCCTCCAAACCCAGGCTTCTAGGGCTAATGGCCACTTCGTTGTGTGGGTAGAGTTGCTTAAATCATTGCCATTAGTGACCAGCTTAACCTTGAATGCCACCCTTCCCATTGGATTGGGAGGTAGGGATAAAGCTGAAAACATCCCAACCTTTCAGTCATGAATTATGCCTGGGTCTCTCCTGTGACTTGTTCCCATCTTCATGCTACCTGGAGGCTACCAGCTATCAGTGACCTCAGAGCAAGAAAGAGAAAAACATTTCTCTTGAATATTTTGGGGTTTGGAAAAGTTGTGTGCAAATACATACTTCACATAATTACAACCACAAACGCCCTGTTCCACAGTAGACTGCGGGGGCTACCCAACTGTTTTCCCATAATATACCCACAGAACCTCTAAGAATTAAGAAGGAAAGAATGGGATGAGGAAAAGTATTTCTGCCCAGCCCCCTCTTAATACTCTGCACTTGTGATCTTGATAGAAGGAGCATGGCCTACAAAGTCTTTCCTTCCGTCTAGCCCCTTCTTTTCCTTGAAGGAAGCACTTTGGTCTGGCAAGCATATTATGTGTGCCTTGAGACTAGCAATTATAGACTAGATCCATCTAAAGTATGTGAGTCTAGCTTCTGTTATGATACATTCTTTAAAGAGAAAAAGCTGGAGAATAGTTGCTTCAGTGCTTAAGAATAATTTCTGTGTTCTGAGGGGAGAGTGGTCAAGCATGCCTTGGGGGTTCTCTGTGCTAAATAGGTCATGGATTCATAGTTGGCCCACTCTGAGGCAAATCAGAATGAGCACAGCCTGGGGACCCTTCCAGGCTACCCTGGAAAACCCTGTTTGTTGTTTTTGGTGTGTTTTTTTTTTGTTTTGTTTTGTTTTGTTTTGTCTCCTCCCTACCCCCCATGGTATATGCTTGTGCTGCCAAAAGCTGAATCCTCAGAATAAAACCTAAGGGGACTAATGATTCATTAAGTAAATTGGTGGTATTGCTGCTGTCATGTCCCATTCATCCGATGCAGAGGACTTGGTAATGGGCTAATAACACACCCAGCAGATGAACACAACCCAGGAGCTAAACAGTGATTTTGGTCACAATTGCCTGTGAATGTGAGTTGCAGAACAGACATAAAGCCTTAACTTAGATTTTCTGTTATGTTTTGGAATCGTCACTGCCTTAATGTTCAAGCATCTATTTAAGCCCTTCAGCTGAAGGAGAAATGCATGTCTGCCTGTGGCTTTTTGTAAATATAAGCGCAGCAATCTATGGCTTTAAGTTTTTGTTTTTGTGGCAATGTCTCTTAATAGTTACAGGGGAAAAAATGGAGCATGTAATTGTCCTTTATGTGCAAGAACTGTCCCCACAAAACCATAGTCACCTGAATTCTCCTGAGGTTGTTTGTAAACACAAAATCAGTGATTAAAAAGAAGCTAGAAATCTACCCTTCTGTGTGAATTTTGTCATGATGTGAATTTGTTGCCCTCACTTTTAATGAACATCTGTTTTTCAGACTATGGTAATGGAATGGTTGTACCCAGTTACTTTGATAAAAACACAATGACACTTTTCTCTAAACAGATAGCCCAAGGGATGAAGAGGTGGCTTGGTGGTTCAGACAGCTTGCTGCCCTTCCACAGGATCCAAGTTTGATTCCCAGCACCCATTATCACAACCACCTCTAACTCTAGCTTCAAGGCGTTGGATGCCTTCTGTACTGGGAGGGCACCTTAACACATGTGCATATACACATTCATAAATGAAAAATAAAAGCATAAGCCCAGCATGGTGGTACCTTCCTTTAATCCCAGGACTCAGGAGGGAGTGGCCAGCTGATCACTGAGTTCAAGGCTAACCTAGTCTATACAGCAAGTTCAGGGACAGCCAGGGCCAAATAGTGAGACCCTTTCTTAAAAATTAATACACCTTTTTTATAAAAGCAATTACAAAGTTTGCATTTTGAGATAAATATGACCTACCTTGGGAATTCTTAAGGAAAATTTATTATCGTTAATAATACTGCATGGCTTTAATCCGAGCATTTGCAGGTGGATCTCCAGGTTCAAGGCCAGTTCGATCTACACAGAGTCCCAGGACAGCCAGGGCTGCTTTAAAGAGAAACCCTGTCTCGAAAAACCAAAATAATAATTCACTTCACTTTGTGCACTCAGCACATGTGATTCTGGTGTGGTGGACTACCTTTTCTCCCTGAAGAGCTCAAGAATAAAATGAGAGAGACAGCAAGGCAGTAGCTCTTTGCTTCATCACTGCTCTACAGGAAAGACAACCCTGTTTCTGATCCCTTCTGATAAGAAGGAAATTCGAGTTTTTATAACCTTATATGAAAGATATTGAGTGAAGTTCAAAGTTACTTTTTCATTCAGGGAAAATGTGCAGTACTGGTCCAGCTATGAAACCACTCAGCTGGTCTCCTCTCCAATTTAGGTAATCCTGCTGTAGGCTCCTGAGGTACATCAAGTGGTATATTTAAATCGCTGCACCTCATGCTTGCATGAGGCCTTTAAAGAGATCAGGAGGAAGGGACGAGTAACTTTGGGGTCAAGTGCTATGAAGTTGTGTTCTCTCCTTACCTCAGTGTATCTTCATTGTCATCTGAAGGGTGTTCAAGTGCCATTGATTTGACAGTGGGAGAGGACAACATAGACTGTTCCGAACTCAATATCCAGAGGTGACTCCCGTTGTTAAGATGACTGTCTAGTTTCTTCAGCCAAATGCTGCCTAGTACAATATTCTTAGGACCGAAGAGAGACTCAGTTGTCTGTTGGCACTCAAAGAGCCCTTTCTGTTGCTGAGGCTGAATTTATCAGCAGACACACTGTTGCTTTAGTCCACATATCAGGAGACATGGGCTATGGGACAAATGGAGAGGGGTCTCAGGCAGTTAATAACATGGACTACACTGAAAAGGGAGGTTTTGGAAGGAGCAAGGCCCAAGCTGGGCAAATGAACAAAGGACACTGCTTGGACCACATCAGCGAGGCTCCTTGTTCTTTTAAAAGACTTAAGACAAAAATACATTTTATATTATCTTACCAAGTAACAAAATAAAAACATTTGTTGCTTGGTTCTAAATTCTCAGATTTCACAGCTTAGCCTTCAAGAAGCATACTAACTGACCTCTATTCTTTTTATTTTTTACAATTTATTATTGTTATATCCTGATTATAGCCCCCTCCCTCATCCCTCATATATATACACATATATAGTAACTAATCTCCCTCAAAGTTCTCTCCTCAACATGGGCAAGGACCTGCTGGGTATAGAACAGTAAGCCTTTAAGCCTGGCATGTGCAGATGAAGCCTTGTTCTGAGGCTGACATCTCCTTGCAGCCATTTGAGCTCTGCTGCCCTGGTGCCCGCTGTTTTTCCATGCCCCGGGTGAGATGTGGATGTTACAGCTGCACATACACATGCTGAGACCAAATTTGAATCTGATCCCTCTTTTACTCCCCCTGTCCCCCTGCCGAGCAACCTCAGAAAATGTAGAGCCCATGCTTCAAGAAAACCTTGGCAGAAGTCAGTGCGTCCGAATTGACTTGCCGCAGACAGACATGTAACCATTTGAATTCTCCTCGGCAGAGCAGCGGAGATAGATGGCTGTTTTAGAGCACTAGCTGCTCTTTCAGTTTTCAGCACCCACGTGGCAGCTCACAGCCACTCATGAATCCAGTTCCAGGAGCTCTGATGACCTCTTCTGATGTCCATGCATGTAGTACATACTTACATGTAGGCAAGCCCTCACAAACATACATAAATCTTTTAAGTTTTAATTCTCTGTGACTTTTCTCTAATATTGACATTTTCATAGGACACCAACCTTAGCAAACTGCTTCAGGAATTATTTATACTGCTTTTCACAGAAATCATTTTTGTCTCACTGTGTTGGAAAGTCCGGTACTGCCAGTAAATTCCAATGGTTTCAATCCCCCTTCTCCATTTACACCTCTTTAGAGCAAGGTGTGTCTCTGTGGTTTTTGTAGACAGAGATGCGCTGCATCAACTCAAGAAGCTTCTCTGATGAGGACCGAGTGAGGTACTGACCTATGGAGCAGGGTCTCCCTATGTTCCTACAGCACAATAGTAGTTTTCCCCTGGGCCCCTGACCCAGCTAGTCTCAGGTTCTTGACCACTTCAGCAGTATCCTCTCTCTAGCCCAGTTCAGTTTGTATCTCTATGGATGAAGTCACCCCAGACCTTATCCCAGTTTTATTGAAATTAGTTTAGGCCACCTACCAATCCTATGGGAAATTGAGGGAAATGAAAAAAAAAAAAAGTGACTAGAATGCAAGTTCCCACTGGGATCCCCACCCCCTAACACAGAGCGGAAGCCATGTGCCATGAGCTGAATAGTATGATGGAGGCACCGCGCCTCTTCCCACCTAGAGCTGATGGCCTTATTTGGATCTAGTCTCCAGTGCTTGTCGAACCACACACAGACAGCCCACATATCATTCCTCACTCCTTTATTTTTTTTAAAAAGATTTTATTTATATGCTCTATCTGCGTGTACGTCTTCATCCCAGAAGAGGGGCAGAAGAGGGCATTAGATTTCAGTCTAGATGGTTGTGAGCCACTATGTGGTTGCTGGGAATTGAACTCAGGAGGACCTCTGGGAGAGCGGACAGTGCTCTTAATGGCTGAGCCATCTCTTCATCCTTTCAGTTTTGATATAAACATTTCTGTCAAGTTTGCCACGTGGAATTCTGGCAGGACCCAATGGGGTTTCCACATGTTATGTCTTGGGGTCACTTGAAAGGTAGGGGCTAAATATATATTACAAGCATGCGCCACCTTGCCCTGTTTTATATAGTCCTGGAGACTGAACCTAGGCCCCTAAGCATGTTAGACAAGCACCCTTCATCAAAGCCCTCCCCTGGAGGTTCTGGGATCTATGTGGATGAGGAGGCAGAAAGACTGTAAGAGCCAGAGGTAGTGGATAGCTCCAAAGAGAAGTGTCTTCTAGACAAAACAGGATGGATGCACATACGAATGCTGTGTAGCCTTGGCTGTCCTGGAGCTCATTCTGTAGACCAGGAGGACCTTGAACTCAGAGATCTGCCTGCCTCTGCCTCCCTAGTGCTGGGATTACAGGTGTGTGACTCCACAGCCCTGCCCTGCTTAACATTTTTATAGTTAGAATTCGAAATAATTGTCAGGGGCTAGGGTATACCTGTTGAGGTCAAAGGACAACTTTCAGAAGCCTGTTCTCTCCCACCATGAGACCCAGAGATTGAATTCAAGTCCTTGGGTTTGTACACGTGCCTTTACATGCTGTACCATCTTGAAGGCCCAGTAACAGATTTTATAATGCTATTTCATTCAGAACTTGCTCTAATTTGTCACTCAGAACTTAACTCTTAATCTTAACAAAACATTTTTCTAATTTTCAAAAGCATTTAATTATTGTCTATGTGCACGGGAACACTCTCGAACTGATCTGTCATTCATGTGGTGTCTGGGGATCAAACTTAGGTCATCAGGATTGCTGGCAGGTGCCTTTACCTGCTGAGCCTTCTCACCAGCCCCCAAAGACTTCTTTCAAAAATTATGCCATGTATGAATGTCATAATGAGTACTTTGCATGGTAACTTTTTTAAAGTTATTTATATTGTGTGGGCTGGAGAAACAGACTAGCAGTTACGAGCACTGCTGCTCTTCCAGACCACGGTTTGGTCTCCAGCACCCACACAGTGGCTCACAGCCATCTCTAACTCAGGTTCCAGGGGCGCTGATCCTTTCCTGACTTGTGTGAGCACCAGGCACATACATGGTGTAAGATCCATGCATCTAGGTAAAACATTCATATATGTAAAATAAACCTGACAAAACTTTAAAACATGTTTATATTGTGACTTAGCCTAATCTTTTCAATCTGCGTTAAAAACTCAAGGGAAAGGATCCTGGGCCAACAAGGAAGTCCAGCCATTACTGGTGGGTGTTCTACTAGGATTCGCTTTTTGGCCTGCTTTGCATATAGAGCTTGTTTTTCTGCTGCTTTCGAAAGAGGCTGGAGATACCCCTGGGCATGCTCAGGGCTTGTGTGAGTCCTACATCACAGACCAGAAATGGTGAGATACCCAATTTCTCTTTGGGACAGAATCCAAGTGGCTTATCGGAGAAGGAAGCAGGGGAGGGGCAGACTCTAACAATTCCTTCTAGACTACTAAGTACCCACCATCAATCAACACATTACCCTCCCCACCCTGTGCTGTGGCCTTTCCTTCTTGGTTTGTTAGGCTTTGTTTTGGTTTTCTGGATGTTGAGACTGCAGGCTTAAACAATTATTGGCTAGCATTTTAGTTTTTCAAAAAAGGCTTAGAAATGTGGTAGCACATGCCTATAATCTAAGCACTTGGAAGGCTGAGGCAAGACAAATTCAAAGCCACCTCAAGGCCAGTCTGAGTTAGACAAAACCAAAACACCAGGAACAATGAAAACAAAAGAACCTAGGCTAACAGACAAAATGTTAAAGACCAAGTGTGTAGAGCAGATGTCTACAGTAATATTGTCATCACTGAGAAGATGGAAAAATCTAAGAGTTCAAGTACAGCCTACTCTAAGCAATTAAAATTATGTAATCACAAAGCAGTTTAATGATTACGGATAGCACAAAAATGGTTGGAGCATCTGTCCACATAGCAATACCATTTGGCATCAAAATATGATTCATTTACATGTAATATACTATGCATGGTGCTACGAACTGGTGAAAATGAGCTGAAAACAGGGAAGACAGAAGGGGGAAAGCAACAGCCTCATTCCCTAAGTGTCTAACGGCTGAGGGTTCCCAAGTATCAGAGGCAAGGTAAGGCTGGAGCAGGGAGGTCAGGTCAGGTCATAGTCATCAGTGTTTCTCCCCAAACAACCAATATTCCTAACCTGCTCCTCAGGCTAGAATTTATTAATCTGTGACTGCCTTCCAGTTGCAGAGATGCTTGAGGCTGCAGTATGAGGGTGTAACCACGTAGGCACAGGAGGCGCTGGACAGTATGTCTTTGGTTGTAGTACAAAGATATGGCACCTTGGACTTTGGTATATCTACTTGGATACAGCTGGGATTTTCCCATTCATCAAGTATTTCACATCTTTATTGAGAGAAACAAGGCAGCAATAACTGCCTGGGTCAAAAGAGAAGCCGGTGTCTTTCTAAGCTGACCATGCACTAAGTAAGCTTAGGCACTGCTGTGGGGGCATCGCTGTGGGCAGAAGACCAGTCAGGTGGCTCTGGGGCTAGAGAGCAGCAGAGTGCCTTTTCAATGTTCCACCTCCCACAATGGGAGCCACTGGGCAAGAAGGCCAACCTAGGCTGACCCGACCCAACTTACAGTCTGTAAATGGCTTAGCAGCAGAAGCAGGTAACATGAATCCAGTGGGTTCTTGTTTTTTTCTCAGAAAACAAAACAGGATCTTCTTGTACAGCCCAGGCTAGTCTTGAATTTGACATCCCCCTGCCTCAGTCTCACAAATGCTAGGATTTATAGGTGTGTGTCACCACACCGCCTCAATATGGTGTTTTTGAGAATGAACCCAAACCCATTACAAAGATAGAAAAAGAATGAGGTGAAGAGTGGACAGAACAGAGAACGGAAGAGAAAGGAAAGAATGACTGAAGGATGGGATAGAAAAGGAGAGGGAGTGGAAGACAGGAAGTGGGACAAATGAGTTTCAGGCAGCACGTACTCTCAGGAAATTATATTGTGGAAAATCAGAGAACTCTATGAGTAGAGACTGGGATGATAACCCTGCTCACTGTGAGAGATGGCAGGAGAGGTTTGGGGAACACTTTGTTCACTAGCGGTTGGTGCCTGTGTTGCTTGGCCTCTGTGAGAATGTGCCTCCTGGGTGCTTTGGGTTCCTTGGCTTTGAGACTGGTTCTGTAGCTTTGCACTCCTTGTTTATGCAAAACCTGCAGGGTGGCAAGATAGTGGATGTTGGTGGGATTGTGTGAGTACAGAGAGCTCTTCGGGGGAAGGACAGACCAGCGCATGCAGCACCCTTGAGACTCAGTTGCCAGTAGGTGGGTCCGGGCCACAGGGGTAGGGAAAGGCAGAATGTTGGTGACCTTCAGGCGGCTGGCCAGGTCCAAGTTTTTTTCACCTTTCCCATCTACTGTTTTCAGTCCATCTGTACAAGCTACACTCTCATCCTTTCCCACCCGCAACACCTTTTCTTCTGGCTGCCAGAAAACATTCTTGCTTTTCTTATTCAGAACATCCAAGTTGTTCGGGGGAGATATTTTCAGTGGGGGCAGAACCACAAGGGCATTGGAAGCAAGGGAACTGGAGATGGAGAGCCCCTGGTCGGTGATTCTGCTGGGGTTCCTACAGTCCTTGCTGCTAACTGTCTCGGGAAATGCCCATTCCTCCATGCACCAGATAAACTCCTTGGTTTGCAGGCTTTTTTTTTCTCCATTCAAGTGTGTAGGAAAGCAGGGTTTGCTGGGCTCTTTGGAAGCAGTGCTGGGACCTTGGGAGGGGTTGCTCCAGCTCTTCTGAGGGCTCACCTCAACCACAGCAGCCACTTCCGATTTCCCACCCTCTAACAGGGACCGGGCCTCAGGACTCCCTTGGGAAAGACTCATGCACAACAAGCAGTTGCTGCCACCACTGGTGCCTTCTCCTACCCTCCCCCTTTTCACTCTCTTCCTTGACCAGATGCAGGCAGTTGGTGAGGTCCTTCCCCAGCCATGGACCTGCAAACAAAGCAGCATGTTACCCTCTAGCCAGATGTGCCAGGGCCCTGCTTCCCCCATTTGGCCACATTCCTATTCTGGCAGTCTTATTTGAACCACATTTTCTCAAAATTGACTCATCTTCACACACATACCCTTATCATGTAGCCTAGCTAGCCATAAACTTACAAATACTCCTGCCTCTTCTTTTAAAAGCAAACAAAGCCCCCAACCTTTCCTTTTTCAGCCTCATATATGACAAAATTATATGCTAATCTCAAGCATGAGCAGAAGTGGTTGTGAACTGAACCACTGGGCAGTGGCAGCTATACGAAACCACTGTAGTGTAACTCTGCTTCCTTCAGGCACAATGCTGGGCAGCACTATGTCCATTCTCATCCAAGGGTTTCTTGTACTGTGAGTCAGTTTCCCAAACACAGGGAAGATTGTTCAGAAAGGTGGAGGGGCAGCAAGGAGCAGAGGTAGTCTTGGGAACCCAGGATTTCTGAGTATCCAAGGTACTCGCGCCTACTCCTGAAGCCTCCTTGCTGAGACTGCCATCTAAAACCATAGGACTGTACCTGTGATAAACTTTACACTAAGTACTCAGGGATCACTCATCTGAAACTCAAATAGGGCAACCTGTATTTTTTGTTGTATACCCTGGAAACCCTACATTTACTCTTAGATTTGACAAAGTTTTCTTATTATTTAAAATTTTTAGAGTGTGTGTGTGCGCATTCACACAGGCATATACAAGATCTATGCATGGATTAGCAAACCATGGTGTGAGTGTGAAAGTCAGAGACAACCTTGTGGAGTCAGTTCTCTCCTTCCACCTTTATGTGGGATCCAGGGATGAAACTCAGTCTCCAGACTTGTACTGCAGGCACCTCTACCTGCTGAGCCAACCTGCTGGCCCACAGTTCAACCACCCAAGTCACAAGACCCCACATTCCTTATCAGAGTGTGCTAGTGAAGCACCTGCCTTAATAGTTCTAAATGTTGGCTTCCACTCCCGGCTGAGAAACCACAGGCTCTAGAGAGCCAGGAAGATACAGCCTGTAGGTCTCTTGGGAGCTCAGCATGAGGCTGGAACCACTTGGGCCCTCTTTGCCCAAACTGGTCAGGTGATCTCATGTGCCACACTTTACTTCTGGCGCCTCAGCAGCCTCATTCTCAGCATGAGTCCCCAGATGGCTACTGAGATGTTAAAGGAATAGATGCTTAGCTATAGCAAACACTGTTGTCAGTCTATTTCACCTCTATCCCAAGGCTCCTATATTCACTACAATGGTTCTGGTAACGTTAACTACTTTGGAAAAAGACCTGTAGTAGATACCAAAGTGAGGAAGACTGAAGAAGACACTCACAGCTTCCTCCCATCCAGTGTTGATGGCAAACTCGCTGGCCCGCTCATCCTCGTTCAGCGTGAGATCACTGATACTGAGAAGACAGCAAACGTGATTCCTTTCGCTTCTCTCATCTGGACAACTTAAAGTCAGTACAGTTTCTTCTGTGTCTTCAATTTTCTTATTTTCATTATTTTCTAAAACAGTTTCACTCTCCTGACAGAAATCCATTACTGGGCTGATTGCTTATAGTTTTTAGCATCTTCTTCCTGCAAAATCAAATTAAACTTAGTTTTAAGATTATCTTTTAAATCAAATCAGTAGGTCAAGTGAAATATTTTAATATGTCCAAGAAGGACTGAGAATAAACATTCCAAAATTATCTATTTCCAACTGCTGACAAAAAAAAAAAATGACATGGCTAATTTTAAAGACTAATGGAATTTTTTCATGCGTGCATGAGAGAGGAGAAGAAAGAGAGAGAGGAAAGTATAGCGGAGGAACATGCCATGACACTCTAATGGAAGTCAGAGGACAACAGCTCTGTAGCTATGTCCTTTCACCACCTCCCCCAAACACACAAACACAAACAAGGATTCCAGGGGTCGAACTCAGGTCATTAGGCTTATGAGGTAAGTGTATTTACCTGCTGGGTTATCTGCAAGCCCAAGACAGGAGGACACTAGCATCAGCTCCATCTCTGGTTACTGTTACAGAGTTCAAGAGGGATGTAAGTCTACAAATGGTACTGTGCTGACATCACGAGAATAGTGGGTACACACAGCCTACAGATGCTCAGCTTCACCTGTTTCCAGAACCTCAGAGTTGACTGGAACTCACATGCTTCGCTCTCTTTCCTACACTTCTGCCTGATGGTCCTATTCTTCGCCCCCAAGATAAGCTCTAATCCCCCAAAACGAAACAAAGCAGCAAGTGTTGGCAGAGATGTGGAGAAATCAGAGCCCTCAGCCCCCACTGGGGATGGAAATGGAAGCATGTTGGTAAACCACTGTAAGGTGAAACAAGGTTGTCACAGCAACTGTAATTCTGCCCTGAGTTCTACATTCAGGAAAACGGATCTCCACACTGGGAAGGACAGCGGGATTGATGACTGATGGATGGGTGCATGGCTTTTTTTTTTGAAACAAGGTCTCCCTGTGTTGTCAGCCTGGCTTCCAACTCCTGACTTAGCCACCAAGTAGCTGGGATTTTAGATGTGGGCCATCTCTTCTAGCTAGGCATTGATACATATATATTGTTTGGAGCTAAATATGTATGTTCCACCTCTACAAGGGTTCTGGGGATTGAACTCAGGTTGCTAGGCTTAGAGACAAGTGCCTTCACCTGGCTGAGCCCTCTGGATTACCAGAAGTGTGGCATATTTCATCCTAAAGACTAGCCAAGTTTGGAGAACTGCACTTTTGGAAAGCTCTTCCCAACAATGAAGCAACACTTGTTTCAGCACACCAGCAACATCCTCCAGCCCTGGGTGCAGAGCAAAGCCTTGCAATGGGAAGTAAGTGCACAGTAAAAAAAAAAAAAAAAAAAAAAAGGCACTTAAATGCAGAAACCTGAAAATCCTCATCAACAAGTGGCCTCTCTGGAGAAAAGGTAAAAAGTAACAGATACCACCGTCTCTACAGCTCACAATCCCAAGTTTTCTCTTCCAGAATAGCTACTTCCAGCTTGTCTGAATAGAACTCATGTGTGCTGAGAAAAACCTGAAGGTGTCTATGCAGTTTGATGGTGAGGACCAGCAAAGGATGAAGGATGCAGCTTGCAGTGAGGCCTATGCTGGAGTACAAACTGGACCCCATTATTGTCTAAGATGGTCCAGTTGCATTCTATTATGCAGTAGCAAAGGAAATTCAGTAAAACAATTTAAATATTCATAAACAACATTTTTATAAGTGTTTTACTCATGACCTACATCGGCTGCTTTGATGTCATGAGAAGTAGTCAAAATTTGGTTAGATCACTGCACAGCAATTCATTATATGCCACTTGAGAACACTGACGTTCTTAAGGCAGATGGCAATGTTCCATTAGCAGAGAATGTGGCTGCCCTTTTCATAACTGAAACAAACAAACCAAAAAAGCAGAGTCGGTGAGATGACTCAGCAGGGAAAAGCTCTTGCAGTACAGGCCTGATGACCCAAGTTTAATCCCCAGAAGCCACAGGATTTAATTTGAGAGAGAGAGAGAAAGAGAGAAGGAGGTAGTGATATGTATGTATAACTCCTCCACCCTACCCCAGTGAGATGGGAGGCATTGACAACAAAACCTCCTAGAAGCTTTTTAGCCAACCAGACTGAAATACACAGCACAGGGGACAAAAAAAGAGGTAGGAGAGGAGCTGAACAGGAGAAGCTCAAGGACTGTCTCAATCTTCCCTCACCAGCCTGCCCTCTACCACCAAAAATAAAAATAAAGTCACTAAAAACACAGATTCATGGTTTCATTCTTTGTTTGGTTTGGTTGCTTTTGGCCTTTCTTTTTTAAGAGTTATTTGGGGACTGGAAAGGTTCTTCAGCAGTTAGGAGCTCTGGCTGCTCTTGCAGAGGACCAGGTTCAGTTCCAGCACCCACCCGGCAGCTCACAACTGCCTGTAACCCAAATTGCAGGGATCTGACTCCCTCTCCTGGCTTCTGAAGCACTGCACATGTGTGGTACACATGCACACATGCAGGTAAGCACGTATCTCCATAACATAAAAACAAATACAATTTCATTCGAGTTGTTATATGTGTGTGAGTGTTTTGCCTACATGTACATATGTATACTCCATGTGTGCCTGGTGCTGCAGAGACAGAGAAAACAGTGGAACCCCTGGGACTGGACTTATGGACAACCGAGAGCCTCCATGCAGGTGCTGTAAACAAACCTGGGTTCTCTGCAAAAACAAGGGCTCCTAACCACTGAGCTATCTCTCCAGACTCTCTAATGTGTTTTTGAGAGAGTTGGCTTTACACATGGAGCAATGCTCCTGCCTCTGCTCTCCAGTGCCAGGATTACTCGTACTTGAATGCCTAACTTGTGACTGTATACAAATTATATGCAGATTTACTGTTCTGTTAGAATGGAGAAGTCTTTATTACTATATTTTCTTTTTAAAATTTATTCTTATTTTTTTATATGATTGGATGTTTTGCCAGCATGTATGTGTACAATGTGTTTGCCTTTTGTGCTAGGAGTCCAGAGATCATTGGATCTTCTGGTCTGAATTTACAGACAGTTGTTAGCTACCATATGGGTGCTGGGTATTGAACCTGAGTTCTCTGCAAGAGCAGCCAGTGTTTCTTAACCACTCTTAGACATCTTTCTAACTCATGTTTCCTTTTTTTCTTTTATAGCAGGTCTCATGTACTACAGACTAGCCCTGAACTCATTATGTAGACAATTCAGGAATTCCTGATCCTCCTGTTTCTACATTCTGGATGCTGTGATCACAGACACTGGCCAGCAAGCCCAGAGCTTCAAAATTAAATTTCATCTGTCTGTCTACTTGTGTATTCAGTGAATGTGTTCACCAGGTGTCGTGTTCTATTACTCACCGGCATTATTCCTTCAAGACAGCCTCTCACTGAATCTGGAGCTTAGCATTTTTTGAGTTAGGCTGCCTGGGTAGGAAGCCCAAGTACTTCTCCTAGGGTGGGCTTGAAAAGATGGTTCCAACATACAGTACTTGCCACACAAGCAAAGGAGCAGAGTTCAGATCCCTAGAACCCACACAGAATGCCAGGTGCTGTGTGTATGCCTTTAGTTTCAGCACTGGAGAGACAGAAACAGAAGGACTCACGGGGCTTGCTGGCTAGCCAGTCTAGCCAAAATCAGAGAAGTCTGCATTCAGTGATAGAACATGTCTCAAAATCTAAGGTGGGTGAGGGCTGGAGATATGGCTCAGCAGTTAACAGCATTTGCTATTCTTACAAAAGACCCAGGTTCAGTTCCTGGCACCCTCATGGCAACTCACAACAGCCAATAATTCTACTTACAGAAAAGGGATCTGATGCCCTTTTCTGGCTTCCATGAGCACCTGGCATGCCTGTGGTGCACATACATTTAAGCAAAGCACTCGTGAAGTTACAATAAATAAATCTTAAAATTATATAAAAATAAGGTAGAGAGAGATTGTTGGTGTATGTCAACCTCTGACTATGCACACATGCACATCTGAACACATACACACAGAGACACACACAAGGAGTAGGGTGGTAGTTCAATGATGGAGAACACTGTATAAACTAGGAAGTGCATATGGCTGACATCGTCCTCACAGAGCTGAGGAGTTAATCATGGAATCTAAAGCTTCAATTAGCTGGGAACATCCAATGTAAACAACACAACTCTCGCACAATGCTTTGGGGTTTTGTTTTATTGTTGTTCTTTCTTTTCTTTTTTCCTTCCTTCCTTCCTTCCTTCCTTCCTTCCTTCCTTCCCTTCTCTTTCTTCCTTTCTTTTCAAGACAGTCTTGTCCAAGATGTCCTGGAACTTAGAACGATATATTGTATGCAGGAGTATACAATATACAAAACTGCTTCCGTTTTGTTTTGTTTTAAATAAGAGAACAACCCTAAGCTGGGTGTGGTGGCGCACACCTTTGAATCCCAGCACTTACGGAGGCAGAGGCAGGCAGATCGATGCGAGTTAGAGGCCAGCGGTCAAACACCAGTCCAGGTCAGCCAAGGCTATACAGAGAAACCCTGTCTCGGAGGAAAAAAAAAAAAAAAAAAAAAAAAAAAAAAAACTAATTGGGAATGGATATAGTCAATATAGTGCTTGCCTCACAAGCTTAAGACCTGAATTCAATCCCTAGCTACCAGCCAAAATGCTAGGTATAATGTCATGCATTTGTATTTCTGACACAGGAGAGTCAGGGATAGATGGATTGGATCCCTGGGGTTGGCTGATCCAATTGGTAGTCTCAGTGACATATTACAACAACAACATATACACAAATAAAATTTGAAGAAAGCAAATAAAATAATTGAAAGTTATGATGTGGCCTGCAGAATCTCCAGGAAAGAAGAGGGTGCCAACGCTGACTCTGAAACTGTGAAGCCGGGAGCAATGCACATTACCTATTCTGACTAAGTACATGCCCTGCTCTCAGAAGGAAGACACCGGGACTGGACTGTAACAGTGCCGCCTCCAGGTCTCACCAGCACAAAAGAATATCCTTCCATCCCTTTGTAACAGGCTGCCTCTTATTCACTCTCATCATGTACAAGGTAACGATGTCCAATAGCAGAACCTAGGTCATATGCCAAAACATTCACTGTATGTAGGAGGCAGGAAGTTTTCTGTTTTACCTTGAGGAGGGTATGCATGCATTGCTGAATGTGTACAGAGCATAGAGAGGCTGTTCTCCCACAGTAGACATCTAAACACAGCAGGCCTTTCAGACATTTTGAGTTTGAATTAACAGCTGGTTGGCTTAGATAATTCAGAATTTGACTTTGATGTCCTATAGTTTGTCCATTTCTACTTTAAGGCTACTTTAATTTGCTGGGCATGATGGCACACACCTTTAATTCCATGAGGAAGGCAGAGGCAGGTGGATTTCTGGGGGTTTGGGACCAGCCTAATCTAGACAGTGAACTTCAGGATAGCCAGGACAACAGTGAAAATTAGAAAGCTGCTCTCGAGGACCAGGGTTTGAATCCAAGCATCCACGTGGTGGCTCACATCCATCTGTAACTCCTTCTAGCCTCTGAGGGTACCAGGCACCAACATGGTGACATACATGCAGACAAAACACCCGTATATATAAAAAATTTAAAAATTAAAAATAGGGCATTAGATATACAGTTCTGTAAACAGAGCACTTGAACAGCACACACAAAGCACTGGGTTTCACCCCCAGCAACCAGGCATGAGGAAGGTTACCAGTTTAAGGGCATTCTTAACTACCCAACAAATTCAAGGTTAGCCAGGGACACATAAGATTCTGCCTAAAGGAGAGATGGCTCAGAGGCTAAGAGCACTGCTCTTCCACAGTTCAATTCCCGGCAACCATATGGTGGCTCACAACCATCTATGATGTAATCTTATGCCTTCTTCTGGTGTGCAGGTGTACATGCAGACAGAGCACTCATCTACACAAAATAAATACATCTTAAAAAAGAAAGAGACCCTGCCTAAAGAGAAAAGTGTCTGTTCCTATTCCAATTATCAACTCCATACAAGCAGAGGCTACCTAAATGTGTTGAGGAGCTGACACCTGATCACTGTAAGAAACAGTTCTGTGGTTGATTAATGATGTCTGTCACAAAAAATAAAGTAATGATATACATGTCTTGCCTTTGTCCGCACAGTGGAAATACAAGATTCCTACATCTGACATATTCCTAATCTATCAGCAAGTACGGAAAGCAAGTTGACTGGTAAGAAACAAAAGCCCCGGGCACTGAAAGGAAAAGCATGCTACTGATGTCAAAGGCAGGCTGGTTCCTCAAACCTCATCAGCACCTTGCCACAGCTTCTCAATTGCTTTTCGCCTCATCTTACTAAAAGCGAGGGCTCTAAGGGAATCTTGTGGTTGCTATCAGGATTCAGTCAGAGTCAAGGTGTGGCGGTACATGCCTCAACAGGAGGTTGAGGTAGAAGTATTCCAAGTTCCAAGTTAGTCTGGACTATATAGCAAGACCCTGTCTCAAATAGACAAAAATTAAGAAAATCAAAACATCTTCCTAAGTTCATTAGCTGTGGCACTTACATGCCGGCGGGGCACAGCTGCCATGATAAAGCACTCCTTGAAGTCTTCGATGGTCGTGTACAACTACCCCTTTAGAGAAGGTTATCTCTATTCCAACCACTCTCAACTCGTGCCCTTTTTCGGTTTTCTTTCTAGGGTGTCAATTTTTGTTTCTGACAGGGTCTCACTTTGCCCTTTTTTCGACTCTCGTTTCGGAATTCACTAAGTGCCTCGTTCCAAAAGGGTGAGGGTGGCCTTCTGAGGGATCCCAACTGACAGAAAGTACAAGCCCGAATCCTGGCACCCAGACCTTCCCGTCTGGTTCCTCCCTTCTACTAGTGGTCCCATCACACTCCTTCCCTTCATCCCGCTCGAGAGCCTCACTTGATCTGGCTCCTCCCCTCCTTCCCGGCCGCTCCTACCTAGTCACCGGTAGCAGATCTGCCCTTCCTTCAGAAGATCTGTAAGGGCTGCACCACGCCCCTCCCATTGAAGCATCGACCACGCCCCAAAGACCACGCCCACCAGAGACTCCTCCCCTCCGGCCCTGGTGGCTTCCCAGATCCCGCCCAACGCAGCCTACCTCCGCGTCCTCCCCGTCTCTCTCTTGCTTACCCGCCCTGAAGGTTGCTTCCTTCCACAGCTTTGTTTCTCGCGAAGTGTCCTAGGGAATTTTCCCCGGGGCGAGGATGTGGTCACGGCCACCCAGACGCTCCTGCGGGCCGCGAGGGAAGGAAGACCGGCAGCGGCGGGTCCCGGCTCGTCCCGGCTCGGGAGCCGGGCCGGTTGCCCTAGGTTACCGCCGCGTCGGGGGCGGGCCTGGGTGTAATCTTGGCGGAAGTGACGTAGCCGAGTCCACAAAGCGGCTCAGGGGAAACGGCTTTGTCTGAGGGCGAGGCCGAGGGGCGTTCCCGTGGTGCTGTGCGCGGCTCTTGCCCTCCCCGCTCGCTGAGTGGTTTCTGGCGTCCGGCCAGCGGCGCCTGCGCGCAGTGGCAACTCCTCTGGGAAATCGCGGCCAGCGTGCCGTCAGGCGGCTTAAGAGAGCTTCGCCCCGTCGAAGTTGCCTTCTAGAAGGGCCGCATCAGATGCCAGACAAACGAGGTCCGTAGATTTGGTACTTGGAACTTCCGGCAGAATTGTCCCTCCCTTCTTGAGTTCCCGCGTGGTAGTGGAATGCAGGCCCGGAACGTCATGGGAGTATTCATTTCTTATTTACATACTTTTGAGACACGGTCTCCCTTGCTCTGTACCCTGGTGTGGTCTCAAACTCCAGGCAATCCTCTTCCTTCAGTCTCCCTAATCGACACTAAGCATGCTTAACAGCGTCGTCTGCTTCCACATCGCTGCCGTGAAGGATTTCTTGTTTTGTTCTTTTCAGTGATGCCTGCTTCATTTGCTGGGGCGGTAGCAGCTGGCACTCACTGCGCTTTTGGCAAGGCAGCTGCCCCGCTGTGCTCCTCCACCCCAGGCTGGGAACCTGTGTCTAAAGTCAGAAGGTAAGTCTAACAACCCAACTCAGGTCAAGCGCCAGGCCACCTCTGCTTTCTGGTTTAAGAAGTATTTCTACAGTTTGAAAGCAAGTGGTAAGTCAAAAGCATTTGGAAAAATAGCTAGGAGTTACTACTTTTTACAGATTTATAGTATTAAACGCCTGTAAAGATGTGATGTATTCTATGAGGTTGGAACAAAGTCCTCTTCTAGAATATGACTACTTGTTTGTGTATTCCCCATACATACACATACCTGTGTATATATATATATATTTGTATATGTATGAGGGAAATACCTTAACTAGTATATATAATATATATAGTAATATAGTTTGCTATCTCAGTGTATCCGAATGTATAACATAGGAAATGACACATTTCTAAAATTTTACTTATATGTATTTTTAGATTTTTGTGTATGAGTGTTTTGCCTGTTTATATGTATGTACTCTGTGTACATGCTTGGCAGTAATAAAGGCACACGTAAAGTTGGCTCCTTTGTTGTTTTCCAATGCTGATGAGCAAACTCAGGGCCTCGCATGCTAGACAATCACTTTGTCACCAAGATGTGTCTCTGTTCCTCAGTGTTTTGAGGTAGGTTCTCACTATATTGCCTACTGGTCTCCAAGTCAAGATCTTCCCTCTGTTCCTGAATACTGGAATTACAAGCTTTTGCCACCAGACCAGGCCACTCAACCATAATTCTTACAACTGAAGGTGGAAAAAAGCCTTTCAGAAGGCCACAGGAAAGATCAGAAAATTAGAAATATCAAACTTTCAGTCTGCTGAAGAACTGAGTCTGCTGGTCCAAATCACTGGTCTTTTTCATACTGGGTTCTCTGCCAAGAACCCTCTAGTAGTTCTTCCGAGACCCAATATGGTCAACCTTAGAACTGCCCCCAAGGTGGTTGTTTGGTTTTTGTTTGTTTGGGCGAGGGTTTATTGTTGTTTTGTTTTTAAGTCTTAATGCCTTCTGAACAACATATTTTTTAATTTTAAGTTTTTAAGCATTTAGGTATTTTGACTGCATGTACGTTGGTGCTCCACTTCCAGCAAGGTGACCTGTTGAAGGCCAGCTCCAACAGCATGCTCAGCGATCCGAGGAAGGGATGTGAGGTTGCCCACCAATGTAAAGCAGGCACACACTCAACACACATCTGCACACACACACACACACACACGTATCAAATCATCTGATGGATGAAAAAGGACAACAACTTCATACATACACACTCACACAGATTCTGTGGTGGAGCAAAGCTCCAACAACTTTATTTTTCTCCCACAGCTTATATATCCCAGCAAAATCTTCAAGCAGTATAAAAATTACAGTGTGATTACATTCTTTTTTTTTTTTTTTTTTTTTTTTTTTTTTAGAGAACAGTATGTTCAATACCTTTACATAAAAAAACCTTTTCCATATTACAGGTGAAGAAAACAAATTATTCTGAAGAACCGACATACATTTGTAACTAAGCAACTTGTTACAGATTAACAAAATGTTAAGCAAGCAAGGTAATTTTCTCAGCCAGTTTGTCTTTACTGGCAGCCCACAATTTTGTGTTACAAAGAAAAGATCGATTATCTTATTATTTAACTGATCTTATAAAAATCTTAAAAGAATCACAAATCTGTAGAAGTATCTTTTATTTGCCTGATTTAATTGTTGTCTCAGAGGCTTACTGCCTTTGTCTGCTACCCTAGGCCTAGTCCAGGAATCTCCATTACAATTTTATCTAGGCCTATAATGTTTTCAGCCTCCTAGATTTAATGCTGAATAAGCTCACTCTTTCTAGTTCTTTCTGAACTCTGGTTGGCTGGTTCAACTCAGCACTTCTGGTTCAAACTACTCTCCAAGCTGACTGATTCAGTCTGGCTTCTCTCAGCTTCTGACTTTTTGCTCTGCTTGGCAACCTCAAACTAACTCTAGTAATGTGTTCTAATCTTTGGGCTCCTTCTCATCCTCTGGCTCATCTGTCTTCACCTGTGTCTAGCTTATTCTCTCTTCAACCTGTCTCTAAAAACTCTCCCAGTAAAACTGCCTCTGAACTCCACCAACTGAACTGCCATAAACTCAACTCCACTGCACTGCCTCTCAACTCACTCTCAACCAAACTGTCTCTCCCTGTGCTCTCTTACTCTTTCCTGTGCTATTCTTGTGAGAGTTGTCCATATTCTATCTCTGACTCATTCTATCAAATCTATCTGATTCATCACTTTGCCCCTCACTTTCAAACATGAGTGCTTATTTCTACAAACTAACTTTACCTTCATTGTTTGGGATTAAAGGTGTATAGTAAGGGCATGTTTGCATTCCAATTGGATCTCACACACATAGAAGGTCCTTGGCTGTGATCAGAGCAGCATGTTGTTGGATTAAAATTCCTCCACACAAATCTAAACTTTTGTATAAAAAAAAGTCATTTCTACTTTAAATCCTCAAGATGCACATCTACTCATTAGTAATTTTTTTTATTAAGTCACTTCAGGAAGCTAAGGACCATGTTGCTGGATTAAAATTCCTCTACACACATCTAAACTTTTATATTAAAAAAAACAGTCATTTCTACTTTAAATCCTCAAGGTGCACATCTACTCATTAGCAATTTTTAATTAAATCATTTAGGACAAAAATGGGTACAAGAAATTAATCATCACCTTGATCACCAGCCCAGCAAGAGAATCACATCAGCCAGTGTCAGTTGTGCCATTGTTCTTGTTTCCTGACCTCAAAAAAAATGCCTAGCTCAACAATTAAGTTTGCCTTTCTGAACTACAAATTGTTCCCTAAGAATTTCTTCATCAGAGCCACTAACAAAAACATCTTAACCTAACTTTACTAACAATCAACTTTTCCACATTCTTTCTAAGGGTGGTGACTGACTCCTTAATCTGCCCTAGCAGCAATGCTTGAAAAAGATCAATCACTATTACTATTGTAAGTGCCAATGATGCTGCCCAGTGAGAGGCTAAAAACCCCCTTAGAGTTTTCATACAACTCATATATTGTGAGGGATGTGGTGACAAGGACAACAAGCAGAGCAATGCTCCATAACAGCATGAAGTTCTCAGGACATGAAGTCTTCAGGGCTTTGCTTCTCTGAGACACACCAAATTCCATGAGTTCTAAAGCCCTTTGTTGCTCCTCTAGCAAAGGCTTCAACAGTGCCCACAGAGGCCAAAAGAAGGATCTGATCCTTTGAAACTGAAGTTACAAGTATTCATGAGCCTCCAAGTAGGTGCTGAGAATTGAACCCCAGGGTTTTTGGAAGAACAGCCAGAGCTTTTAACCACTAAAGCATATCTCCAGCCCTCCCCCACTCCCATTATATTTCTGAAGTTTTAATTCTTTGAAAACATTCTTCAAGGAAAGACAAAGACTAAAGCAAAACACAAGGCAAAGAAAAAGAAAGTATTCTTCCAAAGCTTAAAAGTCTGGTGGTAGATGCCTATGACTCAGCCCTTGGAAGATTAAAGCAGGAAACCTGCAGCTCAAAGTGGTCCTTGGCTACACCCTCCACCTCAGCCTGAGCTACATGAGAACCTGTCTGAAAAATACAAAACAGCCTGGTCTACAGACAAGTTCCAAGACAGCCAGGGCTACCCAACAAACCAAACCAAAACAACAACAAAGAAACAAAACAAAAAACACCACAAAACATTGAAGTCAGGCGTGATGGCTCACATCTGTAATCCCAGCACTACAGAAGCTGGGGCAAGAAGATTGCCATGAGTTAAAGACCAGCCTGGACTATAGAAAGAGTTCGTGTATCAAACAATGCAGTCATAAGAAAGTGAATTCCACTGACTATGCTTAAGAGGGCTGAGGATGTGGCTTAGTGGTAGACTGCTTGCCTGCTGTGCATGATGCAAAAGAAAGGAAAAGACAGCATTCTTTTGCACCACAGAAATGATTATAGAATTGAGTCTATATTAAAGAGAGCTGGAAAAACGAGTTAGTATATGGTCTGATCAGTGTGTGTGTGGTATGCATGTGTCTGGAAGATAGAGGACACCAGTGTCTTCTGACCTATTCCACTGAGATGGAACCTAGACCCATTCCTAGAGATGGAACCTCAGAACTTAGACCTGGTTTAGAGGCCAGAAAGCCCCAGAAATAATCCTGTCTCCCTGCAGCCACACTTGGCTTTTTAGGTGGTTCCCAGAAATTCGAAGCCAGGTCCTTACACTTTTAAGGCAAGTGCTCGTATCCATTGAGCTCTTATACAGCCTGATTTTTAACTGTTTTTATCACACATGAATTTTGGCTGCCACATCACATGATGTCTCGTAAGAGTTTTCCACCTGTGCTATACTTGGTGGTAGCTGTTTTCCATCAGCGGTGTCGGAGAAAGTGGTTTCCTCTACTGAGGAAATTGTTCCTTTGCTACTCACTCATTACCAGGTGTTAGTGGCTCTGTCCTCCCTCTACAGTCAGAGGGAATACAATGGAGCCTACTCCTAATATGATAGAGTCTATCTACTTTCCTTTGTGTATGTATTCACACACAATGTCTAGTTTTTGTTTGGTGGTGGCAGAGTTTGTATGTATGTTCTGATTTGAGCTGGCCATGGATCTGTAGCCAAAAGATGACCTTGAGCCCTTGATCCTCTGGCCTCCACCTCCCAAGTCTGAGATTATAAGCCTGAGCCACCAAACTTGGCTATACATATTTGTGTGCATAAAACACTACCCCAGTCGGTACTTTTAGAGTAGACTAAATTAGAGACTATGCAACATTAGCCATCTGAAAATATCATTTGACAGTAAGTACACTCAGCTGTAAAGACAGTTATTAAGTCAGTGTCAGAAAGTTCGTGTCTGTGATCCCTATTAGATGGAAACCTGAACATGATTTAAGTTCAAATACACCATGTGCAATGCTAACCAACTGTCACCTGTTGTCCCTCTTCTAAGCTACCATGAGAAGCAAAGATGGTGATCTCATTTCTCTCTTTTTAAATACCATAGGGGAGAGAGTGAATGCAGTTTCCCACTATCGCAAGTTATATGAACAAATTTGCCTCTGGGGGAAAACATAAGACGTAATACACACTAAGAGCAATGGGTGAGCCTTGACCTGGGAAAACCACTTCTTGATGAGTGTCTCCCTTGCCAGGTAGGCATTAGTGATTTCTTCCTAATATTAAAATGACAGTACTGAGTGATTTCTTGCCAGCCTATCTTTACTTAATTGCCTCATTGTGAAGGCATAAATTTTCTTTTAATTTTAGATGTTTTATGTATGCTATGCCTGCATGAATATGTGTGCACCTTATGTGTGACCTACAGAGGTCAGAAGACATCAGATCCCCTGGAACTGGAGTAAGGAATGATCGTGAGCTACCATGTGGGTGCTGGGAACTGAACCCAGGTTCTCCACAAATGCAGCAAGAGCAACAAGTGCCCTTAATCACTGAACTCCCTATCCAGCCCCTTGCTAAATCTTTAAAAAAAATAATAATTTCCTATGACTAAACAGGGTACAGCTCAGTGGTATCCAGATACACACATGTGCACACACACACACTCCTATAAGTATGAACCCTCTAAAACTAGCAGTCACTAAATGAAACATTCATATCCAAACAAACGCCATGATGAACAAAGAGAACAAATATTTTATTTGTTTCTCACTGTGTTGCAGAGCCAGTGCTTCACAGTGGGAAAACAGCAGTCAACACAGCACTTCGTGAAATTAAGACAGTACCGTCCTTCATCTGAACCATAAAATACTTTCCTGTGCTCCCAGGCATTTCCAATGAGAACACACACAAGTCTTTTGACCAAAATCCAGTGGTGAATACCGGCAAGTTACAATATTATGTGAGATTTACAACACTGTTATCCTGAATTATGGAATTCTTATAATCACTAGGTAGTGTCTCATCATGTAACTGTGGCTGGCCTGGAACTTGTTATGTGAACCAGGCTGACCTCGAACTAACACCTGACTGTTGGGTGCTGGGATTAAAGGGTGGTTTGCCCCCAAACCCAGCTTCATAACCACTTTTACCATAGATGATCTCAAGAATTCTAAACACAGGGATTAAGCCCCTAGTCTAAATAGCTAGCATGGGATTATGAAAAATATGGTCACTGTGTTTATCTGCACCCATTAGGAAGTGGTGGCAGGGTTTTTAAGTAGCACTGTCCAGAACAGTTTCTTCCCATCAGTATTGCTAAAAGTTATTTCAAGTCTTCTATCCTCCACTAATTTTAGACAAGCGTGCTGCAGAAGGCTACTTCCCACAGTCTTGTTTGGGAGTGGAGGGGTGCCACGTTCACTCCTCAATGGATTTCACATATTTCTCATAGGCTTCCTCACTCATTAATTCATCCAGCTCAGAAGGGTCACTCAGTGTCATCTTGATCAGCCAGCCTGCAACGGAAACAAAACTTCAGTACAAATTGCCTTTTCAAAAGTCAAATGAATTCAAAATGTAAATTTTTAAGGCCCTCAAAATTAATACAGTACCCTCACCTAAGTGATGCTGTTACTCTAACATACATCCATTATTTGTTCAATAAATTTTAGCCATAAGAAATCAGTGGGCCAGGGCGAGATGGCTCAGTTTTTAAGAACATGCTGCTTTAAAAAGGATCCAAGTTTGGTTCCTAGCATCCACAGCAGGTGGCTCACAACCATCTATATCTCCAGCTCTAGGGGATTCGATGTCCTCCTCTAGCCTAAAAGGACACCTGCATTCAAATGTAACTATCTCTACACAGAAACAAATACAATTTTTTTTTTAAAAAAATTAAAATCTTGGGGCTGGAGAGATGATGGCGCAACAGTTAAGAGCACCTTAACATACAAATTTAACGTTTTTTTTTTTTGTTTGTTTTTTGTTTTGTTTTGTTTTTTTTTATAAAGGCATACCAAACATTGTAATTATTAGGACTGTTAGGGTTAATGGCAGTAGACAGTAGAGAGCCATGCATGGTGGTGCACGCCTTTATACCAGTACTTGGGAGGCAGAAGCAGGTTGATCTCTGTGATTTCAAGACCAGCAAGAGTTATGTAGACAGACCCTGTCTCAAACCATCTAACCCCCAAGACAGAGAGACACAAAGACAGAGACAGAGAGAAAGCATGCCCTAGAAAGTCTGAAGGCAAGGCAGCAGTCCAAACACCCCGAATATTGTCACTTATTGGCTGCACGACCATCCAGTTACACTTCTGGGGTTCTTCATTCACCTATAACATGGAGAAAACAACTGTTGGCATACTTCACTGGGTTACTGTAGGGATGAAATTCTGAGCAACAACTCACCATCTTCGTAACAGGATTTGTTGACGAGCCCTGGGTTTTCGGCAAGTGCTTCATTGACTTCCGTTACCTCTCCTGAGAGAGGAGAGTAGAGTTCACTGGCAGCCTTCACACTCTCCAAAGCACCAAACTCATCTAAAAGGAGGCAGTGAAAGAAAATAGTTATCATCAAGTCAGTGAGTTAAAAATACAAAATGTGGCTAGGAAGGGTGGAAACACGCCTTTAATCCCAGCACTTGAAACAGGCAGGTGGATCTCTCTAAGTTTAATGCTAGCCTGGTCTATAGGGTGAGTTCCAGACCAGCCAGGGATTCACAGTGAGATGCTGTCTAAACAAAAAGGCAGTAACAAAAATAGAAAACATGGTGAGGGTTGCAGCTCAGTGGACAGAGCGTTTGCCCAGCATGCATAAGGCCCGAGGTTCAATCCCCTGATGTGGTGGTGACAGCTCTAATCACAGTACTGCGGAGACAGAGTCAGGAGGCAGGAGAATCAGGAGTTCACATCTGGGTGGGTTTTTGAAAACCCTCAAAGCCCATCCGCAATGACACCCATTCTCTAAAAAGGGCACACCTCTGAATCCTACACAAACAGTTCCACCAACTGGGGGCCAAGCATTCAAACATATGAGCTTATGGAGGCCATTCCCATTCACACCATCACACCTCACTTACACCTTCAGAACCTAGAAAAGAGGCAGCCATCTAATTCCAGAACTAGGGAGGCAGAGGCAGGTGAATCTCTGTGAGTTTGAGGTCAGGCTAGTCTCTTGTTAGTTCCAGGCCAGGCAGGACTCCACAGTGATACTTTTTTTTTCCTTTACATTCATTTTTTAAATTTATAATTTTTTATGTATATGGGTGTTTTGCGTGCACACACACACACACACACACAGTATGCATATGTGCTGATTCCCGAAGAGGCTAACGGGAACCCTGGAGCTGGAGGTACAGATTGTTGTGAGCTGGGAATCAAACTGGGTCCTTTGGAAAAGCAGTCAGTACTCTTAGCCTCTGAACCATCTCTCCAGCCCTAAGACATTATTTTAATTTTTGTTCTGCAAAAAAAGTACCTGCTACCAAGTCTGATTACCTATATTCAATCCTTAGACCCACAGGATGATAGGAGAGAAATGACTACCTCAGGTTGTCCTCTGACATCCATACATGCACCATGGCACATGTAAGAGAGATAGACAGAAGCACACACACACACACACACACATTTTAAGAAATCCTAAATTGAAGGAGCCTGGGCTACACATAAGGTTCTAGGCAAGAAAAAAGAATATGCTCACTCTCTTATCAAGATAAACATGAAATCCAGCCTCTTGCCCTCTCTGTCTCTCTCTCAGATCTGGTCTCACTGTCTAGCCCTGGCCAGCCTGGAACTGGATACACTGACCAGGTGAGCTTGAACTCAGACATCCGCTTGCCTCTGCCTTCAGTACCAAGATTAAAAGTATGCACCATCATGCATGGCATTAGCAAAATTTTTTGTTTGTTTGAGATAGGGTCTCTCTGTGTAGCCTTGGCCATTCTGGAACTATGTAGACCAAGCTGGTCTAGAACTCCCCAAACACCTGCCTCTGCCTCCCTAGTGCTGGGGTTAAAAGCATGTGCCACCACACCCAGCTTTTTAATAGCATATTTTTAAAGGCCTGGTGGGATTTACTCTAGTAATGTGCGTTTGTTAAGCATCAAGAATTAATCTGGGTTTCAGGATGAAGTCCAAGGGTTTCTGTGGCAGCAGTGGACATGTACCTTACTGTTTAAGAAGCAGTATGGAAGCTGTGGGATAGAAGATGACACAGGCTTGTTTTACCATCATAAAGGTCAAAATGAATACCTACACACAAACAAGCCTGAAGCTGGCGAGACAAGTGGGTTGAGGCACTTGCTGCCAAGCCTGACAAATTGAGTCTGATCCAGGTCCCACATAGTGGAAGGAGAGAACCAACTCTCAAAGTTGTGTTCTTCTCCAATTTCCACATACATGTGGTGGCATGTACATGTGAACACACCACACACACACTGAATGTAATTAAAAAAATTTTTAATCTTGTATTAACAAAATAAAACAATCATTTAAGCATATTATAAACATGTAACATAAACATACAGAGAGCATATAATCATATAATCATTTCAATAAATGAAAATTAGTTTGATAGAATTCAGCATTCGGTAATGATAAAACTCTTTGCAAACAGAAAGGAACCTCAACTGGTAATGAGCATCTATGAACTGTCCCATGCCAGCATCACTCTTACTGATGAAATAGCAACTGCTTCCTCCTAAGATAAGGAACAAGACAATGATAGCCACTCTCACCATTTTTATTACAACACTTTTCAAACAGTCCTGGACAGTGCAATAAGGCAAGAAAAAGAAAATGTAAAGACTAAAAAAATGGCCTCAAGTCAGGTTTAGTGGCATCACCTGTAGTTTAGTACTTGACAGAGGCAGGAGGTTCAAAGCAAACTTGGGGCCACCCTGGTTTACATAGTGAATTCCAAGCAAGACCTTATCTCAAGGTGTCTTCCAGCAAATTATGCTGATACATGAATAAAACATATGAAGGAAGAAAATTAAGTCCACCACAGCAAACGTAATGACCTAAGCATACCAGCTATGGTGGCATATGATCCAACCATGCAGAAAGCTTGAAGCCAGCCTGGGCTGGGTTATATGGTAAAACCCTGTGTATTTGGGGGGGGGGGGGGGGGAGCTACCCTGTGTGGTGTCAGACCTTTCATCTAGTACTTAGGAGGCAGAGGCAAGTGTATCTTTGTTTGAGGCCAGGCTGGTCTATGGGGTATTCTAGGCCAGCCAGGACTACACAATAATGCCCTGTCTTTAAGGGGGAAAAAAGAAAAAAGCTGGATGGTGGTGCACACCATTAACCCCAGTATCCAGGAGGAAGAGGCAGGTGGATCTCTGTTCCAGGACTGCATGTCTCAAAACAAACAAAAGAACCAAACAAACAAATCAAGAAGGGGCAGGGAGATAATGCATTCAGTAAAAAAGCTCGCCTCATAAGCACAAGCACCTGAGTTCAGTCTGCAGAACCCATATCACAAAGAGAAATTTTGAAGAACTCACATGAGACAAAAGTGCTAAGAAATCAGGACATCCAAGCTGAGTGGTACTATCTTGTGTCAAGGAACTCATGATCAATTTTATAATTTTGCTGAAGTCACATGACTAGTAAATTGTGAGGATTTAAAACCCCAAGTTCTGGGCTGAGGAGACAGCTCAACTGTTAATACTTGTTGCAGGGCTGGAGAAATGGCTCAGGGGTTAAGAGCACTGGCTGCTCTTCAAGAGTTCCTGAATTTAATTCCCAGCAACCACATGGTGGCTCATAACCATGTAATGAGATCCAGTGCCCTCTTCTGGTGTGCAGGTGTACATGCAGGCAGAACGCTGTATACATAATTAATAAATCTTAAAAAAAAAAAAAAAAACAAACCAATCTTGCTTTTACAGAAGACCTGGGTAACGCTGTCAGTTCCCACGCTGCCTGAAACTACAGTAGCTCCAATGCCCCTTTGAAGCCTGTGCAGGCACCAGGCAGAGACATGGTGTATGTGTGACATGCAGGCAGACACTCATACACATGAAATAAAAATAGACCTTACTCCCCTCCCAAAAAAGGCTGACTCCTATGTCCCCATTTGTTCTTGATGCTCTGCTATATGCAAAAGGCAGATTTTAGCTTTTCCTTAGGCAGTGCTGGAGGTGGGGCCCAGGGTCCATATAAATGCTAGCGAACACATCTGACCATTGAGCTACACCTTTACAAAAAAATAAACCTCACTATTCTTTTTTGTGGGTGAAGAGGATAGTGTTGAGAGCCATTCCCTCTGACCCCTGATTTTCATTACAAAGTAGTATCTGGGCTCATGGTCCCTGACAGCTATATATGCCAATATAACCCAGATCTGTATGGAGAAATGTAAGAAAGCGCTCGCTGAGACATTACTTCTCCAAAGACAATGACAGCCTTCCTCATTCTAATTAGGCACACAGAGGGCGAAGGGCGAATACAGAAGTCAGGTTCTTAGTGGCTCTCTGTGAAACAACCTTTCCCATCCATCTGAAGACTGTACAAGCTAACGAACCTTTAACTGTTACACATTTCTGTTTGAATATATCTTTTTCCTGAAATTACTCCAACTGACCCTGCATGCAAACAAGTTGTTATTCAGGTAAAGACCTGAAAATCGTGTCATGGACTGTGACATTCCAAAATGAGAAATACACTCACCTTGTTTTTTCAATTTTGTCCCAACTTCAGGCAGACTACAGTAAACTACATCTCCCAAAGCTTCCTAAAATAAAATAAAACAAAAACATAAACATGTCTAGGAAGACACCAAAGAACAGGGAAGAGACAAATACCCAATTGTGTATATTTCGGTCTATGTATTTAACACTTGACAGCCTATATTCTTTGCTTTTCTTTATATCCTTTTACACATGTAAAATGGGCTGGGCATGGTGGGATAGACCTAAAATCCAGCACTTGGGGGACAGATGGAGGAGGAGGGCTGTCTTTTCAAAGCCAGCCTCAGCTACATACAAGACTCCATTGCACAAAAAGAATAAAATTAGACGAGACTGGTGGTATACCTAGCTGAGGCTGAGAAGGGGAGAACAGAAGTTCAATACCTCCCTAGGCTACAGAACAAGTTCAAGGCCAGCTAAGTCACCTTAGCCAGAGCCTATCTCAAAACAAAAAGTAACAGAAGGCTAGAGATGGACCTCAGTGGTAGAGAACGTCCCTAGCATGTGCAAGGCCCAGGGTTCAATCCACAGTACTGTGTGAATAATACTTCAATATGTTAAGCACACTGTGGGCACGTGTGTTCATGTACTGCATGTACATGTGTGAAAACCTGCCAGAGTCATTTTTCCCTGTACCATGTGCATCCCAAGATCAAACTCGGGTCATTAGGCTTGGTGGCAAGTGCCTTAACTTGTTGAGCTATCTCAGCAGCCCTAAAAATAGTGTTTTTCAACTCGAATGCTGCACTACAAGTAACGAGCCACCAGCCAGATTTGACCTCCAGGCTGGAGTAACCCCAGGCACAAACCACATACTCCAAACAAGATTACTAGCTGTTCTCAGCAGCCTGTGCTTTCCAGCTCTGCAGTTTTAGGCCATGCCCAGAACGCACTGCCAAAAATCCTACCCATTTATTCATCATGGGCTGCCTTCTAAGGTCCTGATGCAGCAGCTGAGCAAGCCACCCCTCCTCACATCCCCCAGATGGGCCGTATCACCTGCATTTTGTACTTTGCTGTCACATAGGTGATTCCCTTTGTAGATAAACAACCTGCACTGTGCTTCCTCAGGAAGACACACAGGCATGCCAAAGAGGTGTCAGAGACCCGGAGACCTGAGAACCCAGCATGTCTGAGGAATTGTGCATTTTCCCAACAGTCGTTCCCTTCTCGCCTGCCTTCCTACACACATGCATCCAGTTGAGACCACTAGCCGTGCTACTGCCTGGCTTCTTTCCAAAAGTATCTGCGTATGACAGCAGTGACAAAAGTTATTCCTGGAGAAAGGCCAGCTGAATAAAAGGCTTCTCTTTGCCTTAGCATTGTCTCTCTGTGCTTCCTGTCTTGTTCTGTACCCACATGACCCACATGTGGCAATGACCCACACCCAGCCCCTGAGTTTGCTCTTAACTGTTCAACATGAATTGTTAAATAAGGTTCCCTACTTTTAAGTGTTGACACAGTATAGTTGATTTTCCAAAGAAAGAATCTTGCTGTTAGCCCAGACCGGTCTCAAACCCTGCCTCGGCCTGAGTATGGGGTAAGAGGTTTGTGTCTCTTATAACATATAGGCTGCCCTAACTAATGTACATTTTCGAAGAGCCCAAAGCATCATACCATTTTCATAAGGTAGAGACAATCCAGAGTACTTGAGAGTAGACTGTTAACAAACACTTCAAGGCAATCCAATACCTGTGCAAAATTGCTGATTCCCACTGTTCCAATACCATTCTCTGTTGTTATCCATTCATGTTTCTCTGTGAATTTACGCACTAAAACAGAAGACCAGTATTTCAGAAACAAACAAACAAACAAACAAACAAACAAAAACCCAGCAGCATCACTTAGTCAAAAGCGTCTCAAACATCATTGCTCTCAGTCGGTTACGACTCCCCCAGGATTGGTGTTGGACTCTCTGACACTGGCTTCAGTAGATTGATGCTCAGTAGAACAACAATGTGTAGAGATAAGGCATTTAAACAAAGAAAATGTGTAGCCACAGATGCACTGAGATGAATGATGTAAAGATTGTTCTTTATGTAAGTGAGGGTTTTGCCTGCATGTATGTATGTATGTACGGGCACCACATGTGGGCAGTGTTCATGGAGACCAGACGATGATGACAGATCCTTAGAAACTGGAGTTAAAGACCCAAACCCATGTCCTCTGGAACAACAATTAGCACTCTTAACCACAGAGCCTTCTCTCCAGCCCCAAGAGACCATATCTTAAATGGAACACCTTGTACATCTCTGGGCCTGTTTTAACATCGTCTAAATCACTCAAAAAACTTCAGTGCGTATTTCCTGAGCTTCTTCAATGACTATCAGTTTGCCTTGAAGAAAGAACGCTATGCCTTTGAAGGCAGACTTAGGGTGATGGGTTCGGGGAGGCAGCATAAGGCTGCTCATAAGGAAAGTGATGCCTGCCAGTACACAGCTGACTCCTCTGATACCTGGGCTGAGGTGGGAAGATTTCGAGTTCAAGGGCCATCTCTAAAGTTTAGCTGCACACAGTGGCATATACCTGTAACCCAGCTCTTAGGAGTGGTAGCAGGAGGATCATTAAGGTGGCTTTAGAGATGACTTAGCAGTTATGAGCACTGGCTATACTTCCAAAGGAACCCAGTTCAATTCCCAGTACTCACAAGGTGGCTCACAGCCATCCTTAACACCAGACACAGGGGATCTGACTCCCTCTTGTGGCCCCTACAGGTACTACACATGGTGCGCAGACAAACACAGGAAAAACACCCATACTTATAAAAATAAATAAATAATAAATAGAATTTGATTAAGACAATCTCAAAACACAGGCAACATTTTTTGCAAGACACAGTGTAGCTTGGCAGATGACCATGTGTGTACCATGTGGGGCTCTGGATGAATTCCACCAATGGGGAGGGGGACTGATTTACACAGTGATCTATAACACTGGGAAGGTCGAGAAAGGAGGATCAGTTGAGTCTGAGATAAAGGGAGCTTGGGCAACACAAGCCCCTGTCTCAGAAGCAAAAGCTTCGAAGCTGGAGAGATGGCTCAGCAGCTCAAAGCATATGTCACACTCTTGCACAGGACCTGGGCTGTTTCCAGCACTCACATGGCGGCCCACAATCACCTGTAACTTCAGGTTCAAGACATCTGATAGCCCCCTTCTGGTCTCCAAGGGCACGGGCACACATGTGGTGCACAGACACACACGGAGCCCAGCGGAAGCATGCTCGTCAAAGCCTTGGCTTCAATTCCCAACACTACTGAAAATACGGGAAAAGGATTTGGGTCAAAGATGATGTATCGCTATGAGGCTGCAGCACTAAACTTTCATTCTCTTACAAGTCTAGAACTCACTGATTACATTACCAGTCACAGCTCAAGAGCATCTGACTAAAGGGGCAGACAGTTACAAGTATGTGACCTTTCTGCACTCTCCTCAGTCACCCTGCTAACACTGAGTGTAGCTGCTCTGGCCTCAACTTTGCAGCTGTAGGTTCAGCCAGCAGCATTCTGACCTCAAAGTCCTTATCCTTTAGACCAGGCATGCTACCTAGGCTAACCAGATTACAATTCTCCATTAACCCTTGGTCTGACTCGAAAACAGCAGATTAGGTAAATAATTACTTTCTTCGTAAGCCTTGAAAACCAGTTTGAGGCCTGGGGGTGTGGCTTACTGGGATGGGCGCTTGCCATCACTGACAAAGCCTGGTTCAGTCCCTAGCACAGCATAAACTAGATGTGGTGGTGCTCGCCTGTAGTTCCAGCTTTGTCGGGAGACCTGAAGTTCAAGGTCATTCTCAGCTACACAAGAATCTCCCAGCTGAGCTAAGTGAGATCATGCCTCGGAAATCAGAAACAGGCTGGGAGATGGAGGTGAACACCTTTAACTCCAGCACTCAGGGAGGAGGAGGCAGGTGGATCTGTGAGTTCCAGGACAGCCAAGGCTACACAGAGAAACCCTGTCTCTCGGAGAAAATCAAGAACAAAGAAAATAGAAGCAAAAACCCACCATGGTTTGGGGCCTCAGAAACACTGAGCTGTAACTAACGAAAGCCCTTCAACTTCCTTTCTTTTGTATCTCAAATGCAATATTTCACTTAACATGGGTCAGTGTTATCTGGCACTACACACTAATATTTAACACTTCAGTGCTTATGGGTAAAGCTGCACCTGACAGGACCAGACTTCATTTCTTCCTCCCCGTAACTGGGGTAGCTATGGCCTCCACTGTTATAATGCAGGGCGCTGGGATTCTGAGAAGTTGAGAGACTGTGCCAGAGACCACACAGCTGTGAGAGGAAGAACCAGAATTGAGTAATGTCTGTGTGCTTTTACAAGCGCAGGGCTCTGCACCGTGCGTAATAAGTGCGCATAATTCTGCCAGTTAAAAGAGGGTGAAAATAAAAACATGAGCAGTTAAGCAGACCATGGGAATTGATAGATAGGGCAATATTTAACTATTTAACTAAATACCTGTAACTCAGCATGTAGCTCAAGCTGGCCTCTGGCTCACAGTGATCCTGCCCCTCGGGAGTGCTGACACCTGGTTTGAAATGGAGTGCTTTACTTGAGCAGTGCTTTTCCCTTGTACTCCACCGGTCAGGAACGCACAGGAGGCGAGCAGTGGAGAAAGTTTAGCAAGGAGCAAACGCTGCACTCCACAGTAAGGAATGACGTAATCAACATTTTGAGTTCCACACAGATTTCTGACCCCAAGGGACTTGCTGAGAGCAACCGTTCGGATTTGTGCAGCCTGAGTAGGGATCTTACAAGGGCAGTTCTGGTGGGTCTACGTTATTTGCACGTAAAGGAAGAAAACGTTCCCAGCTAACTGTGCGGAACGCGTACAGCGGGCAGGTCTCCCAGTTATTTCCAGTCCGTCAAATTAGCCTCCTTTCAGCCCAGTACACATCAATGACTCAATTACAGACGTGAGCAGGACTTCTCTGAAGGCCAGAACACAATTCCTTGCCTGTCTGTAGTTCACAGCTCAATCTTCAACGCTACGCTTCTCTTTGCGAGGGGCAGGCAGTAAAAAGCTTTTTCATTTCTGTACTTGGACTTTTCTTTCATTTATCTGTTTGTGCGCTCTGCTAAATTTTAGTACGTGCTTCTGCTTAACTTCACTTCGTAGTTCCCCCAAATTATCCACTTAGCAAACCTAAGCCCTCCACATCTGGGGTCTCGGTGCACCCAAACGCAAGTTCACTCTAGCGGGAGAGGCCTGGCTTACCTGCGGGTCCTCCCGGCCTTCCCTCCCAGCTCCACGTTTTCAGCCCAGGTACAAAGTTTGCTCCTGTGCTCTCGGCGCCTACTTTAAGAGGCAGAAGAGGGCCGCACAGCCAGGATCCCAAGAGCGACTAGAAGCGTGGGCAAAGCTGCAGCTCGCTCGGACCGGGAGGCTCAGGAGTGGGGCGCCTGACGTCTCCTGGCGGCGTAGGGACCGAGACCACGTGCCCCGCACTTACCCGACAACAGGGCGGATCCGGTGCGCAGCGTGCGGACGGCGGCGGCGCTCGGCGCCCAGGGCCGCGGCGGGCAGGAGGCCAGGGCGGTGCGCAGACTGCAGGCCACGGCCCGCGCGCTCCTCGCCACTCGCAGCGACATGATCAGGGGTTCCAAGGCCAACAGCGCTGCGCCTCAGCCACCGAGCCGGCGGGGACGGGGAGGGCCGGAGTAGCGGAGCCTGGAGGCCCGGGGCGGGGCTCTGGAGAGGCGCGCGACGATTGGACAGCTTGAAGGTTCCACTTTGGATAGGCCGACGCCCGCGAGGGGTGTGTGATTGTGGAGGAGCCAAGGCCCGGATGGGGCTGTGGGCGGGGCGGGGAGGACCTGAGGTCTCACCGAGGGGCGGAGCTTCGCACCGAGACTGGGATTTTGGGAATGGAACCGCTGAGAATTCCTGTAAACTGCTTCACCGCAGTGGCCAGAGTAAGACTCCAGCAACGATGGCAGTCCCTTGCCATTAAACCAAAAAGTCCTAAGGCCCTTTAAAGCACACAGTCACGCCTATCTGCACAAGGTCACCCCCAGAGGATTCATTTCAGCATTTCGTTTCACATTGTTGGACAAATTTAGGCTGACACAGATCGTATGCATTTTAAAATGCTGAGAACAGTCGGGTATGGTGGCGCCTTTAATCCCAGCACTCGGGAGGCAGAGGCAGGCGGATCTCTGAGTTTGAGGCCAGCCTGGTCTACAGAGTAAGTTCCAGGATAGCCAGGGCTACACAGAGAAACCTTGTCTTGAAAAACCAAAATAGATAGATGGTAGATCGATAGATCGATGATAGATAGATAGATAGATAGATAGATAGATAGATAGATAGATAGATAGATAGACAGATTTTTAAAAAGAAGAAAAAAAATTTTTTGGCTTCCAAGTCCCTGTCCTGTCCTGTTCCCCGTCCCCCCTTCCTCCCTCTGTGTCCTCTGTGTCCCCCGTGTTACCCGTCCTGTCTTGTGTGTTCCCCACCCTCAACCCCAACAGCCCCCCTACCCCCCCTGCTTTGCAAGGCCTCTTTTTCTGTGTCTGCTGAATGAGTCTGTTTCTTCACCCCCAAATAAAGCCTTTCTTCAACTGCTGATTCTGTCTATTCCTGTTTACTGTGTTCAAGATTTCTCAAATGCTACCTGTAGAATTCGAGATTTTTTCCTCCCTTTTAATCATTTAACTAACAGGGAAAACACATCCAATCAAGACCCCTAGAGGAGCTGGGCATACTGGGATTAAAAGGCATGCACCACCATTGCCTGACAAAGTATTTTTCACTTTTGTTTGTTTGTTTGCATGTTTTATTCTTTTTTCAAGATAGGATTTCTTTGTGTATCCCTGGCTGTTCTGGAACTTGCTCTGTAGACCAGGCTGGCCTTGAACAGAGATCTGCTCACTTCTGCCTCCTAAATGCTGGGATTAAAGTCATGCTCCACCAACCCCTGGTACTCTCCCTGTTCCTTTTAAGCCAGTCAGTTTGTCATTCTTGGTCCTAGCAAGCTAACAGGACATCTATTAGCATTTGGAGAAGTCTTGAAAACCATTCAAAGGCAACTGCCAATAACCAAACTGGTGAAATAATTGTTCTCTAGAGAATATTCTTTTATTTCAAGGAGGAAATACATTTGAACAAACAGGCTCTTGCACAGTGGCACTATTATATACGTATGTATTGTGAGCCTTTTACTAGCTGGGTCCCAGAATTATTCTGCAGACAGCAAAGCCAGGACTCAGTGGGACTCCAGAGTCACTGGCAAGGGCAGGCTGGAATCTCTGGCCTTCTCCCACCAGTGGATGAACTGTTTAAACCCTGGACAAAGCTTGTGTTGGTTGAGGGGGCAGAGCCGGGGAGGACAGCTGCAGCTGCTCACTGCTGCTCAGAGGAGGCTCTTCCCTTTTACATCTGATGCCCAGGAAGCTGAGGACCTTCATCAGAAGCAAGTCTGCAATCTCTCCCTCCTCTGACACCTGCAAGAACAAAGGACCAAGTGAGGTATCTGGAACCATCCCAAGATTTTACTGTCTTGTTTGGTTCCAGAGCTGAGGCTGGGGCTTGGTGGTGGAGCATGTGGCTAGTGTGCTCTGGGTTTTATCCTCAGTGCCACAAAACAAGCAAAACAGCATGTTTGTTCCAAGGCTAAAGTCACTAGGCTATCCCAGGGTCAGGATGACCGACGTCTGGGCCTTCTCCTTGTTGGGGGTCATGCCATTCTTCTTGTTGTCCTTAGGGGTCCCTCTTCCTCTATGCTGAGCATGCCTGGCTTTACATCTCAGACTGGACAGGAAAAGCCTTGGCTGGTTCCTGACGTGGATTTAAGGGCCAACCATCTTCAGATGCTTTTCAGACTGTCACCCCCCTCGCTCAACCTTGCAATGGCGCTTTAGGCTTCCTCTGCTTATTTCTCAGTGTAGCCCAGCATGGGAGGGACTGTGGTTTCTGGAGAACGAAAGGCTAAATGGGCTTTTTTCTCACTATATCTTTTCCATACTTAACTATAAACAATAGGTAGATGATAGATAGATAGATAGATAGATAGATAGATAGATAGATAGATAGAGCTTTAAACTAAAGAGGAGGGAATGGTGACACAGACCTGTAATCCCTGCCTTTAGGAGCCAAGACATGAGAATTTCAAGTTCAAATCTAACCTAAACTATGTATCAAGAGCCTGTCTCATTCATAAAAAAAAATAATAATAAGGCAAAGCCAAAACAAATTGTAGAAAATGAAAATGGTAGGCCATTCACAAAGGCTTTAGACACGTGTATACAAGGTGGAACATGTCTGTATCAGCACTTAGGCAGAGACAAGAAGATCAGGAGTTCAAGGCCTGATTGTGATCCATGAGACGTTGTCTAAACCAAACAAACAGCAAAACTGTACATATAAAAAAAACAGCCCTGTGGATTAGGGCTCCACACTGTTTCAGAATAACACCACTTAACTAACTATATCTAGAGTGACTCTATTCTCAAATATAGTAATTTATGGAAGTAGTGGGGCTTAGCACTTTGACTTATTTGGGGGTGGAGGTTTCGGAACAGGGTTTCTCTGTGTGTAACCCTGGCTGTCCTGGAACTTACTCTGTAGACCAGGCTGGCCTCGAACTCACAGAGATCCACCTGCCTCTGCCTCCCAAGTGCTGGGATTAAAAGCATGCGCTACCATCGCCTGGCGCCTGGCGCTGGTGTTTCTTTTAGAGGACAATAATTCAATCTGTAACAGCTGTAACCCCCTCCAAAACTGTTCTTAGACATGAAAATACGAGCAATACTTAGTTATAAAAGGTCATGTAGACAGGGCGTGGCAGCATACACCTTTGATTCCACCATTCAGGAGGCAGGGGCTGCTTCATCTGTGTGTTTGAAAGCCAGCCTGACCTGCAAGCATGTTTTTGAAAAGTCTGAGTTACTGATAGATACTACAGCATGGATGAGCCTTAAGAGTATCATTCTTAGGCTGGAGATACGGCTAAGCAGTAAAGAGCACTTGCTCCTCTTGCTGAGGACACAGGTTTGATTCCTAGCACTCACACTGGGCACATCACAGCTGCCTGTAACTTCACTTCCAGGGAACTCTACAACCTCTTCTGGCCTTCATAGGAACTCCATGAAGGTGATGCACATTCAAACACGGGCACACATACATACATACATATATACATACACACATACCCACCATTTTTTAAATAGCAAATAAAAAATACTGTACTAATAGCATGCGGCCAGATGCCAAAGCGCGTACATTCATATGAAGAACAGGTCAAAAGAGTTCACCTGGTCATATTTTTGCTCCTCACTGAAGGCCACCAGAATGACAGAGATAAAGAGATTCAGTACCACAAATGTCATAAAAACTATGCAGGACCCAATGAGGAAGGAGCCAAGGACTGGGCTGTAGTCCAGGACCTGCCAGGAAGAAATCCAGTCATTTCCATTTCCTGTTGCCACCACCTCCTGAGGAACCCTCGGCAGCAAACCAGGTCATCTGAGCTAAGTAGAGTCAGCAAGGTGCTCTCTGCCTAGGGCTGGGAGTGTGGCCTGAGCTCTGCAGACCTGGCCAAAGAGGTGTTAGGGGCTGAACCACTCCATACCGCTGCTTTCTATAAAAAATGGGTACCTTCTGCAACCTAGCATGGCCCTCCTGAGGGTCTGATGCTCTTCTGTAAGCGGGAGCCTCAAATAAGGCTGTCCAAAAGTGGGAGGGGGGCATTTTTATTGGTCTAGAGAAGCCCTGTACTTGCCAGGCTCTGCACTGCCCTCAAGATGGCATAGAGAAAGGGGGGGCGGGCAATCATCTTTCTAAGTTTCCAGCAGAGTGGGCCCAGGTTGCAGTAACCCTGCCCACCCTCGCTCCCATTACCTCTTCGTAGTTGAAGATCCCCAACTGAAGGTTGATCATTGTTTCCGCTGCATCCAAGAGGGTTTTGTAGGAACAGAGTTTCCATCCAAATATTAGGTTCGACTGTCACGGAAAGAGTCTTTGTGAACAGGGAAAGAAAGTGCAAACCCCCTCCCTGTGTCCTGATGTTTGAGACTGTGGCATGCCAGCTACTTTCCAGGCGTGGCCAAGTTGTGGGCACCTGTGTGGGCATGGAAGTGAATGCATGCACACACACACAGTCCAATGTGAGATGTGTAGTTCTCTCTGTGGGCCTGTGCATGCATGACCACACACATGTGAATTTTGAATGTGAGTGTGTGCACACACACGCCTGCTTGCTTGCCTGCCTGTCTGTGGGCATTGATACTTGCACAAATGTGTTTGTGTGTGTGTGGGTTTGTATATGTTGTTGCTCTGAAACTGTCTGATCTCGGCAGTCTTCTAAGCCTCCCGATAACAGTCACCTCTGCACCCCCCAGCAAAGGGAGTGTCTAAATACTTCAGGGGCTCAGATAACCCCTTGTCTAACCCTCTGCATCAGATGGGTGCTGGGAGTGATGAGACTGGGTGCTCTCATGCCGCAGCCTCCTTGCTGTAGGGGAGGATGAATGACCTCCTCCCACCACATTTTCTCTCATTTCCCCGAAGATTGTCCCAGGACTGTGGTATCAGAGGAAAGCTCAGAACTGCCTCATTTTGAGTTGGTGACTTCTGGTTCCAGAGTCATGGTTCCACCATGTCCCTGAACTTCAACTGGAGTCCTGGGTAGATCCACAGGATTTAAGGCACTTGCATGAGAACTTTTAGGGTAAAGCCACCCTTTCACAGACCTCTCACCATCCTCTCAGGGCACCTCATGGTGTTTTTAAAGGTGGAAGGAAAAATGAAGGGGCAGCACAGAGATGACTAGAAGGTGCCGTGGACATTAGGGATAAGAATGGCGTGCAGACAAAGACACGTGGGCTGGTGGTGCACATGACGCATGAGTGGTGGGAGGCATGAGACGAAACTGGGGCAAGAGATGGTCAAGGTGGGACAACAGGTCATGGCAAATGAGTACGCAGGACCATGTTGGAAAACCATGCACCTTCTGAGCTTCAGGGTTGGAGTGTGTATTTGGATAGAGAACAAGAAGAGGTCAGAGGGAGTCTTTGCTTTCCTTTTTGCTTGATAGTAAGAGAGAGTTGACAACTCCACATGTTCGTGGTTGTTAGCCTGTTTTTTCTAGTGACACCCAGATGCAATTGTCAATATGTACTGTTGAGGGGCTAAATGAAACCATATTGGCAACTACCGAGTTCGAGTACTTAGGATAGCACGGTCTGTGCCCTCACCTCCCTACCTCTGCCCTAACTCAAAGAGAGGGTGGCCCGATTTGCTCATGGGCACATTAGGAGCTCACTGTCCATTCCTGGAAAGTAGCCACGGAGCTTCTAAGCAACTAGGATATCTGAACTGGCAGTCTGACAGTGCTAGCTGCAGAAAGGAGCTCATCACGAGAGGCCATTGGTCCTTTTGGTATCAGATTTTATGCTGCCTCACCCACATTCTACTGAGGTTCCCAGTCTTTGTTCTTGGAGGCAGCAATTTCATGAGTTCCCAGTTAAAAGATCCTGAATTCACAGGCTCTGTCATTTCCTTTGGATTCCTAGCCTTCCCCTAACCCTGACTGTCCACTTCACAGTACCAAGTAGCCTTTACTTCCATCAAGGCCTGCCCTGAGGTTTTCCCAAAAGGAGGCACTCACCGCAATGGAATAAGCCAAGAACATAATAAGGATGACAGCGAAAAAGCCTGAAATGTCACCCCAGGCACGGCATAGTGCTGATGTGATCATGTTCATTTTGGGATTCAACCTGAGCAGGTGCCAAAGCTTCACTGTGGACAGCAGGACGAGGAAGGCAATGATGTAGCCAAGCGTAGCATCAGCTGCTGCTGTCTCACTGAAACTGATCCCCCTGTGGGAACAAAATGGGAAGCTCCCATCTCAGATACCAGAGGAACATGGTTGGAGTCCAGATGGATACAGGGTTAGAGTTACCATGATCTCAGAGATCCTCATGCCCTGGAATAAGTCTGGGAGAAAAAGCAGTTTGAATTCCCCCCAGTCAGGTGATGGTGGTGGACGTGGTGGCAGTGACAGTGATAAGAATGTTGTTGCTGTTGGTAGTGGTGGTGGTTGTACCAGCTGGTTTTATGTGTCTTCTTGACACAAGCTAGACTCATCAGAGAGGAAGGAGCCTCAGTTGAGGAAATGCCTCCATGAAATTCAGCTGGAAGACATTTTCTCAATTAGTGATCAATGGGGGAAGGCCAAGCCCAAGGTGGTGGTGCCATCCCTGGGCTGCTGCTCGTGGGCTCTATAAGAAAGTAGGCTGAGTGAACAGCCAGTGAACATCACCCCTCCATGGTCTCTGCATCAGCTCCTACCCCCAGGTTCCTGCCCTGCCTGAGCTCCTGTTCTGACTTCCTTTGGTGATGAAGAGCAATGTGGAAGTGTGAGCTGAATAAAGCCTTTCCTCACCAACTTGCTTTTTGGTCATGGTGTCTTATCGCAGCAATAGAAACCCTAACTAAGACAGTGGAGGTGGTGATGAGTAGTAGATGTACCAACAAGATGGTTCAGTGGGTAAAAGTAATTTCCATGCAAGCCTGGCCACCCCATGTAAATGTGGTGAACGTGGAAGGAGAGAACCAAATCCTGAAAGTTGTCCTATGACCTCCACACATGTGCTATGGCAGGTTTGTACTTGCTCTCTCTCTCTTTCTCTCCCTTTCTCTTTCCCTTTCTCCCCCTCCCTCTTCTTCTCTTCCTCTCTTTCTTCCTTCCTGTCCCTCCCCCATACCAATAATCATGAATAAAATATGCTAGGTGTGATAGAACACACCTTTAATTACAGCACTTGGGAGGCAGGGGCAGGTAGAAATCTGCGAGTTCAAATCCAGCCTGGACTACATAGCAAGTTCCAGGACATCCAGGGCTATGTATAGAGACCCCATCTCCAAAAACAAACAAACCAAAGCAAAAAAATAAAATAAAACATAAGTTAATAAATCAATTAAAATAAGGGAATGATAATGGTGGTGGTAGTGATGGTGACATTGGTGATGGCGGAGTGATAGAGATGTAGTTACGCTGACTCAGTGATGATGAGAATGAAAGTGATGGTGGTGATGATGGTGATCATGATGATGAGGGGGACAAGAAGAATGAGAGTGATGGTGGCGCTGTTGATGATAACGGCGATGGTGGTAATGATGATGAGAAAGAATGCTGATGGAGGTGATGATGGTGATGACGGTGATGATGATAACGATGATGATGAGAAAGAATGCTGATGGAGGTGA